GCCCATTGGCCCAACCGAAGCCCATTGGACCTGACGATCTGCAGGCGTTCCTGGTGAGCCGTTTCGCACCGGCGGCCAGTGGCTCTGGGATCCCGGAGGCCCGGGTTCTAAGAACGGATCAATATATAGACATGGCTCCTTGGCATCTTCAGCATGCCCTCCGCTTGGTTTCAGTTTATTTAGTTGGTTTTTATCTGCAAAAGAACAGGTGAACATCCACGATGTCTACACCCCAAAGAGTTGAATATGTTGGAAGCACATGGCTTAGAGGGGTCTTTGTTAAGAACTCTATGGCTCAGAGGTGTGGAGTGCACATTCCCCAGGCAGGAAGCCAGCGGAATTGTTGAAGGTGAGGGCGTTGTTGGGTGTAAGGGAGAGGTTCATGATCTCATATGATCTACAAGGGTAGGCATCTACGGGGCGTTGCTCCCTCCTTCCCATTCCAATTGATTTGCATCCACCATCAGGGTGGCTGAAAGGTAGAGACGTCCCCGGTACAGGACATGGCAAGAGTCCAAAGCAGGGTTGCCTAGGCACTAGGGGTCTTTGTTGCGAGGGTCAGATCTCCCCCACTTCTGCCCCAAATCGATCCGGGACGTGCTTTCGCGCCGGATGTACATGTATGAGTTAGTTTGTTTGGGGGGCTCTTTCTTGTTGCTTCCTTACTAGTGTCTCGGGACTGAACCCCATCGGCAGGTGAAGACCATCTTGAATGGCTTCGTACTACCAGATGTTGGCTTCCTAGACCAACGATGACCTGGTGGTGCTACCAGTCTAGATGCATTCTTTGAAGCTAGTGATTCTTTACCCAGACACTCCATGTATGGCACAATAATTTGCTAATATTGGAGTAGTTTCTGGGGTCAATCTCATATTATTCCTCACACGGAGTGTTTGGGATATGTATACTTACCTGGAGCATAAAATTATGGTTGGTTTCTATTTCGTAGAGTGTGCAGAGCGTACTCTCAGATAACATCAGGTAACAGTGTCCTTCATGGAGCGTGGCCTAGCAAACGGCCTCTGCATCAGTGTGCGTAGCCAGGAACTTTGACGACTTGAAGATGAACAGAGTCAATGTATCATGATCATGTATATCGTACTTACATCATCGACATACACCCCATCGGCCCCCTACATCCCCTCAGAGCCTCACCCGCTACCAGTCTCTACCAGTTATCCTGGTTATCCTTTGGTGGTCACTCGTCGTCGGTTGGTCTGAATTTCGATAGAGGCCAAGGAATAAATGATGGATGTCCTAAAGCACTCGAAACAAGATAAAACCAGCAGAGCTTACGAGATAAACCGTCGATGAAGCCTAGGCTACCAGGCAGTTGCTTTTTTGAAGCTCACATGAGCTGATGAGTTGACTTGCAGTCGCTTTGGTCACGCTGAGCTGTCAACATCGGTCACAAAGGTTGCAACCTTTCGCACTTTGTTCATCAAGGCCAGCGCCGATTCATTGGGCGGGTTTGGCCCATCACAGCTTTTTGAGCCTCAACAGAATGCGGTTTTGGGACGGTTCAGTTGATCATTGCTTTGGACGCAAGGGTAATATGGGAGAGACTCTGGGGCAAGGGTGTTGAGGGTGTTGTTCGATTCGTGCCTGGTCCCACCGCATGGGACTGGCATATTTACCTACCTTGGGGTGGTTGAAGAGGCATCAAATAGGTAACCTGGAGTGTTTGGGCAGGTTCTGCAAGTTTGGCACTGCTACCGGGACCGCATTCAATTGCGGAAACATGCGACCTGACTGGGCCAATTAGTGAGGAGCTCCCAGCTAATGGACTGTGAAACCGTCAGCTCACCAGGTGCTCATCATGAACCAAGTGAACACCTGCGTGTTTATGTGTGCATACTCTATCATGTATATGTAGTGGTATATGTATATACATAACATATAACATATATATAATATATAGCGTTAGTGACTGTGTGTTGTCATCCAAGGAGGGTTGTCATATGTTGTCATTTGGACGATTTAACCGTTGAATGGTGGAACGACCTCATCAACGACCCACGCATAACGACCTCAACCAGATGTCATGGTGCCATGCGCCCCGCCAGGTGCCATGCCTCATTCTTGCCGTGGCCTCCGGGCTATCCTTGGGGCATGAAGGTGACCTCGTTCTGGGATGCAGACGAAACGCGACCATCAACAGCACAAGCGTGTGGATGCACATGTGCTGATCAAGCTGGAAGGTGATTGGTTAAGTCGGTGATGTCTGGAAGAACGAGCGGGGACGGGAGAGGATTGCATACCTGGACGGCATACTAGCTCTTTGGTAGAAGATGGAGCGCTGTAAAGTCACATCATGAAAGTGAATCCAGATAGCTTGGGAAGCTGACTGCCCCGCTGAAACCGGGCACCGCTTGTCTCGGACCTCCATGCATAGGTCCTATGGTCCACGTGGGCGTTTGCTGGGCGAACCTCTTGTCGCGGCTCTTCCCGCAGTTTCGCAACGAAGGGAAGAGGCACAGATCTCACAAAACCGAGTCTTGGAGAGAAGGGAAGGGCATGGGAGGACTCTTGTGTGCGAGGTGAGGGGTTTGGGGATGGATTGGGGGAGGTGTGATTTGTTGAATGATCTCAATTAAGATATCTTAAGATCACCCAGATTGAGATAACAGAGTTGGTCAAACTGTGCGCGACATGCAGGTGAATTAATTTGGAGAACAGGTTTAGACTGGAATGTCACGTCAGTTGGAGAATCCTCTTTGCAACATGGAGTGTTCCCAATTCTCTAGTTCTCCTGGAGTAGAGCGAAGAAAGATTCAACAATGCAAAGGCCAATGGAACAGGTTCATATTTTCCATTCACAATTATTCTATTCCATCACTGGCTCTTTGCGAATTCTAGACTCGCAGGCAGCAGCTCTTTTCCGCTGCAGTGGCGGCTGGAGTGACTCGCCTCGTTCGAACGCGGCTGGAGGAAGTGACGAGGGATTTGACAAAATGATTAAAATAAGCAATGTCTTTCTTTGCGGCGCCAATTGAGGTAGAAAAGTGGATCTTGTAGTATTGCCAATCCTTTCCCTTTTGTTTAAGTATAACTTTATTTAATGAATGAGTGAATCAAATCATTTCCGGAAGAATTGCAGGACAACCAACAAGTCGTAGTGCTTCACTCCCAAATCCTCCCCCGTCCAGGTTCGCGGGTCCACACTACGACTCGCACTCGTTAGGGAATTTGTTCACAGCTGAATTGGACGTGATCGGTGGGGCAGATGCAAGCAGTGCGTGAAGGGCCGCGCTAAAACAATATAATAGCATGTTTAATCATGTTTGAATGGAACAGATGTCGCTTGCTCTTGATTCTTGATTTTGAAAACGAGACCCCTTCAGGAACTTCAACACCTGAGATTATGCATGACTTGGGCCCCCAAGTTTCCTTTCAAACCTTGTAGGTTGGGGTCATTGGTCACAGGATGCAACCTGCATGAACCGCACTCCTGGTACCGGCCCATCTTTAGTCTCCAAAGTGGAAATTCGGATAGGCTGGCTTCCAAGAGTGCCCAACTTGCTCACCACCTTGCTCCATCATTGCATCTACGAACGCACGCGTAGCTCAGCCCAGAGCGGCGCGCTTCAGCTGCTTCTTCGGTGCTCAGCTTCCACTGGCCACGTGGCACGACCCTCGACCCGCCAGTGTTGATGCAGGTGAGTTCAGCCTTTGGCACACCGGTGGGCGGAGTTCTCTTTAGCCTGGAGGAGGCGCCCAAACGCGAGCGGCGTGGACGACTTCTAGAGTGAAACACTTCAGGGCTCAGCGAGGCAAGGCCTTCTCAACGGGTTTTCAACGTGTTCCAGGGAAATCTCATTGCACAAAGCTTGGAGCCTAGGAGATGGGGACATGAAGTGGGACATTACATTTTGCTCCACAGTTGGAGCGCTTGGAGATGGGAACCAATGGTTGATTCATGTTGATTCAATGACCTTAGCAAAGTTGACTTGCCGGTTTGTGCGAAGGCAGCCCGCTAGTGCCAGGTGAGCTCACATTTTCCTTCCCGGACGCTCCTGATGGCTTTCGTGGCCTCTGTCGGCTGCTGATGGAAAAGGGTCGTTGAAGGTCTATTTTTTGGGGGAGAGGAACAGGGTGTTCTTGTGCTACTCGGTGGTGCGAGAATTAGTCCCGTGACCACAGGGGAGGGGTCCAACGTGGGATGCGCAGTGACATGACGCTTGAACCGCTTGGCTTGTTTAGCCTGGAGATGCCTATCGAGTTCCATCGAATTCCTATAGAGGTGTATACGAAATTGGGGATAGATGGAGATAGTTAGGGTCTGTCCTTTTACCTGTAACAGTCAGCAAACAATTATCATCATTTTTGAACAAGGCCGTTACTAACCATCATCATCCACTGGGCCCAGGTAATAGGATAGACCCAATGAGATAGTTATGATATGTGATGCTTTTTTCAGATGGGTCTCTTGGAAGCACCCGATGGGCACCGTTTGGAGAGACAACACATGCGCTCACCCTTTCAACCCATCCAAGATGTGTTTAATAAGGGAGGAGGAACATGTGAGTAGGTCCGAAGCTGCTCATACCCCCTCTAAAGTCATTTAATTGTATGGGCCTGCGCTCTTGGGGCCTGGCAGTCCATGGCTTTTCTTTTCGTGAAGAGGTCAGGATCGAAGGAAAGGACCAGTGACAAGTGCCAAGCACTGGAAAAAAAACATGAAAAAACAGATGCCACTTCAGAAGACCTCTTGTTGCTCTACTTGCTGGCAGGTCCGACTTCATTCCGTGCTACTCATGTCGTAGCAACTACCAGTGAGCTTCCAGTATATAAGTGAGCCAGCCAACCGAGACCTGCTTCGAAAAGAGAACCCCGGGCCCCGGTGTTCCACCTGGACCGGTCGGTCGGGCCGCTCAGGTCGTGGCCACCTTGTTGCTCTCGGTGTCCAACCTCACGGGGACGGGTCACTTGACCTTGTACAGCGTGTCAGGGGACCTCAGGGGTTCGCGGACGTCACACCGGGGGCGGCCGCGGAGTCATGGCGGTTTACACAGAAGAGGAGGCGGTAGCGAAGAGGGGTGTGTGGAAAGGCGAAATCGCAGGAGCGGAAAATGCGAAGTGGAGGCCCTGATGCGCAAATGATATCTATAGCAGTAATTAGCTCCAATGATTCCTGATGCGCATGGTCTGACACTCTGACTTCAACCTGGTCAAACCCTCCATTTTCTGATCTCCTTTTGGTGACGTCGCCGTGGCTTCAGGACCTATACCGTGACCTTGCACCCCAGCGACTATGCGATGTTCGCCCTTTTGGGCGCCGCTGGTGGATTAGCCTGGCAGCCCATGCTGACCCGCCAGGGTCACTCACTTGATGATCCTATTGAGTCGAGTGAAGCACCTGCCCTGCTTCAAGTAGCAAGTTGAATCAATCATGTTGCGTATGTCATGTAGCTTTGCCTTGTGTTCCTGGCCACGTTCGTGTCGAGGTTGGTGCGCTCTTCAATGCGCTGAATATTCGGTGGGGAAGGGGGACACAAGCGTGTGGAGCATGACTCAATCTGGAGATGAGGGTTGAGAGTTGAGGGCCATTGAGGAATGTAAGCGTTGGTTGCTCGACGGGCCATGGTGGAACCATGTGGAACCATGTGGAACTGTGAAAAACTGTTGCCATGCCATGCCGATCAATCATAGCCGCTTTGAATATGTGCGTGGTCTATGGTTACGTTCGTCATACCGCCATGGTTCCGATGACATGTGCATCGCCGTCATGGCGTCACGCCTCAGGAATGTTGTTGCTTGGCGTTTGGCTAGACAGTTCTGGTTCAATCATCGCCAACGGCAGCCGGTGGACCAGGGAGGGGTTGTTCCCTACTCGGAGTGAGGGTAGAGTGATTGAAGCAATGTGTCCAAACATAGGAAGACGGGAATTGAGCAAAGAAATGAGTAGTGAGCATCACGTGCACTCAAGCTACTTGGGGGTTCAACCAGGGAAATATATATAATAGGAAGACCGAAGACCTAATTGCACCCGCTCGGACAAACATGCAGTGGATGAAGCTCACTGCGGAAAAGGACCAATGAATGACACTGTTCTTCCGGAACTTCCACGTTCTACCAACGACCTAAGAGCTTGGAGGTGGAAGTAATTGTTCTTTCTTTGGGGGTTTGGATGGAGTTTGGAGATGCTGTGATTTTGTGTCTTCAGGTGGTGTGCCTTCAAGGCCAAAGCGTCCTTCCGCAAGTGGGTCGGCCCTGTACAGGAGGTGCACCGCCACCGGGCGCCAAAACGGAAGAACAGGTGATGCTAAATCCGATGGTTTTCCAATTGTTCCTGCACAACCTGCGAGTTGAGGCTGTTTCTCTTTATTGTTTCTTCTGTGCGGTTTGTTGGGCCAGGGCGGTTGCTTTCAAGAGCGTAGTTAGCCCTCTGAGGGGCTGATGAAATGGATTTGACTTGATCAACTCAACTGCCAAACAGGGCCAAACATACATCTAGAATTTGCACTCCTGCCTTGCCTCTGTGAGGCCTCCTTCTTAGCCTTTCTGACCTTGCTCTCCTCGTGGCCCTTGAGCTTGACGCGCTATCTCAATGCCACAGACCCCAGACATTTGCAGAGATCCGCAGCCCACTGCGGAGTGTTGGATCTGAGACATGCGCTACATGTTGGATCGTCAGATGTCTAGAGTTAGTTTGGGATTCAGACCCATTTTAGGAAGGTGGTCAAGAAACTCATGCTCAAGCGGCTTTCACAGGTGTTTCCCACCCGGCCGTTCGTGCTGTTTTCACGCTGGGCGCCACAGGGCGTCGATGTACTCGACTCATCTCCCAGGCCCAGACCATCCATGCCCTCTTCGATACCTGCAGCGACGAGCCGGGCGAAACGGTACGGAGCAGGCCTGATCGCAGAGACCTGGGTGGACTCGCTGGATCGGCGGCCGGATCGCCGGCCCAAAGAAGATCTTACGAAATAACCCCAGCCTTTTGAACATCCTAATCAAGGCCTGGGGGGTGTAAAACATCAAGAGTCTACATGATGTTGGCAGATTTGTTTCAAATATATGCTTCTGTTTGGCAGACTTGTTTCATTCTAATTGCACAATTCGTTGGTAGTGATCATAAATGTGGGAGTGGTGGGGGGTGCATGTCACAGCTCTAGACGCTGCATGGTTGTGTGCCCAATCGGATCGGGTGCAAGATTGTTCCCTTGAGAGGCACCATGAAGCATGCATCAAAACGAAGCGCGACATCTCAAAGATGAAGTTCCCCCTTAGAAATGGGAACACTGTCTTTGTTGCGCCATGTCGCGCCCACATTCTTCTCCATAGAGGCTGGCTGCTGTTTCTCCTCCATCACTATCAGAAGAAGCACAATACCGACAATACTATGCCAATACCCGCGTTTTTGGCCATATGGGGCCAGGTACCGAGTCGTGGCAAAGAAATTCAAGACCGGTGAGAACTGCCCGCCAAAAAAACCACGTCCGTGTTGGACAGGGCATGTACGGAATCATCGGTTTGGTTTGGTGTTGGGGGATCTATCGCGGGGACTTCGAGATGGTTTGCTTTGAGAAGGTCTCCAGGATTCTCCAGGTGTCCTAGCCTTGAAAAAATGTTTGGTGCCTACTGCCTACTTTTCAGATGCTCATGTGGGCGAGGTGAATCAACAGCCGTCTAGTATCGTCTAGCCTATCCGTCGTGTGTGAGATTTCTTCCATCAAGTTGTCGCAACATCAGTTTCACACACTAATTCGCACCAATTCGCGTTTTGTTGGTGGCTCACTTCCATTAGCTTTGAATGAGCCACTTTTCATGTAATCCGACGTCCAGGCTACTCACTATACCATACTGTACCATGATGCCCATCCATTTTGTTCAATGATCCCACTTTCTCGCAACTGCCGCGTTACCTTGAAAAACATGCTAACATCCTCAAACCAGTAGCTCTTCAACTGTTTTCAAATGTTTTCAACGTGTCCTCAAAAATCCAACACCTCCTTTGGCCAAGAAAGGTGCCTAGGATTCCTAGGACCTTTGTCTTTTGCGATCCACCGGGCTAATTCTTCGTGGGTGAGAGGTTGCCGCCCTAGTTCCAGGCTGCAGGCGGAGTTTGGACTCTGCACGGAGGATGGCTACAGCAATGTGGGGACACCGAGAGGGCAAAACCGAAAGGGTGAAAGCCTTGTGGAGAGCCGATGGCTGGACCATACTGGACGCCAGAAATGCCTTGGCGAGGAGCACAAAGGAGCCAGCTGTTCGACAGGGAAAGGTTCGGAAGGCTGCAGCACGGGTCATGGAAGCGCAGCGTTTGAAATAGCAAAGCGTTAAGAACCGATCGGCGGATTAGCAAGAATTTCAGAGAGTTCAGAGGAGCCGAATGGACTTTTGGCGATATGGGACTTCCATTGCCCTTTTAATAGGAGTCTCAATTTGGCCAAAGAAATGACGAATGACAAACAAAGATTTGCAAATTTGAGCAAGGCAGCTATATTCCATAGATGTTTGCTGGTGTTTTTGCACTTCCCTTAGCATGGCTCCTCTGATCGCCAAGCGCAGATGCCCTGGGTGGACCAATCCTTCGTTCCAACCTCCGGCCTCCAGAAACCCACCACGCACCGGCCAACCACATCGGATTGTCGCTGCGATCGCTTGGTTCCAGTCCTCCGGCAATGGGCTCTTGACGTCCTTGGGCTTTGCTGCGGCGATCCGCTTTTGCCACTCGGATGCGCGGGATGGAAGGCCGTCCACGGACAGAAGTAGGTGGAACCAAGAAGTCAATGAGTTTATCAAGACTGTATGATTGAACATGTTCGGAATAAATGAATCTCATGCAAGCAAGCAATTATCTGGGGGTTAGGCAGGACACGCGAGAAAAATCAGAAGTGATGACCAACTATGACCAAATAGATTCCTTGTCGGGATTAATTTGCATCTCCATTTCGGGATCTCTCACATCCTAGGTGCACTGTAGATCTGAAAATTGCTGATTGACCTTCAACTCTTGAATGCATGGGGTTGCTAGCCTTGGCACCCCTATAGTCAGGTTTCACTCTCATCAAGGATCCTGCAAGCATCTAAGTGCATCGGGTTGTCTATGTTGTGGAACCTCCCATTTGTTGCCAGCAGCAGGGCCATCCCAACCTGGATCATCCAATAAATTGTCTTCTCCCGGGTCCCAAGCCAACAAAAATAGAAAAGAAGCACACACACACCAGAAACAGATGGTCCTGCTACGTCCTGCTAGTAGCAAGTTGGAGTTTGGTCCTTTGGGTTTCTTGGAGTTGATCTCTTGGAGCCGAGGTCAGACGGTTCTGACGATTGGCACCGCCTGTCCAGCGGGTCTCTTCGTGCCATCGCTCTTCATCGGCGCTTGCTTGGGGCGGGGACCTGAGAAGGTGGAGGACTGGAGCAACATTGGAACAGTTTCAATGACTGTCATTGATCGACATCAACCTTTATGCAGATGATTGACCCCACTGACGAAAATAGCTTTGAAGTGAGTTGACGACCGCGGTCAAGGCGGTGCTTGGCGCTGGGCCTCAAGGCTTTGAACACTGGGACACGTTTGTGCGGTGGCCTAGCGGCGCACGTGGGCGTTGGACTGAGCCCGTTTGGCATGCAGATGGTTGCCATCAATGGTTGACCTTCGAAGGACGGGGCCGTGAGTCGGACATGGTGCTGACAATGCCAGTCTTTAGTTGAAGCATTTCAAACATCACATGTTCTACCACCAATGCTCAATGGTCGATGATGACGCCCAGGTTTCCCCACAAGATCGATCCTGGCGCCCGGGCCTTGGCAAACGTCGGCACAGAGCTGCGACACCCGGCGATGTTGCAGGTGAATGGAGCTAGAAACCGGATCAACCACACCTTCGTGTGGCCAATCCATCACACAAGTCGTGTCACTTGCTTCAATGATCCTTTGCACCATTGAACGCCATTAAGCACCTAGATCAGAGCCTTCTTCCTGCTCGCACGCGCCAAAAAACACGTGACGGGTCGGGCGCGAGGTCTACTCCATGGTGGGAGCCGCCTCAGTCTTGGGCGGCGTCAGTCGGATGACCATCTCCCTGGTGGTCATTATGCTCGAGCTCACCGGAGGCCAGACCTTAGCGACCGAGATGTCCGGACGGCCGGGTCGGCGGGTCCCCTCCTTTTTTTCGGACCGGGGGAAGTTCATGATTTGGTAGATTGCCAGATGGATACCTTTGATTGTTTGGGAAGGGGGATTGATTTGTTCCTATGACACAAGAATTGGTAGACACTGGCGTTTTTCTTCCAGCCATCGCAAAGCCGGGCGAGGGAGGGAGGGAGGGAGGGAGAGAAGGAGAGAAGGAAATCTTCCATCGGCCTGCCTGGAAGACATGCCACTGCCATCCACTGCCCACCATTTACCCAGTGCAGTTCTCAAGAGTTCCAGCTTGCGGGTGTTGGATGGCGTTGCAAATGACAAAGCCTGAAGAGCCTATGATACCTCATTCTTTCCTCACTCTTTCAGAGTCAGGCACATAGAAAAAGCATCCGACTCACTTTGGAACGCGGTTGACCCTGGGCCCGTTGTTCTCCAAGGTTTAGACTACATCGTGCCCTTCATGATCTCGGTCCTCCTCGCCAAGGCCGTGGGCGACTCCTTGAATGAAGGCCCAGCCCACTGCGTGTAGACTCGGACGTCGAAGGCTGCAGATCCCACCGATGCGGTGGTTTTCTTCCCAAAAAGAGCCCTGGGTAGGGCCGATCCAGCCATCCAGAAATCTTCCGGCCGTGTTTGGAGGTTTGCAGTGGAGTTGCAGTGAAGAGCGTATAGGCCGTATGCACCTGTTTTTCTTCTCAGGAGTGAAGCCGGGGCGAAGAAGGGCAAAACCATGGGCGACGGACCAGTATTTTGATCACTGTTCGCTCGTTTGTGCAACCCTGGCACCGCAGCTCGATACTGCAAAAAATGCAGGTGCAGGCGCTGAGCCTAAAAGCTTTTCAAAGTGCAGCTGCCACAAACATGGAGACATTGGTTCACCACCTCATCACTTGTCACCACATCATGCCACATCACAAATGGCTTCATCTCGGGCCATAAAACCTGTCCCGTTTTTTGATGTTGATTGAAACTTTTGCCACCTGGCTTTGCCAGATGTTGCCCTGTTATGAGGTTTGGAGCCTAGAAATAACAGCGTCCCATCAGCGTCCCAGCAGACATCGGATATTCGGGATCTAGAACCACTGTCGCTCTCTACTGTGGATCTAAGTCATACCGCAATCAACAGCACAAAGCACGCCGATGTGCTGGCTAACAAGGCATCTACGATCTGCAGATCGTGCTGAAAGGCTACCCCTTCTTGCATGAGGAGCGGGGGCCCCAAGGAGATCAAGTCAAGCAAAAGACTCGCAATAGCTGGGCAGACTGTAGACGAAGACATCTAGGGTTTTTTGTTGGTCTTTGTGTGGCTAGGGAAACCTTTTGGCCCACATATGGCATTGACCATGCATTGACCATGTTGACCCGCATCAGAGCCATTTGATGAGCACAGTCCTCAATCAAGCATCAAGACTGCATGCACTCCATGAACCAGATATAACCATGCAGACGAATCATCAATGGACTTGCTGATCTTGGCTTCTGGCTGCCTGCTCCCAGCTTCGTCCCTGCAGTGGTCACCACTCAACAGCATCTGGCCATCTCTGCGCGTTCACGCCACCGAGCTCCGTTCACGCAGCCTAGGTTGGATGTGACCTTTACAGAGCGATGCTGCGATATCATGGAGACCGGTGTGGGACCCTGGGACCTTGGCAAAACCACACCGTGGTGCGCTGCATCTGTATCTACCGCGTGCATCATATCTGGTCCCTGGATGTAGGGGACGGTGTTTTGTACCATGGACGTAGGGGAAGTCTGTGAAGGAGCAGACATGTTTTTGGACATGTCTCAAATGCTTGGGAGGGTCTCCCTGTGGGGAGGCCTATGGGGACAGCCCAGGCCCTCAAGGCTCAGCACGCACAGCATTGGGGAGTCTTTCGCTCCAATCCGTCGCATTGAGGCCTGGTGAAGCTAGACCTCAATCTCCGCCCTCGATTGCAGGAGATGGAATATCGCGTGAAGACTCTTCGGGGGTTTTGCGAAGGATGAATCGTTTGAAGCACTTGGTGACTTTAGTTGCACTTGATTGCACTTGCTATCACTTGCTTTCTGCTTGGATGAGCCCCTTTTCACAGCTGGTTTTCTGCTTGGAACTCGCTCTGGGTGGCTTAAGCCTTCACAAAATCTGACATTTGGGGAGTCGAGGAGGTCACGAAGCCTCAGGTTTGTGCTCCCTCAAAAGGGCCTCCTTGGCTGCAGAAATGCTTGTTGCATCTTGTTCTGCAGAAAACCCTGGCTGCGGACCTGTGAGAGAAATGCCCAAAACTTTTTGAGCAAGCTAGCTCAAGATAGATCAAGCAAGACATTCTCTTGTTCCCAGTTGCTCAGTTTCAGGTGCCACACACCCGCCGAGCCAATAGCCACTGCCGCTGTGGGCGATGTCCGCTGCCTGGAGGACCTGCGGGTGATGGTTCGCGCCTTCACCTTTCGTGGCTTCCCCATCGTCGATGGCGACTTCTTCGCCGGACATGCCCAGCCAGAGATGCACATGGAACCTTTTTTTGGGGTGGGCAGATTCTGGAGAAAGGGGAGGGAGCAGAATTATTGGGATCCAGGATCCATTGGATCCGTGTTTTCACTTTCGATCTGGTTGCTACCCATTTCAAGCTTTGGAGCTTCGATGGGCTGAGGTGGGCTATGTTCGCCGATCACAGCCTGGTACCCAGATGAGGTCACTGACGTCCACTGTGTGTCTCGTGACAGGCCTCAGATGTTGTCAACAATACATATTTATAGCAGCTGGCAGCTGATTGATTTTTTTGGCCCCAGCTGGTTTGTCACTGACCTGCACTGGGATGAGAGATGACAAGCGCTCCGAAAGTGAGCCTCGCAAAGCAGGCACATGGCAGGTTAAGGGTCAAGCTCGTGCGTTCACCTCTCCGTTTTCCATGGTCATGCTGTTCTTGGCCGCCCGTTTGGTCCGCTTCGCGTCCGGTTTTTCGCCTCGGACTCCGACCGGGTCAAGGCTCGAAGATGTTCTTGCGCGCATGGAGCTGGTCAGAGGTCAAAACGAGGCCTGGCTCGGATGGCCAACCAGTGGATACGGCACCTTTGGTGGAGGGTACCGGGTACTGGCGGTTAGGGGTACAAACCGGTCCCCACATGAAGGTATTCACTGGAAGTACCCGGACAGCTCTATGCCTTTGAGAAGCATAAGAGCATATAGAGCTTTCGCCATCGATTGCAAATCAGACGTCAAGTGTTATGTGTACGTCAATGAGGGTACCCTGCATATTATACGTCGAACGGATCATCTTCCAGGAGTATTCATGTCCTCAGTTGCGTCCTTCTGTCGAATCGGTGTCACCTGGTGCACTGGAACCACCCAACCACCCAAGTTGCTGCTGCATGACGAGCGGAGGCTGCTTGGCGTCCCCTGGAAAGAAGGAACCATCAGAGTTAGCATGCAAATCAAGGTTCCCCAAGTCACATTGCTTCGCATAATGGTCCTCTCCCCGCAGGTCATCTCCTTGGATGACTTGCTTCCAGTGGTCGACACCACTGCCGACACCTCGAGTAAGGGGTGAAAGTGTCAAGTCAAAGGGCCCGGTCGAGAATTTCGCCTTTGTGTGGGTTCAACGATGTTCTTCAGTAATGATAATGTTTCATTTCGTGTCATTCATGTTTTCGCGGTGTTTCACGATAGGTATTTGATAGGCAGATGGATTGAACACCCGCGATTTCACAATGGTTTCTTGTTTTTTGTGCTCCATGTTCCCTGGGTTGCTGCCAACACACAGAGCCAATGGAAATGCAAACAGTGCCAGTAGGGAAATATGAAAGTGCCGCCCCCTCAAGACATCTCAAGACAGGGACCCTTGTTGTTGCATATATTATTACCCGTATATACCCGCATACCTTTTTGAGGTCACCCAAGCCACATGTGCTGCTCAGGTGATGCGCATGGTGCCGAATGCCCCCTTGACCCAGGCACATCAAGTCTTCAAGCAGTGCAGCTCCCCAGCCGGACGCGGCTTGAATGGAAACGGAAACGGCGGTTCAGAAAAATCATGAAGAATCCCCAGGCGTACTCTACAAACTTGTAACCCACCTGGTCCTGTTCACAGTCCTGGACTTGGATTCACTTGGATTCCTGGATTCGATCCTCAAGATCGACTCGAATCCAGGAATCCAAGTGAATCCAAGTTCGTAGTGAATCGTTCGTCGGTTCGGTGACTCCATGTCTTCGCCTCACAAGAGTGACCATCTTTAGGCTGGGATGCCAGCGCATTTTCTTGGTGGGCTCCATGCCGGGCGGGCAGCAGGAGCCATTCTGAAGCTGCGATGTTCCGGGAATCCACCATGTTTCGCGTGTGTGTGTTTGGCGCTTTTACCTCACTAACATGTAGAAAGTCGATTTCCAAAAGGACCATTTTCCATGCACTTCTATGTGTTAGTGAGTCAGAGTGTACGTCCTTCTTGTCTTTGCTCGGATCATCAAGTGAACCGGCTAGCACGGAAGGCGTGGAAGGCGTAGGCGGACCGTGCGGATGGTGAAGTATTCTCAAGCTGCTCATGTCTCATGCACTCAATGACCTCTTGTTGGGGATCCATTCTTAGAGCAACCCTCAAGCATTCCCTTTGACCACGAGAAAACTCAGCAAAAACACAAACATTATCCTTGTGCAGAGACCTGCAGAGACCATGTTCGTCGCCCTCTGTCTTGGAAGATCCTAGGCCCCTGCCACATCTGTATGTGTTCCACTCACGGATGCGAAAGAGACTTAGTCAATTGTCACGTGAAGAAAACGTGTGGAGGGGAGTGCGCTTCTTGTAGTGTTTTGCTTGATCAATTGACCAACCAAGCATACACACGACTGCTTTGTAATGTGGAAACTCCTAAACTACAACTTGGAATTGCTTTGCGTGCGTGCCAACTCAATGGAAGGACGTCTTGCAGGGCATCATCACGAAGAAGAACTTTTTGAAGTTCTTGCAGGATGGAACCGTGCTATGCTTGGGATTGATTCAATTTGTCAAGCTGGTATTGGGGGTCTATAGTTGTGTTTTTGCATTTCTGTTTGCAGCTAGCAGCCTCTTTTCATTCTGGATGCAAGCCTCAGATAGCTATAGAACCCTTCTTGAGAGTGCAAAATTGCTTTGAACCTTCCACGAACCTGGAGTTATTCCGAGTTATCCAAAATCAAAAGGTGCCAACAGACAACAGAGAACATATAAGCTGCATGTTGCCGGTATCTTCTATTATCTTCTTGGGTTTTAGCATGGCACCTACTGCCGAAAAAGAATGAAACTGTTGGATTAAGCAATTGTTGCACGTTATACTCCTATTGTTCGTGGATGTTTCTTCATTTCCTTCCTAGCTTTGAGGCCGATCTCCCCAAAGAAGTTGTATTGCAGCTGAGGTTGGCCACATCCCAGATGAGCTGGCGGCTGAGATACTGTAATTATCGGAGGTTAAGTTGGACATTGATGTCGACAGACAGTAATGACAACCCAAAATGAAACCATTCAACAAGCAGACTGTCATTATATACCACTCTTGCAGTTACTTGCAGAGTAAGATGGACCCCGAAAACCACTAAGTGGTGCGATGAGAAAAGTCTTATCACGGGATCCATTTTCACTGTCCATGCGGTCGTTTGCGGAGGGTATGTCGTATATCATGGTACACCGACTTGTTCCGAATGTATGGTGCATCCAACCTACACTCCTGACGAACACATCACCTGGAAGTGGATGGCCTGATCCCCTTTGGCAGAGGACTCCTGTCCCCTATCAACAGGGAGTTTTCATGGATCGTTTCCCACTGTTTGGCCACTTCCACGTGGATGCAGCACGTCGAGTGCAGTACAACAAGCAAACCGATGGGTGGAAGTGGATGGCACCTCCTTGGGCACCACGGTGGTGAAGACCACGACTGCGTGGCGGTGCCACGTAGAATCACGCGTGCCGTGGTGTGGTTTGTCGTGGTCTTCCAAGGGAAGTACCAAGGGAGCAACAAGTACCTGGGACTCCAAGGAGCATCCTGCTTGGGGGTGTCCTGGCTGGACTATCCTATACAACTTCAATTAGGGATCTCCATTGTACATGATGGTCTAGGTATGTCCAGGTATCCAGGCCTGCCTCGGCCCTCAGGTTGCGGCTCGCCGGCTCGCAGATGGAGAGCAACGGCCCGGTTCCAGTTGGTCTGGTGGAGGGAGGGAGCGATGGAGACATTGCGCCAGGGAACGGTCATGGTACGGTCCGAAAGAAGTCTAAAGATGTCACACCTTCCATTTCAACACCCAGAATCCATGAAAACTATCAACACCCAGTGTTTTTCCATACTATGTGATATTGATGTACACCATATTATGGAAGTTCAGTCTGAATGAATCCATTTACTATTCAATACCCAGACACGAGCTGTCTGGGACTGCCATAGGACTGCCGATCAGTTGGGGTGGTGCCAGGGGGGTCAATGGGGCGGCATATATGGCAGTCCCATGGAATGTTTGGGATATACTGTTACTGTATAGAAAGGGCGGTGTTTACGATGAATTTACGGTATATGAATGAATCATAATGAATCAATGTCCAAAAGGGCGGTGATGTGTTGATCATCTATGCCAGGCAGGTCCTTACCTTCACCGGTTCAGGCAGGTCCGCTTCGGAACCGGTTCAGCGCCCAGGCGCCAGTGCTTTGCGCTTCTCCTATGAGGGGTGCAGGGCCAAGTTGCTGAAGACGTGGGGGCTCGTGGATTCACATCAGACACAGCCAACCGGTGTCCAGGTGCGGTCCCCTTGCGCAGTCCGAGCTCGTTCCGACGGGTGACGTGAGAACAGGTGACGTGTCTCGAGCCACGTGAAAAACACGCCGTTCAACACGACTGCAAGCTTCTGCGTTTTGGAGCATTTTGACCAGTAGAGATCCCACATTTCCAGCAACCATAGAAGACACCTCCATTGCTTTTGCACTTGGCGTGGTGCAAGTCATGACGCCTTGCCTGGTTTCTGGTCCCCCGTGGCAGCGCATATAGTTTGTGCGCAGAGGCCCCGATCCACTTGCCCGATGCAGAGCATGTAGAAGCTCAATATAGTATGATATAGTATGTATATATACACGTACTGTAACCTTCCAGGCTGGCTTTGTCATTTGTCAGATGTCCTTCCTTTGAGCATGGGATTTACACTGCGATTTACATTGGTTTCAGAGTAGGTGGCACAATTCCAAAGACTAATGTGTGTATTTACTTTTTTAGAGATGGAGCCCATGTAAACCACCAAACCTGGGGGTCGTACCATCTAATTATATACTCTCAACCTTACATGTAATGTTTGATGTCCCATGTCCGTGAATTTAACCACCCCAGTCCCACCCCCATGATCCCCCCCACCCCAGTCCCACCCCATGGCGCCCCCGTCTTCGTCCAAGGCCTCAGCAGGAGAGCACGGCGTCGCACATCCGTTTGGGCGAGCTCTTCTCTGTGCTCGACGCGGCCGCCGAAGCCGGCGGAGAGCAGAGGAGCGGATGCGGAGGCGGCATCAGGTCCGGTACAAGAGGTCCGGTTCACTTGGGATTCCAACAGAACAAGAGCACGGATATGGTGTACATCATTACGAACTTGCTAATGGATGCTTCTTATACGCGTTTCTTGATCTATCAATCAATCTCAATTTGTGAAAGCCAGCCGATGGGCTAGGCTGAAGTTAGTTTTGCAAAAGAGGTGCGGAACAGTTGATGTGAACCATATTAGCCTGTTGGATCCTGTTGGTGCTTTCTTTTTGCCAAGCAGGTGATTCTTGAAGGGTTGGTGATGCAGAAGATGCAAGATGAATGGGCTGATCATTCATTTGCATCAGTCTGCTCAAAAACGACACTATATATACAGTAGTTTCTGCGCATGGAATCTTGGGGGAGACTCACTGGCTCAATCTCGCTCACGGTTGTTCAAACATGTCGTCCATCTATCAGGTAAGGTTAGTTGTTCCCGGCTTTCGTGGTCCCTCCTTCTCCGGTCACGGGAAGTCGCGCCCGTTGGGCCCGTTGGACCCCGGAGGACCGAAGACCAGCTGAGTTGGGCCCCTTCAGCCAGCGACGATGAGGCGAGGGGAAGATGAGGAGGTAGACATAGGTGAAGTCCAGTGACTAATAGTCTAGTGCCATAGTGCTGTTACTTTGAGATCGCCATGGCTGTCGTTTGAGGTTGCCATGACCAGGTTTGGAGGATTCCATTGGAGGATCACCCTCTGAAAAGCGGACCAACCGCCGTGGCCTTGACCAGGCTGCAGAAACATTGAGCACCACAACCCACGACCCTCGCTGTCATGTGCTGCAGCCCTTTCCACAGGCTCACCAGCGGCACGAGGCCAATGGCTCGCCGCTCTCGGTCGGCACCGGCCAGCCCGGACCGTGAGCAACGGCCCGTGTTGGACCCGCGCGGAGCGGAGCATGGCGCGAACGAAAGAGCGGAGACGGAGCGGAGACCCCGAGACGAGGTCAACGGTGTCCCCGGCGTCGCTTCGGCGGAGAGGGCTTGTCATGGCAAATTGAGAACGAAGGAACAAGAACAAAACCAAAACAAACATGGGGGGTGCATTGGGGAGAGAGATCAAGTATCTTCCATGAGGCAATGGCGAGTTGGGAGATTCATAAGGCCATTGCGAGCCAGTAAACTCGCAGTCGCGGGAACATTGGCAGAATTTTGTAGCACCCATGGAAACCATCAGCACTGCTTGTAGACTTGCTGCACCAAAAAAAGCCGGAGCAATTCCAATCCTTTAAGTTCAGTACGGCACCGATGACGACTACGACGACTACAACTACGGCTGCTACTACTACTGCTACTACTACTACTACTGCTCCTCCTCCTCGTCGTGTCGTTTACTGTCCACTTTTTCAATGGTTGTGCAAGGGCAGGTACCTCCCCAGAACCTCCCAATCCTGCCGCATGTTCCCCCGCAGCTTCTGACGCCAAACGCCGGGTGCTCCGGGCCATGGGGAGAAGCCATGGGTTCCGGCGCCAGCAAGAAACCAGATCCGGTGCCAGTGAGTTCCATTGGGTCGAGCGTCAGCGCTCCCTCAGAGCCCGAGCCTGTGGGGAACTCCCAGTTTGAAGTGCACAAGTGCAACATCAACAAAAACAAACCTTTTGAGCAAGACGGTCGTTGGATTGACGTTCTCGCATGAGGTGTTGTTTTCACTTGGTCCTTGCCAGCGGTGTTTCGCTTTTTGGGGTGGGGGTGGGTTGAACTTCATGATAGAAGTCAAGAATTGTAAGTCAATGACTGGAAAGGACTCGGGAACCTATTTTTGAGGGCTATCTTGGTCAGGTCAGGTCAGGTTTGGACCGTCCTGTTTCTGAAGGTTGATTGTGATTTGCAAAGCTATCATCCACATAAGTCTGGAGCATTCACTGGTAGCCAGTTGCAGCGCAACAGCGCCACAAAGTTGAGCTGTACCTACGAGAGTTGCAGTTGAATCTTTTTTTGCAGGACACGGACCCTACCTGATAGCCCCATTTGCCTCCAAGCAACTGCGGGGTGTTTCCCTCAACCCGCAGCAAAGGCTGAGTGAGCACCGAGTCAGGTTCCTGTCCGAACCGCGACCATTGACAAGCCGGATGAGAAGCCAGACATTCCGAAGGTCAGTACCAGGACGGTGCCATTGGGTGCCTGACGCACCCCAACCCCCCCAAACAAGCCGCTGATACCCACTCTGCAAAAGAAACGAGTCATTCCATTCCCAACTCATGTTGGGCTGTGCTCGTTTTGTCATGCTTCCTGTAGGGGGTGTGGAGGTCCCATGTTCCACTTACTGGACATGTCTTGCCGGAAATTTTCCAGAAAGTCCTGCCCGGTTGCTTGGTTTAGAATTTAGATGCAAGTCTAGCTATAGCAGCTACGCGGACGTCAGTGTCGTTTTTGGTGCACGCCTGCCCCATTTCGTTGCGCTCCAATTTCAGGGACGGCTACTCAGCTACTCCAAGTCGTGCGTTTAGTTCACGTCCTTCGGACGGTGCGACCGCCGGAGGCTCCGGTCGCCGGAAGAACTCGAAAAGGATCTACCCAAGCAACCCAGGAGCAACCCAAGCGTCACCGATGCCTTGCCAGAGTATTGGCACCTCGGACCTAGCAACCGATGCCGGACGGCCGTTGTTTGAGAGACTCGATTGGCTCGCGGCTCGAGTGGCGGTTTGGAGGGCCAGCCCGCTCTGAGGTAAGGGTTCTTGCCGTGGGAGGAGGTAGGATGCAACAGTTTTTGCAGTGTTTGTGAGGATCCCGGGCCTCTAACTGGTCACTGTGAGCAACCAGTCAGTATTATCACTTCAGACTGGGGATGACTGGGGCCATCACATGGTCAAGGTCCCACCTCCTTCCCACCGAACAACTTCGAACACTGCATGTATGTATGGAATGTTTGTCTACATTGACCGCTCTTCAACACCTTCAACATCTTCAACCCCAAAAATGTAGTACATGATGCCAGCCCCACGGAGTGTCTAAAAGATCGAAGGCCATAACATGTATGCATGCCCAAAAAACCCCTATTTAAACATCCTTAAATGATCTCAAAGTTCCGCTTCCCACGAGTTGCAGGCGTCTAGGTGGTTGGGCGAATCCATCGACCAACGGCCATGTGATCCGGGAAGAATGAGACATGGCGCGAGTCCGCTGGATTGGAGCTACGGCATATTGCTTGGGTTCACTGATTCACTGCATCCCTTGTATCAACCACCCCAGGGTGACCAGATGCGGCCTGCTGCTCGCTCAGATGTTGCTTCCTTCGTTCACCAGGTTGGATGAATCGCTACAGCTGCCTTTAGCAAGGAGCTCCTTGCTGCCGCAAGGTCAAACACAAATCCCCTTCATTTCCCTTGTGTGTCACGCCCGCTGAGGTATCACAACAAGACTCCGGCGAGCGTCGTATTTGATGAGATGCACCGTGGTCGTGCAATGGGATCAATGCTGGGTGAGGGATTCCCTCATTTTGTTTGTGGAGTTGCTGGGTGCTTTGTCAATGATCTTGGTGGCCACTCAATGGGGATGGCTCAAACCCACAAAATAAAGGATCAGGCGCCGCCTTTTGTTGATGTATCATGATTGATCACACATCCATTGTGCCCTTGCGTTCTGGAGTGGACGGGAACATACGGGAACTATTGGTTTTACTGGTTGTATGGAATAGTTGCTTTATTGTTGCTTTGGTTGAGGGATGTGGAGGGTTAAAACGTGTAAGAGCACAAATAGGAATGGTAACTTGTCAGAGATGGACAGTTCTTACTTTCGACCAGCACAGTCATGCGTGCACTGGGATTGGTTTATTCACCCACGGTGTGCAGGTGGTCGGGCATCCAATCACCGGGCATTTTAGGGTTCACCAGGGGTATAGTAATTATGGGGCTGTCAATTTTTTCATGCCAGCTTCCTAGCTGCTGGAAGTAAAGTAAGTTCACGTAGTTTGGATGCAAACTGGATGATTTGATAGACATTAGACAAGCATTTCCCGGGTGTGACGTGGATTTTGCCGGCTGTGCAGCTCAGCTGTCCCGGCCCGAGGTGCAATGGTTCATAGATCAGATATGAAATGAACCAAGACAAATATCATTAAGCTCCAAGAGAAATGACTACAGAAGACCTCCCAGGACTACAAAGACTTTGCTGGAAACATGCACCGGAATTGCGACAAGTTTTCTGTGGGACTCCAACAGAACCCAATGCTTTCGCAGTTCTTGCACCGTCCAAGATGCCTCCTAGCCGGTCACCCCTCAAGATGCCTCCGGCCTATGCTGAGGTATTACACGCAAGACAAGGATGAAAAGGCGCATGCGGCCTTCGATGAGATGTTCAAGGCATCTTATGCGCCTTGGATGGTTCAACCGAGAGGCTGTTTTTCAGTGTGGGAGGGTGGGTGGGAGCCTCCTTTGGGCCGCCAAAGCAGCCACGAGACGCTATACATTGTGACGGTAGTGGGTTGCGCAGCTTGGACGGTAGTGGGTTGGGGCCCGCTCTTGATGTCTCCAGCCACAGCTGTGAAAGTCCAATTAGAGCGCGAGAGGTTATAGAGTAAAGCGAGAGGTTGGCTCAATGCTTGCCAATGGCGGATCTTCAGCGGTATGACAGGATTGTATAGAAATAGTGAGGACCCACGCAAAAAAAAAAAGGCACAGGACCCCTCCTCCACAAACTCCTAAAACGGGTCCTGGTGCAGGACACGTTTTTTGCACCAGGTGGCCAGCGCCACACGGGACCGGCCCTGTCCGTCGAGCTCTTGCGCCAAGACACCCGGAGGGTGTCCTTGTGTGCAGCGTCTTGGCGTTGGAGGCTTGGGCCGTGCTTTTTGAACAGGTAGAGGTAGACCCGCGAACCCAGGCCGTTGCCTGGAAGGTCTCCCTATTCTTTTTCTGGGTGTTCCTATGGGATATACTGTCGTTAAGCCCCCTACAGATGTGCTGCTGAGAGACTTGCCGTGAAGGTTCCTCAAATCCCCCAAGGTTTGCTGCCTGGCCAGCTGAGGCGACCTCCGTACCGAAACACGATCCCGGTACCGAAGAAAAACAGCTGTTCAATGCTCTGAGTGCTTCACCCAAAGCTATGCTGGGTCGAGATTCCCGGTCTATCCACTCCACGCTGCTTTTCTGGCGATCCTGTAGCCTTTTTCCGGGCATAGTGTGGATGAAGGGGCTAAGAACACAAAAACAGCTCCAGTCCACCTTTAGCACACCACACCTCCCACCCCCCCCGAGGCCCGGCGCCGACCCGGGACTTCCCGTGGCCTACCGCACGCGCCGCGTGATCCGAGTGGAGGCGGGACAGGTGTCCGGTGTCCGAACTGAAGCGCTTCCAGGCGGCTCAAGGAGCTGTGCTGGAAGAAGAATCAGCACCCACAGGGGTTGTGTATAGAGCCCCTCACCATATAATTGTTCCATCCAACCACCCTTATTTTCGGGTTGGTGGTGGGTGTCGTGCGCCTTTGTTTTGGCACAAAGCGGGAGAGCCAAAGCCATCCCAAACATTCCCAAACCCTAGCTTTATACTACCAAACGTATTCGAACAAATCCCAAACATAATCACTGTTTTGTTTGGGAAACTGTGGGTCTTCCGGTCAGGCGACCTGTTACGATGGTTCCAGAGATTCACGTCTCGAGGTCACTCGGGGAGAACCGAGCCCCACATCCTACCACTCCGTGCGCGGCCTACCCGCGCGTTCCTTTGCCGTGAGGTAATTGGTCTTGCCAAGACCCCGAACTTTTGAAATGGATGGTATTCAATCACCACATGACATTAGTGGAGGGAGTTTGCAAAAGGGACTTATGCTGTTGCACTAGCAGCAACAATCACAATTCACCGGCAACTTCCACGAGAATGCGCAGCATTTGGGATCTCAAGTTCCATAAACGCCCGGGGTTGCTCCCCTCACATTGATTCCGAGACGTGTTCGACAGTTGATTCCGGAACCCACAGGCCGCTGACATGTGGCGAAGACCCTCGGCAAAGATTTGGCTTTCCACTGAAGCACTGGAAATGCAGGTTTGGCAGTTGCGTTGAGTTTGAGCTGCACTTCAACACCTGTGTAAGATGCACCTGTATGTCGGTATACGGTCATTATAGTGACAATGGTGCAAAGGGGAAGACATCTAGAACCCCCGATTGATCGGGCACTTCTGATTGTAAGACAAGATTAGATGATAATTATAAGATGATTATATAATAGACAAGCCATCAAATTCAGGATTTGAGGATTTGACAGGGCAGGTGGACTGCATGGGAAGTCTCTTTGGCAATCTCTGGCGGGAGGGGAACTAAGCACTTTACTGCTTGAAGTGAAAATGAGGCACGCCCTGGGAGTTTCCCATATTCCTTTCCTGTGCGAAGTCGGTGAAGTCTGTCCAATGGGTCATGAGAGCAGTGCGTCGTGCAGTGCGTCGTGAGATATCAAACATACCTCTCAAAAGCAGGTAGCGAGATGTATAGGGATAACGAGTCAATGGCATGAGGAGGTGCCCAATGAGATGCCATCCTCGTGGTTGGGGCCACTTCCATGCCATCCAGTTGTGATCCCCTATAACAAGAATCATGCCAAACCTTTGGACCAAACGCCTAAGATCCTCAGAAACGCCTGACCGAACACACTGCAGATATTTGAGCGGTTTGTCCAACATGGCCCAACGGCACTGCGAATGGCCCAACGGCACCCGTCTTTGGCTTCAATCCTCTTCTGGCATTTTCCTGTTGTAGCGTATTGGCGCTGAGTGCGGAAGGTTTATTTTTCAGTTTTGACCCGGTCTTGGCTGCGCAATTGCGTTTGCACAAGCAATCAAAGAAGCATCATGAGTTCTAGGAGCGTTATCAAGCACACCACAGGCTAAGCCGGTCGGCCAGGGAGTGACTTCTCATCGCATTCCTCCCGCCAGCTGGGCGGCCGCGCCCTTGCACTCAGGCTACGTGGCCAAACGCGCCCGAATCCGCCAGAACCGTTCATCAGAAGGCATCGATCTCTTTGACCCCGAGCCCAAGACGCAGGAGACGGTGCCTGGGGACAGCACAGAGAAGGGCGGGAGAAACACCGCCACAAACATCCATGGCGACTGCGACGGGGCGTCTATACGCCATCCCAACTGAGTGGTTCTGGTGGTTGACCAAGCTCCGCGCCCCCCAAAAAAGTTGACACCATGGGTTGATGACGCCAGGTGTGGGGCGTGGACTGTCGAAAAAAGATCCTGACCAGGGTGTTGACCGACAACCGTGAACACCTGTGTCGCGATGGAGGTTTACTGGACTCGAGTCTGGTCACTCCTATAGTCACCCATATATTTGTTCCGAATCCTCGTGGGGCTCGTGGGTGGGAAGATGTCTCAAAGCCGAGGTGATGAAGAATCAAGGCCACCCGGAGTGAAGATGTCTCCAGAGCGTGCTCGGCGTGGGGAGGAATGGTGCCCATGTAGCAGCACAAATGGTGAGTCTCCCACGTGTAAAGCTTTTTCATGCTCAGCTGGCAAGGGACTTGGTCCTAATAAGCTACCTGCGCTGAACTAGCAGGAGATGGCAACTGCACCCATTGAAGACCATGTTCCCTTACCAAAGGTGTGTTTGCTGTGCCTACAGCTGGGATACTGACATTTTAAAGATGCGGCGACCGTAGCCATTTTGGCTCAGTAGGCAATTTCATTCCTCAGAGTGTCCCTGTGGGACTGCAGCGTGATTAGCCTCAGAGAGTCCCAGTGGGACTGCTGTCGTGTACGCAGCCAGACTCTGCAAGAGAAAGCCAGAGATGCCATGGAGCTCAAGCCTGGGTGGCTGGCATGACTATAACACCAAATGGCCAGCCTACTCTTGTGCTTGGTCCGCTACGCCTGAGGCTCACTTCAGGCTTGCTGTGGGGAGTTGCATTGAGGAGAAACGAAAGTTCATAGAGATTCTTGAGCTCAACAGGGGCAAGATGGAATGTGTGGCAGATGCAGAGCACATTAGAGCACCTATTCCCTCCAAGGAAGTTGCTGTGGAGGCCGGAGAATGGCTGTGATGGCGGCAACCTCCGTGTCTACACTGAATATTTGGAAGGTTGAAGACGGGCAGGTGAAGTGTGTCGCAACAATAGCGAACACCAGAGAATAGAAGCAATAAACAAACTTGCCTCCTTTGTCTTCTTTCGATTGGAGCAGCATAAATAGCAACAAGGTTCGGTGGATGCAACCTGTACAATCTGGAATTTGGACAAGCTGACGGTCCAAACACAGCTGATTGCTCACGACAAGGCGGGGTGTGACATTGCGTTCTCTCCTGTTGGTATCCTATTCGCTTTAGTTGGGGCAGATGGTTCAGTCCGGATCTTTGACTTCAGGAACTTGGACCTCTCAACCATCGTGTGAGTCTTCGCCACCATCTCCGTGGTTCTCGGCGCCAGCATGGAATAGGAGCAACATTGGCCGCTGCAGTTGCAATGCTCCCGGAGTCCGGTTGTGACTTTGATTGAGCAAGTCAGAAGACCTTCTTTGGCACTTGCACGTCTCGTCATAACACACTGCACGTATTTGCACGTCGCGTGAACTCAATTACTTGAGCTCCCCACTCACAAGATCATCTTTTTGTGTGGCACGGACGATGGTCTTGGAATCATTCGGGGCATTGCGAACTGCTACTCCATCCAATCTCGGCACGCCATGTTTGGCCTAGGGCCTAGGGCCGATGATTGCAACAGTACTGTGTTCCAAGCCCAGTGGCCTGCATCACAACCGTATATCCTGGCACATCAGCTCAAGCTACTCCGAGTTGGTTGCAGGGACGAGCATTGCCCTGCCCCGCGGCGGCTGAACATGTAGCACACGGTGCAAGCACTGCGCTGAGTCCGTGCGTTGGCGCATCCGTAAAGATGCAGCAGCTTCTTGCGCTTCTTGTGTGTGGCAACGCCAGCAGGACTCCAAAGTCAAGGAAATGCCCACAGATCACGAAAGCTAGCGTCAGCTAGCTGGAGTTACTCTTGCTTTCGCAAGTCACCAACCCCCGGCCTCGATATGGGATATAAGTGGTCAACTGAACAGTTACCCGTTTGATGCCCACCTGAACGGCCCTTCCCACCCTCCCCCCACCCGTGTACCGCCGAGGCATGTTTGCCGCGCTGGACACCTCCGTGAACGAATGCTATGCGTTCCACGGAACCTTCGTCCGCTATGCGCTCTCCATTGCCGAGAACGTCGCTTGGGCGAGCGCGGTCGTTCCCGCGAGTGTGAAGAGAGATCGGGGTGCCGGCTGGAAGGGGGTTGAGAAAGGTTGAAGAAGCTATTTGAACCCAACGGAAGGTGGATGACTGGCGGTGGGTTATTTTTGGCTCTCCTCTGGCAAATATATGGGCGTATTTCAATATTCAATGATTGAAGGGTCACACAAGAAGCACGAAAAGATTGGACATGCCCAACCCTTCTAAGCCCTTCAAGAACCCCGACCGTCCTACCTCCTCGCCACGTCTGTCCGCGACTTCCGTCCGAGGATTTCAACATCGACTTGGCGGGCTCGAGTACCGGGACCCTGTATGGACGTGGCGCCTACCTGGGCGAATCCATCACCAAGGCGGGCAGCGAGGGCATCGGCCTGCGTGCGCCCTGCGGGAGGGACGAGGACGGGGGACGGTGTGGGACGGTGGGTGTTGAGGACGCGGGACGTTGGGTTTAAGGGGTTGGGTGGAGGAAATCAGCGAGGCACCCGAGAATGGTGAATAGATCGAGTTCCCTGAAGACGTGGATTGGTGGATGGCTTCTGATGCTTCCGGCGACGAACGTGGATCTAGGAAGACCAAGTTAGTCTGACGCGAGCATCTTCCAGATTGGAGACTTTCCCAACAAATTATCAACCGCCTATAGGTCGATCTTGGCTCGATGTCCCAGAAACATACACACCAGTGTGGCGGAAATCAGAGAAATTGTTTGCTTTTTGGTATCACAGACTCTGAGTCCTTCGGCATGCCACCCAGGCGGATGAGTATGCCAAAGATGAACCAGGTGGCTATTACGTGGCTTGAGCTGCATGGTGTGGATATCCTGGCTAAGAGCCGAGTTTAGAGTTCAAAGAATGTTCAATGCAGGTCGCCCTCCCAAAAGCAGGAAGATCACCACGATCACTCCTAGAATTATAGAACTTCCTTGAAGATGGTGTGTTTCTGTGTTTTCAGTTCGCTTTTTGATGCTGATCGATCATATGCACGATGGGCCTTGTGGACTTGGCTGTAGATTGCTGCATGTCCCCTCTGGCCAGGGGGGGGTTCTCATGAATTCTTTGACCCGATCGGAGTGGGATGCCCCGTTTGACCCATGAACATGGGGGTATCACCTGATAGGCCTCGAAACCGTGGGATTGCGCTTTGCGCGCTTCCGAATTGACTTGCACCACCACTTGACTTGCGAAGATGCCGCGGCCAGGAGGGTGTCTTTGCAGTTCTGGTGTGCCGTGTGACCATGGGCAAGATGAACGTCACCAAGAATGACCCCGCCGCTGGAGACAAAGTGAAGAATGGGGAGTTCGATAGTACCTGCGGCAATCGTGCCTGGGCAGCAGGCCCGTGCCACAGCACCATCAAGGCATCAGGCGGCATTGGATTTAGTGGATCCTTCATAACTGACTGGCGCTTAGTAGGGAATCAGGGAATGACCCCTGCACTTTCGGATCCTTTCCCTCAATACTTGCTTAGCACCAGTCAGGTCGACTTCGCATCGCCCTTTTTCGAAGGGGTCCATCCAACCGGAACTGACGGCATGGCCCAAGACCTTAAGCCCCCTTCCGCGTCATGTCGCGGTCGAGTTCGCTGAAACATCCGCCGAGACAGCTCCAGCAGCTCAACAGCCCCATAAAAAGGTCCCCCCTCACAGTTTGTGCACTTGACATGCCTTCATGTGTAACATCCCTGTGGTTTGAACGTAGTTGGATTTTATTATAGGAGATATAGAAGCGGGCCCCTATGTAATTGCGATGAGTGCACCATTTTGGGGAAAGACATTTTGGAAACCAGCCATTTACAGCTGTGCTTTTGACCACTGACCTTTGCCGAAACTGGCTCTGTTCATTTTGACAGGGGGTTAAAGTCGTTTGAGAAAACATGTTGGTTTCTTTGAAGAACCTCCTCATTCAGTTCCTGCTGTGAACCTGGTAGGCAGGCAGAGATTGCGCCACCTAGGACCTAGCCCAATCTTCGGCTTGACTTCGAGCCGTTAGACGATCTCCATGGAGGATGGAGGAAGATCTCCCAGCCTTCCTAGTTTTAACATGTTTTAACTTTTTTGCAGGTGGCCCTCTAGAAGAATCCAGCATGAAGAGATGTTCACATGTTCAAAGATGGCGGACATGCTTGGATTTGCTTGGAGAGAGAGTTCCCCCCGGTCTGGACTTTGGACGTCCTGTTGCATGGAGAGAGGCCTCCCTGGCCATACTCAGATGAGGCCTTTTCCGGGAGCTGGTGATTTACTACTCCGACCAGTGTTACCCAGAGTACCTGGTGCTCTACCAACGGATCTTGCAGTCAGATGCTTTGCCGCATCGGCTTTGCCACCAAGCCAGCTGCCTGAGTTCTTGGGTCCGAAGGAAGGCTGTGATGATGACTCGATTTCGGTGGGTACATGATCATCAAGAAACCATTGGCCACCAAAGGCTTTCCAATTCTCGGAGGTTCTAATTTCATTAATTATATGCCGATGATTTGGGATCCCGTTGCCGTCCACCCAACTTTTGAGAGAGACGGGCTTGAACGCTGACCTGTTCCATCCTAGACACCTGAAGAATACATGTTTGAATCATTTTGAATCAGCATGTCCTGTCGACCGATCTTGTCCTTTTGCGCCAACTCTATCCACTGAGAGAGAGATATGACTCGGCCATCGACGGACATTGCTACAGGTTTGAAACTAGAGGGCCCATCGACACACGCACACACACACACATGAGGATGTGGAAGAAGAGATCAATCGGGTCTTGCGTCGGAAGTTCTTCATGCAAGTGCCCCTGCACTGGAAGACCGCGGGCTCGGGATTCGGGATCCACCGGATGGACATCTCTATTTGTAGCAGCGTCCTTTGCTCCTAGTAGTACGGCCAGGAGCCCCGAACGTAGCGTCCTTGCTCCGTTCGTAGCGATGCCAGGAGCCCCCTAGTAGCGAACATTGTTCCTATCTCCAAGAGTGCTTGGTTGAGATGTAAACATCCAATTTACGGGGTGGTTCACGTCTAGCCCAGCCTACCGGGCGGGTCCACACTGACACGAGCCTCAGGAAGACGATTCTATTTCTGAGTTGGATGTTCACCAGAATTGTAGTGGCTTGCCTGGCGACGCTCAAGAGACCCACACACTTGGTGCTTTCTCCAAATCTTGCACCATTTGGCCAACATGAAAACCTGACAAGTTCATCGGTGCTTCCAGTGCTCTCTCTCTCTCTCTCTCTTTTTCTATGATATATATTATATTAGCATTTTTCACCTGACACCAGGGCCAAGGCTTGGTCTATCTTGTGAAACATGTGGAACATTCTTGAACCCCAGCGACCAAACTTAGATGATTCTTTCTGCGCGCAGGAATGTGGCGACCGACTTGACCAAGACCAAATTCCGCGAAAACCACGAGTTGGAAGGCGAAAACCATGAATGTGGAACCTGGCTCGTGCCTGAGTAGCTTGCGTTTGGATCCATTTGGGTTGATCATGCTATACACTTGATTGCCCAACCGAGGGCGGTTTCATGCAGCGTTTTGAGCCCCAAAATGCCGGAGATCTCCAGAATGCGAAAGTCCGGGAAAGTAAAGCTTCATACCCCAAAGCTTCAATAAGCAACATACCCAGACCATCCATGTATGGAATACTTACATACATTCACCCCCATGTATATGACCCCAATGAAAGTAACTCTGCCACACATGGATGGTTTGGAAGACCGACACTTCGCCCCACTCCGTCGACTCGAGTCGCCCAACTGTTCGATTGGTAGGCGGTGGGCCCGGCATCCAGCACATGCAATGCGTCGGGTCAGCTCAGTGAGTGATCCGTAGATCGCTGCGGTGGCACAAGGACATCCTGGTTGGATGGTGTTTCTTCGATTTTTCATACCCCCATCCTTAGGACATGAATCCAGGGTAGGGGGTAGATGACCCTCCTCCAAGGTAGGGGGTATGATTTTTCCCTTGGGGTTCCTGGTCAACCAGTGTTTTTTGAGGCTCTTTGCTGAACAACCATTGTTATACTAAGGATTTTGCACTGCAAAACCAGGTCAAGCATTTTTAAGATGGTCGAGCGGAAGGCTAGGGTTTCTGTGGGACTGACGGCTCTGACGGATATGGAAATAGGATATGTTTTCTAATGAATTCAATCAAAACCGGCTTTGACATCCAGACAATACAGGAATGCTGAATATGCGTGGCAAAGCACAACAGGCCACAACTGGCTGGAAATTGCGAATGATGACCTAGACCCGGACCCCATGATTGGGAGTTTCAGCAATTCTTAAAGGAGTTCAGTTTCGGGCATTTCGGCAAACAGCCTGAAACATGCAGATCTAGTACACTTGGAGCTCGATAGTGTTTATTCGACACTTGGCATGTTTGAAAAAAGAAAGGAGATCGCACAGGAAATGGTTTCTCGATGCTTCTTGGTTTGTGCCGCTCTGAAACTAGTCCTCGATGCTAAGAAATCCTCGGGTGCATGAGATAGTATAGGGCCCATGAGAATCGTACATGGTGACATGTGGCATCGACAATGAGGGGTAAGCAATCGATATGAAAGAGGTGAACACACAATGATGAATCCTAAAGGATCTCAAACGTAGGGAATGCCATGGAACACCCTACCAGCACTGCATCCATACATTTTGTTCAATATAGCTCAGATGTTGTGACCAGTTCATGGCGTTTGCTCGGCAATCGGCACATCCATCCATTGTAATTGTAAGTGAGCTTTCTCATAGCTTTGCCACTAAGCCGGGCCCCCTTATTGCAGCCTTGGACAGGTGTAACGATCTTCAATCCTCCCACGTCACATCTCGCCGCTGAGTTGGTGAATCAAGCACGCATTGAGCCGAAGCGTACCCTCCAGCGCTGCATGCGTTTGGAGGATGCTGAACTGTGGCAGCGCTTTGTTTCCCGGCGGAACCCCCTGGAGTGGGGTCGCGCGATGTGTCAATGTGCGTCGTGCGTTTTTGTGGGCGGTGGCGTGAGGCAGGGGCCCTGGTGGTGGAAGGGGTTGGTTCGAGGAGGGCGGGACATTAGGAGTAGAGGTTCTTGAGTGGAGATGCGGCGGAAAGAGGTACAGGGCCCAGTGGTGAGGAGATGTTTCAGAGACACATCATTCCACTACTCACGGTGGTATAGCTTAAGCTGTTCAGTTCTGGAAGACGACACCGCTTGACTGGACGAAGCGTTTGGTGATGCAGTGCCGTCCAATGTCTTATAGGATCTTATAGGTGTTGAGTGCTGTTATGTGCTCTTCAGCTACTCGCTTCCTCGAACGGAGGGCACCAAAAGGCTATTCAAGGTGACCCGGACCCACTGGTCAGTGTGTGACCTGAGCAACCACTACATTCCAACCAAGATTTGTGTGATTTTGTTTGTTTGCATCTGGCTCCCAGCATGGCACAACACTTCACCGCTTTCAAATCCCAACCGGTCAAGTTGCTCAGACTCATTCTTCTTGCGCTCTCAGTGCGGTACTCTGCATCTCCTTGGAGCCGCCACGGTGTCACACCGTGAGCCGCCGTTTTTGCCGGAGCCGCGCTTCAGTGAGCCACCGCCGTTCGACTCTTGGGGAACTCCGCCGAGCTCCGCTGAGCTGCACCGAGGTAGACTTCAAGCATGAACTCCAGGAGCGTTTGGGCGAGGATGGCGCCGTCTCCAATGAGCGCGGCAACCCCTTGCGCATCGACGCCGTGGAGTGCCGCGGTGAAAGGAACCGATCAACACACCGCCCGGAGCGGGCGGCCCATAGGGGCCCGTGGTGGATTGGGTGGTGAGGGTGAGCGTCGATTTGCTGGAAGATCGGTCTCTAAGGTGCTTGGCGAGTCGACACGGAATGGGTAGATTTGAGGGGGCAGGATGGAAAAGGGGGGGAAGCATCGAGAAGAAGGTGGGGAGGTGTTCCGCGAGTGATGAACACCACAATTAATAGTAACCACAATATACCTCACAATAATATTCTAAGTTGCTGTGACTGGGTCTAATTTGGAGTCGGAGATAGTTGGAGGCTTTTCTTGTGAGGATGGCGCTCGGTCGCAGAGGTCAAACCCAGCTGCCTTGTCATCTGAAAGCATTTCCAGACACTCCACTCCATGTATGGAAGGCCCCCGGACCACCCCAATGTAGGCAAATATGGCATGCATTGCATGGAGTGTTTGGGGTTTCGGCGCGCTCTGACTGAACCAATTGGCGCCAGTCGCCCCACCCAGCCGTCCAGGTGGGCCCGAGGTTTTCCGAGCATATGCGGCAAAGCAGGTAGAGTCTCCAGACCTCGTCAGGGCGAATTTCCAGGGTTCGAGAAATGGCCGAGGAATGGCACCGTTCTCGATGTTTAGAGAGGCACCCATCCTGAGGAGGTGTTTGGGATGGTGGAAGGCTGCATCCTTTTTGCATGTGCACCATTAGGTGGTCACCTCCATGGGCAAACGCTCTGAGAATGTCGCACAGCGACCAATCCGACCCGCCGGCGGAGACATTGAGTCGGACTGTCCGATGTTTGTTGAGACATTGGTCACTGAGGAAGGACTTGAGGGCTTTGATGAAGCGACCGTGCAAGTTTTTCAAGGCTGGGAATTGCAAGCGCGCGGACAAATGCAAGCGACTTGGATCATAACAAAAACGTCAGCCTAACTGAGCCAGGCACGTCAGCCTGGCTGGAGCTTGGTGAATGGGTTGAATCCGTTTGACTGTAGGTCAGAGGGTGGATCAGAGGGTGATGGCGGTGTGACCAGATGGAGGGGATGAACCTGAGCAGCCTGCAAAACAGATGTCCACCAACACTGGTGCCATGGAGTTGTATACTCTTGTCGCTCTTGTGCTGCGACCCCTGAAGCCATCGTCATTCAATGTGCTCAAGCTGCTGAATTGTAAAGACTAGCAGCTTTAGAACAGCCATTTGGAATACCCTCTAACCTGGAGGGAGGAACCTTCTATGGAGTTTTGTATCTTGGACCGTCCATGAAGCAGAAAACGACTTCAGACGAGCTCGCTACGTCCAGATGAACACCCCAGGTTTTCGCACAACGAGTTCGCTGCGGCGCTTGACGATATGGGCCTGGCCGCTGGCCGGCGCCTGCCAGTGGCTCGATCAAAGTTGGGGGCCGGGGACTTTGTTGGAGGACTAAGAAGGCAGAAGACTTACAAAAAGATCAAAACGCAGATATAGTGGTCCCCCAAAAAGATAGTGGCACGGTTTCCAATACATTTTGAAGATGATTTTACTTTTCATTACTTTTCTATCTATTTGGGGGTCTACATAGTGATTCGTAGTATATAATTCCATTGATTGCTTTAAAGACCCACGGAGGAATCACGAGGACTTTTTCTTTGGGGGAGAAGTGCTGGGTTTGATGCGAGCTCGCGTTCCAGCAAGTTGGATGAGCCAATGTTTTGATGCTTGGGTAGAACGGTGAGAGCTTCAGCATTTGACATTTGGAGTTGGTCGAGGCAAGCTCTTGCAAGTTTGCGAGCAACTGCCAGAAGAACAGAAAGAGAGGTTAGTGAGTTATATAACAAATTCCGCACAATCACTAATTGCAGAAGAAGATGAAAAAGAGTCATGCTCCAGATTCTGACTTGCAGTTTGATATGGGTCAATAGACCTCCAAGTGAGCCAGATACCCAGGTGTTAGGATGAGATACTTGCTGAGCGAGTACGGGTGTAACTCATGTGGGGCCCGTGGCTGAGTAAGCTTGCTGAATCTTAATAATTGCGTGTCTTCCGGGATCGTTCTCAATGGCTCCTGAATCTCCGACCTAATGTTTCTATGGCATCGGGCCTAACCTGTCTGGGCCTCTCACTGCAACAGCCCTGTATGCTGACCCTGTGCCCTGGGCGAGGTTGATGAGATGGACCGCAAACTTCATGAAGGCTTTCTATGGCTGGCATGTGCCCGGTCCACGAAGGAAACAGAGACCGAGGAGACGAGACGGGTGTAGGACATGGGTCCAAGTTTTGAAGTTTAGGTTCAGGTTTATGTTTGTTACCTTTCGTGTTGGTGGTCCTTAGAGCAGGGATTCTGGTTGTCTTTTGGAGTCTTGGATATGGAGATTCCTGTATTGCGCTGGGCTTCGGGGTGGGCATGAGTTTCCAGCAGAAACACATTCTTCGCTGGTTGCACCAGCCCCCTTTTGATGTGGAGGGAATCCTGCAAAATTGAGCCAATGGCTACGATGAGAATCTCCATGTACAGTAGAGCAATTTCGACCGGAATTTGTGCATTAGAATTGCCTCCAGACCAGATTGTGAATATACCCGCCTGGAAGTTCAACACACGTCAAAACTAGGACTACCATCATCTACTTGCACGATGCTGCGCAACGGTATATAGGCCTCTTGTGTCCTTGAGGCCAAGTGCCATGTGAGCCCGAAAGTTGCCATCTGGTGGTAGTGGTGTGGTAGGGTATTTGGGAAGGTCGGTCTAGGACTAGGAGAATGGACTTGCGGCTGTGCAGGTGCATGAATGATTTTATTAACCATGCGACTACCACGTGCATCCTCGGCATCCCAAAGTTTCCGCTGGATCCCAGGCTCAACAGGTGATGAAGCTGAGGTGGCTTGGTTGCAGAGCTCCAAGGGGTGATTATAGAGTCTAATGATGATAGGAAGCGGTTTGACCTTTGCTCTCCATTCGATCGTGGAAAAGGCCAGTGGCAACTTGTGAAACAAATAAATCCGTGGCCTGTTTACACATGCCACGCAAGGTCCATTGCTATCCACACCCGGATGTCCAAACAGGGAGCGTGCCATTTCTTCGTTGGATTGGGTGTTTCTTCCAAGCGAACATCCGGAAATCAGGTGTCAACATGTGGCCCGTCGCCGCCACAACCTGACCCAACGACCAATGCGTGAATGGCCGGCGAGGGGCTGCCAAGAATGATCAGAACAGTTGCGAGTTTCTTCTGGAGGAACCTTTAGAAAAGAGCAAACAAACAAGGAGCTTGACCCGGTCAGCCTTGGAACCCACAGGACATTTTTGTACCAACACACTGGACCTCTCTTTGGCCCAAGAGGTGACGCTTCTTTCTGAAATGCGTGAAATGAGCCTTCAAAAGGGGTGACATGCCTGCATGTCCCATACTTTCCGGTGAATCTGTTTTGCGCCAGTTCATCCATTCGAGCCACAATCATTCGTTCGTGCCACAGTTGTGGGCCAAGGAGATCAGCGAGGGCAGCAGCAAGAGTCGGCCCTTTTATGAGGAGAGCCCCTTCTTTGAGAGCTTGGATGCAGCCCTCAAAGAGGTCAAGTCACAGGAGCAGGGTGAACTTGGGTCGTTCGTTCGGCAGGCGTTTTTCTTTCCACGTTTTTGAGCAACTCCATCAAAGGAGAATGGGGTCAGGACGGTCCTTGAAGTATGGTGAAGTTGTGTGTGTTTTTTCTTTTCGCCTTTGCTTGCTGTGTTTGGCGCAGAGAATGCTGTGTTTTGGAGTTGGGGTCAGGGCTTTGGAGTCGGCCGCCGTTGATTCCAAAGGACAGGAGGTTTTTCACGTCGACAGTGCAGCTGATCCCACACCACCCGGCCACTGGACCTTTGGTTTGGGGTCTGGCTGCGCCCGCAGCGAAAAAGCCCTTTTCACATCCTGTCCGTTGGATTGCCTTGCCGTGGCCGGATTGATGCTGCCGAAGAGTCCACGCACCCTCACCGAGAATGGGCCATGACAAAATGTCTTGTTACTCACTCCTTCATTTCTTGCTTGGCTATTCAGATGTTATAAGAAAAAACTTAGTTTAGGGCCACTCTGCGACGCTGAGCACTAAAGATGTGGCTCAACCCCTCTGAAGCTTGCGCGAATAAGAACACCCATTGCCCACCTCAAAGGTGCTTTGTCCTGTGTGGTTTCCGGCCCCGGCCATGGCTTTGGCACCTGGGACCGCTGTAGAAATAGGTCCTGGACACCGAGGGAGGCCCTTCCCTCGGCCTCAAGGGTCGGCGGTTTGTTTCGGTCTCAATGGTTGGAAGGTGGCCCTTGAGGTACGTCGACAACGCGGGAGCTACCAGCACCGCCAAGGTCCTTGGGTGGCTATTTAGATGGACAGTGTATGGCCAGGGGGTCTATAAACCACCAATGTTGCCATGTTAGTTCAGTTAGAAGTTAGAACCAACTCAAGATCTCGGCGACCGGAAACCTTTTCGATCTACCGACATGGTGAAGATGTTTCAGAGCGTCCCAGGGTGCTAAAGGCCACTCCATGCGCAAGGGGTGGGGTGCTGTCCTGATGCAGGAGGAAACAAAAAGACACAATGTGGCCGTGATTGCGCGCTGTCCTTCGCCAGGAGGGCACGAAATATGCTGTCCTTTGTCGTGTGCTTTGTGGTGTGCCCGGCGACAACCCAGAGGATGCCGACGACAAGGATTGCATCATCTTGCAGGCGACGCGCCGACCGAACAACCACGCGGCCGCCCGAACGCTGTACCGAACAAGCTTGGGCCGTGCCGGGGGCCCCTTCCGGTTCCAAGATCATTCAAGATCTCCTTGCATAGTTCCTCTCCTTCACAAGCGTCTCTTCGTAAGTAGGTTGATGAGGTACAAAGTTGTTTAATTATATACCCACAATTTAGTTATCACCCGCAAAGGTTGGGTCATAGGGCAGGGCCTTCACCCAAAAATTCTGAAATGTATACTGTATGCTTGGTTTGTGTTTTCATATCTTCTCTATCCATCCCCTGAATGATTCCACATGATTCCGTAGTTCTTAATGTTTGATAGTGATTAGTTGAACCATCTTGAACCTAATTGAGCTGTAAGGAGTTTGTCCCATCGGAATTGGGTCAGGTGGACCCCCGATTCCTTCGAGTCAGCGGGGCCCGGCCCCAGACTCGATGGGGCTTCAGGTGGATGACAAGAATCGGCGCAAGGTGCTCATCAAGGACTCCCGTGGCCTGAAGCTATTCCGCGGAGCGGGGCTGAGGAGATGTGGGTGAAGAGCGGCGGTGAAGAGCGGCGGCTGAGATACTTGGGGACCAATTTCTGGGGGTTGATCTGGATGGTCCACAGCTGAGAAGTTGACACAACAGATGTGTCAGCCTCTGAAACCAAGGAGCCCGGGTTGACGTGGGCATTTCTCATGATTGGGTGTTGGAGTCTGTAAGTCTTCATGAAATCCAGTGACTTGAGCACAGGTGTACTGGAATGTTGATGTAGGTCATTTTATATATTGAATATTTAGCTGTTTCTCCCTGTTTACTTCACGTTTCCTTGGCCAATCCATCCCATTTCTCCGTCCTTCTCGTCACGTTCTAAATCTCACTTCTTCCCTTCTTCCCTTCGCCTTCCCTTCGCCTTCAGCGCAGCAACGCCAGGTGCCGTGTACCCGGAGTACTTCCTGGAGCTCTACTCCCCCGACGACACCGACGCGGCGGCGCCCGACAGCAACGAAGCGCCGGTGGACGACCCGGTCGAGGTCCCGGTGGCCGAGCGGGCGGCCTCGGCCGCGGAGCCGAAGCAGACGAACGAGGCGCGAAAGGGTTGGGGAGTATCAAAGCCGTTGGTGGGTCTGGGCATGTGTTGTAAAAGAACTGTACATGATGACCAGATGACTTGAAGAAGACCAGATGACTAAGACCTGGACTTCCTGCAGCATAAATCCTCTCTATTGAAGGTCTTAATTGCAACTGGTACGGCTGTAGGGATCTGTAGGGGTTCCAGATTTGGTGGTTTCGGGCATTCACTGCGATGAGTCAGCCCTGATTCTTGGCTTGTGGAACCTTTGAGGTCGAGCATGAAGAAGATCCTGTCGAACGGCCGGGTGAGGAAGAAGACCCTGCTGCGTGGTCAGGTGGGACGTTTCGACGGCTCTGTCGGATGGGTTCTCAGGGTCTGAAAGATGCGGCGTCAACGACGCCGAATGAAGACGTGATGTTCACAGATGTCAGTCCGATGTTCAAGGATCGTATGCATTAAAGATGTTGACAGTGTTGAGGAGCCGGAAGTATGATACAAAGGGGCAAGCTCCTGCCAGGCAAGAGATGAAGTTTCGATCCCAACAGCACCAGAGGCATTGCCCAAGAAGACTACAGCATAAACAATAATGACGATCATGATAACACATCAATCATAAATAACAAAAATATATCCGATAATATCAGTTATATATTATATAAATTAAAGCTATGCATGCAACAATGAATTGTATAAGACATGTATGACTAGTGTATAAGTCTTTGACAACCTTGCCATGTCATACTCATGTGTTTGATTCGACTTGGCTCGACTGGAGGTGAGGAAGAAGATCCAAAAGACTGGACAGAGGAGGAAGACAAAGAGGCTGTCAGAGGCGCTGTTGGAGGCTCAGATCACCCGCTACCAGTGGTGGAGGCTGTTCGCGGCTTCCTTTTTCCCCAAACAGCTTTGCTGTGAGGGGTTCTCAATTCTTGCACTTCTTGGACAGAAATGATTCGAGGCCAAGATGATTTCTGGCCTTCCGTCTTCTTTTGTTTGCCTTTGTCTCCCATGGCTCCTTTGGATGATGGTCTGAGGTGATTCTGCTTTTGCCTCCCTTTAAAATTTATTTTTCATGGCTCTTTCTGGGTGATGGGCTGGGATGAGTTTGCTTGCCTCCCTTTGTTTCCCTTTATTCTTCATGACTTTTCTTGATGTGGAGCTGAAATGATTCTGCTTTGTCTCTCGTTGATTCTCGTCGTGTCCCATGGCTCGTCTTGGATGATCGGCTGAATTGCTTCCCTTTGTCTCCCCATGCCTGATGTCGGGCTGAGACGATTCTTCTTTGTCTCTCACTGCCGGTATTCTTTTCTGGGGGTGCAGCCCATGGGCAAAGTGAGAAGTCTACCCAGGGTCTCTAGGAAATCTGCAACAATGGACCCTGCTGGCGTGTGTAACAGCGCAGGCCCAAGTCAAGACGAGATCGATGGCGAAAGCTCGCTCGATGTGGTGGGGTTTTGTATGGTTTTGTGTAGCAGCCCAATCGAATGGTGCCGCAGATTTGGATGGCTTTGGCTATTGTTTCGCCCGACCCTTCGCGAAAGACGTCGACGTCGACTGCTGGACGAAGTTCGAACCGGCCCAAGGAGCAGTTTTGGTACCTCAGCATTAATGCAGACGACATGGTGTTTGGCGCTTGCATGGGCAATTTCGAGGACTGCGCTTGGAATTCCGGGGTCCGGCATGATGCTGGTGCCATCACGGCGTCAGTTCGTGCGAGGCCGAGTCAGTTCGTGCTTCGGTCCTCTTGGGGGCGGGTGTGGTGAGCGTGTTATGTCGCTGGGGTAGGGAATGGCAGGAAACGCCTTCGCCGACCCAAACAACAGGAGCTTAGACCTGCCGTTGGGTCGCATATGGACTCAACATGAAGGCACACCTGATACTTCACCCCAGAGAAGTACTCTTTGGGGAACATTCCGGTCTTGATTCCAGGTGCTGTTGCCCCCGCAACGACGCCCCGAGTTGCGACGCAAGAACCATACACCGGAGGGCGGACCTGGTCCGGTCAAGAACCCACCAGACCATCCGGACAAAAACCACCTCGTGTCGATTGGTGGAGGCTTTACTTTGACCTGGGGGTTAATGCATCCACAGATGATCGACATATGTTATACATGCCCCCCCCCCTGCAGACTAACATGGAGCCTAAGAATCGACCCGTGGTTTCGACATGTTCCAGACCAACCCAGTGATTTTGGGGGTTCCATGTTGAGTGGATGGTTTGGACACTGCAGTGGGCGCCTCAGCATGTTCAACGATCGACTTATAACATAAGAAATACCTTACGGGGACTGACCAGGGGTAGTACCATGGCCGATAGGAATTGCTTCAGTAGGAATTGCTTCAATTGATCTGGGCACTCCTGTGATGTGTCGATATCTTGTTTTGACCAAGTTGCAGGGAGTGTAGCCCATGACCGACGCCTGCAGTCTGATGGGCTATACCGTCAACCAGTCTTAACCCGCTGAACCCCCAATCTGCTTCTCAGATCATGTCTCCATGGTTTTGCTTGGTGTGACGTTGATTTCCCGATGGGTATATCCTCTTTGGGCGCAGACTAGCGGTTGATGTATGTGTTCTTGTTCCTGGCCCATTCGCTCCAAGTCTCCCATCCAGGATGCCAAGCAGGTGTGCGAGGATGATGAAGATGGCGATTTCGCAATCATCGTGGACCAGCCAATCGGACCAAAGGGGGCGAGGTCTTCCGTTGTTGGGCGGGAGGTCAAGGGGCCGGTCCCTGTCTTGAACGGGCTTGCATCTAAGACAGTTCCGAAATGGAACAGGGCAGATAGCTGGAATACGGCATGATAAGACACGGGGAAGGGATTACGGATTACTGTAACAGAGAAAGCATGAGAAAGCACCGAATAACTAGCCACAGTTGAGCATCTGCATTTGAGATCATTTGAGTGAAGTAGTGGTCAGAATTAATGCTCCAATCTCTTCAACCCTATCCTGGGAGGTGCGCTTTAGCACCAGTGGCACGCAGAGGTACGATGTTGACACCCAGGTGCTTCAGTAGTCGCCTCCTCCAAGAGACAGCAGTAAATCCTGCAGCGACACCAGCCTGAGGAACTTCACGATTTTGAAGCGCTATAGAGGTCGAGGAGCTGAAAAGCGGAGGATTCAAGAGATGAGGGAGTGGTGGGAAATCAACAAGGACCGTGTAGTCAATGGGAAGGAATGCCGCGCAAGGAATGGAGAGGAGGGGGACGGGGGGAGCCATTTGTTCAGCCGAAAAAAATGAGGGATCCTTCCAAAGATGGGCAGCTTAGGGGATCGCCACACATCATCGCGGTGAGTTCGAACTTGATCCACTTTAGGTGATTGTGCGGACTCCTCGCACTACTATAGTTACTATATAGCTAGTATAACCAAAAGCCACGCACGGTGGAGCCCATCGCTATGACCGTGAAGGAGTCACGGTTGGGGTGAACTGGGTGAACCCCATGAACGAAACAGCCCGCACTTGGCAGTCGTGATGTGCAGGCAAGCCAGCCAATTATTAATCCCTCCTTGGAAGTAAGTACTTGAGTCACTTGAGTACTTGGGACATCTTGGCACCTCTCGCTGTAGCAGGATCTATTGACCCTGATTGTTTTTTAGTGTTCGATCCCCAGTGCCCGAGCTAGGTCCTTAGGTCCCAGGTCATCGGGTTGAGAAGGCTCAATGATTGGAGGGTGTGAAACAGGATGGACATCACTGGAATAGCCATTTTTGCAGGGGGGAAATGGACCCTTTGCTTCAGATTTGGGCCTCATCTCGCATGGTAACAGTGGATCTTCGGGAGGCTCTTCTCCCAAGTTTGGCATCCCAAGTTATTTAGATGCACATGTCACATGTCTCATTGGTCACAGACCGGTGCCTCCTGTGGGAAAAGAGAATCGGGAAAAAGGAGTGCATGAGGTTCATGCATTAATGATCATGGATGCTTGTTGGATTTTTCCCACTTGGTCAAGCGGTGCAATCAGTTTTAAGATGTTGTCAGTCACCGTAGGTCGCCAATTCTCGCTGGGTTTCTCACCAAGATGTGGCCGCGATGCGGGGAGGACAGCGATGATGACTACTGTAGCTCCTCTGACGAGTCATATTTCTAATGCTCGCCTGGATCCGCTCGGGCACAGTCCGTAATGCGGGAGTTTGGGCAGTTTCACTTTGGGCAGTTTGCATCTGCATTCTTAGCTTAAGGCTGATTGGCAGGGCATTGAGCGGCAGATTTCAAGCAACGTTGGAGGAAGACAAGAGCGCTGAATCTCTCCGATCGTGGGCTCTCCCACCCATGCCTTTCACAGATTTCACCAGAAGTGCATCTAGTCTACGTCGTCTAGTCTCATCTAGTAACGTCAATCGCCTGAGTTAGCATGTTGGATTTGTAGTCCATTTCATCTAGAGCTTGGTGTGACCCCCCCAAATGGGTAGTTTTTGCAGACCTTGTGAGTCAGGTCACCCGGGTGCCTTCGGGCCGTCGGAGCGCCTTTCTTATTGCGGGGAAACGGGGCGGTTCGCACCGACGGGTGACACGGATGTGTCAGGGACTGGACCCGAACCAAACCATACCAAACCCTATGTGTGTTGAGGGTTCGGATTCTCAGGGACAGTGCAACATGGTACAACTAGCAGCATATACCCTAGAGATCCAGTCGTACCTTCTCAGCAGGTGATTGGAGACACGGCTATGTAGGTGCCAGGAGGGTCCAGCCGTGCCTTCTGAGAAGATACACTCCATGAAACTGGAATATATGCCTACATTGACCCCCCACCACCTCTGGCCTGACCGGCAGTCCTATGGCAGTCGACAGGTCTGGGTATAGGATCGAAACTTGAGTGCCATGGCCCTAGGCTGGTGTTGCCTTGGCACAAGCTGAGGTTTTCATGGAAGCTGTTTTTGGTTGTAGCCGTGTTAGCTCAAAGCATTGCTGGCACGACCCTGCTCAAAGGCCGGAGGGTCGGGGGCTTGTTCGACATTGCTTCGGGTCTTGTGTGGTTGCGGATCGACCTCTATCCACCTCCAACGAGCCTGGAACGAGCCGAATCTGCTGCCAACTGACCCTGGTATACAAGCCCCACCGGTGCCCCACCATGGTCTGCTTTTGGGCCTTAGCTGCAAGCGGATAAATCACATGAATGATAAATGTAATCCCAATGTTACATAATTAAATCAGCTGCAGCAATTTTAAAAAAAAAGAAGAAAAATTACTTTACTTCGAGTGATCCCCACCATGACATTTCAATCATTTGTTTTGATGCCATAGTGAGGAGCATGTTGCCATAGTCGTTAGTATTGTAGTTCTCGATGTTGCTTGTGGGTCCTCGGGTTGTGTGCTGTGGTTGTGTGCTGTGTTGTGGTTGTGGTTGTGTTTGTGGTTGTGTGTTTGTGGTTGTGTGTTTGTGGTTGTGGTAGTGGTTGTGATTGTGTGTTTGTAGTTGTGGTTGTGGTTGCGGTTGTGTCTTTGTGATTGTGTGTTTGTGGTTGTGGTTGTGTCTTTGTGATTGTGTGTTTGTAGTTGTGTTTGCGGTTGCGGTTGTGTCTTTGTGATTGTGTGTTTGTGGTTGTGGTTGTGTCTTTGTGATTGTGTGTTTGTAGTTGTGTTTGCGGTTGTGTGTTTGTGTTTTTGTGGTTGTGTGTTTGTGTGTGTGTTTGTGGTTGTGTGTTGTGTGTATGTTTGTGGTTGTGTGTTTGTGTTTGTGTCTTTGTAGTTGTGTTTGTAGTTGTGTGTTTGTGATTGTGTTTGTAGTTGCGTGTTTGTGATTGTATTTGTGATTGTGTTTGTGATTGTGTTTGTGATTATGTGTTTGTGGTTGTGTGGTTGTGGTTGTGTGTTTGTGGTTTTGTGTTTGTGGTTATGTGTTTGTGATTGCGTGTTTGTGATTGTGTTTGTGATTGTGTTTGTGATTGTGGGTTTGTGATTGTGTTTGTGGTTGTGTGTTTGTGGTTGCGCGTTTGTGGTCGTGTGTTTGTGATTGTGTGTTTGTGGATTTTATCTGGCAAACTATCTGGTTGAGGTCCAGCGGTGCACACTGCGATCGGATCCTTGCGGTTGAGGTCCTGCGGTGCACACTGCGATCGGATCCTTGCGGTTGAGGTCCAGGCGTGCACACTGCGATCGGATCCTTGCGGTTGAGGTCCAGGGGTGCACACTGCGAGGGGACACTGCGATCCGGTGCTGGCCAGACAAGATCGGCGAAGCAGCGTGCGAGGAAGGAAGCAAGGAGGAAGGAGGAGGACGAGGCGGCGGAGGCGGAGGCGGAGGCGGAGGCAGAACAACTGTGATAAAATCTAACAACCCTCACCTGGCAGGTGGGGAAACAACTAATCTCAATCCATCTCAGTCCCAAAGGTGTCCCAATCGCGCGACTTGCATGAATCAAGCTGGGAAAAAAATAAACATTGAGCGGGCACACAGGGTTGAACCCGGAGGTGGATCGAAACCAGCCTCTGTCAGGGTTGAACTTGCAGCCGTATTGCGATACAACACTATCACTTGAGGTAGGTGTTTTACCTTAGCAGTCACCCGATCCATGGAATATCATTTTTTCCGTGATCGGTCACCCGAGGACAGAGCCAGGATGTTGGAATGAATTTCCTCAGAAACATTCAGAAATTATCTCTTGGCCTTCTTGGCCCTAGCCAATGCATTTTGACAGGTGTTTTTCAGAAAGCTGTGTTTTTCAGGTGACCGTTTAGACTGGTTGAGGTGAAGGTGGCCAGGCGGCACCAAAGACAGCTGGCCAAGTGTTTGCTTCGGGAATCACAGACAGTGGCCATCCAAGTTTAGGGCGCATCCAAAACCGTGGTGACTGAAACCTACCGTGGCCAACCAACCCCCCGAACTTCGAACTGTCTCGCCTCGCCGGCCTCGCCTCCTTGGCCAGGCTTCGGGGAATGTGAGGGGCAGCCACCCGACGTCCTTGAGGCGATCTGGTGAGCTGGTTGCGGGGCTCTATTGGATATATCAAATTTTGTGCGTTTGTTTGTGTTTGATACTGTTTGATTGTTTGTTTGTCTATCACTCAAAAAAGTCCATCTTTGTTTAGGCCCAGGCACCTTTGTTCCGCCAAGTGGTTGAGCTGGGCCACCATGGGACCATGACAAATTGCTGGTGATGATGAGTGATTGATGTTATTTTTTCCCGATCTTTTGGAGGCCTTGGAAGATTTATTTTCCAGGTTGATCAATAAGTGCAAGATACTGTTCTACTGTTCTGCACACACGTGGAAGATAGGGGTGTTAATGCGCCCCTGATACGCCGCAGCTGCAGCAGGTTGCAGGAAACCATTGGCCTGCCTTGACCATGCCAGAGGACACCATGTGCTCGGTTGGACCTGGTCAGGAAGACTCCGAGTTCCAAAGGGGCGCAGTTCAGGATGCAGCATGATACAGCTATTATTTGAGACCTCCTTCAACCCTTGTTGTTGAGAGAGGGAGCTGGATGTGCTCAGGCCAAGCCAACTGCTACAACAACTTCTTGGATCTCATGCATTGGGCTCATGTGTAACTGGCAACACTTCCTAGACTTTCCTTCTTTCCCTCATCAACTGGTTTTGCCTTTGCGGCTGCTGCCGGTCTCACGCCCAAATGCCGGCACAGGGGTTGGATCGTGTTGTGCTCCTCTCGTTCTAATGAACCACACCTATGGCCCCCCCAATAAGCATCCATGGGCGACGGCGGAACGGCTCCGGTGGACGAGGACGAGGGACGAGTGCCGATCAAAGTGAGGTCCCAAGGGCCACAGTCTGAGTTCTTTCACCAGGATCTTTGGACCCTCCATAGCAGGGGATTGGACCCGAACCAAAGACGTGTCATTGAATGAAAACCGGGGATTTCGAAGGCCCTCATAATGTATGTAGAATCTTGATGAACGACTCCCGCCCATTTGGAGTATAAACCTCTTCATTTGGGGGGCGTTATTCATCACAGTCTGCATTACAGCAAGCTCACAGTTCGTCCCCACAAGTTGCGAGGCTGATGGCTGATCAAGGTCCAGACTTGCGAAGTGGGGTCTTGCTGAGTTGCGGTAGGTTCAACACATTTCTTCACATGGCCGCGAAACGTATTTTTGCTTGGCGCTTCAACTGGGTATATATTGCATTTTGCTTATCCTTTTGCGGGCGAACCTCGGGAAGGTCCATAGGCTTGTAGGTGTTTATTTGCTCCTGCAGGGCTTGCTCATTTGTGGTATGTAATGCGTATATGGACTGCGCTCAAAAAGCCCTACTCAAAAAATATAGATAAACCTAAACTTTTAAGGTTGGGGATGTGTTTTTAAGTCTTTGTTTCGAAGCGGGCCCCCAGCAGACTATGGTGATACAGCAAGGCAGCGCTAGATTGGCGCTAGATTTCTTCACAACAGGATAAGCAAGCAGGGAAAAGAAACAAGCAGAGAGCAGGAAAAGGAAGAAGCAAGACAAGAAAAAGAAAAACAAAGCAGAAGCAGAAGAAGAAGAAGAAGCAGAAGAAGAAGAAGAAGAAAAACAAGCAGGAAAAATAAGAATCTGATAGGAAAAAGAAATCGACGGATATTTTTGCGCTAGGCTGGCGCTAGATCCGCGCTAGCACCGCGCTAGACGACGGTCCATTTCTTGACCGTTTGCCCATCCAACATCCAAATCTTTTGAGTCAGCTCTTACATCCTTCCTATATCGTCCTGAAGATTTCTGAGAGGAGGGGTATTTATTTTTGGATTTTGTTGTTTCTTTTTTGTTTTTTTTTTGTTTTTCGTGGCTTCTGGCTTCTGGCTTCTGTGGCTTCTGGCTTTTGTGGCTTTTGGCTTCTGTGGCTTCTGGCTTTCGTGGCTTTCGTGGCTTCTGTGGCTTTTGGCTTTTTGGCCTATCCATCTATCTGTCTATACCTATATCTATTTATCTATCTATCTTTCTTTCTTTTGGCAGCTGTTCTCCTTTCTCCTTTTGTATATGCTTTTCCTGTTGTTTTCGTTGCAGAGACGAAACCAAACAAGGAAGCAAGCAAGCAAGCAAGCAAGCAAGCGAAATCTGCACTTCATCCCCGACACCCGCGCCTGCCACGAAATCAATATTTTAAGGTGAACTCCCCGGTGCAAAACTTTCTAACCAAGCAAATATGCCTCCTCTATCTATCTATCTATCTATCTATCAATCTTATCTTATCTTATCTAATCTAATCTAATCTATCTATCTATCAATTTATCTTTCTATCTTTCTGCAGTTCAACATCCACAAAGTACTGCACCTGCCACGAATCTGCACTTCAAGGTCCACAAAGTCTTGCGCCTGCCACGAAATCTGCACTCCAAGGCCCACAAAGTCCTGCACCTGCCACCAACTCGACTCTACACTTCCACACCCACAAAGTCCTGCATCTGCCACGAAATCTGCACTTCAAGGTCCACAAAGTCCTGCGCCTGCCACAAAATCTGCACTCCAAGGCCCACAAAGTACTACACCTGCCACGAAATCTGCACTTCAAGGCCCACAAAAAGTCCTGCGCCTGCCACAAACTCTGCACTCCAAGGCCCACAAAGTCCTGCACCTGCCACGAAATGTGCTTTGCAAGGTCCACAAAGTACTGCACCTGCCACGAAACACGAAAAACAAAAAAAACAAACGAAAAAAATCCAGAAATATATTCGCAACCTTTCTGAGAACACAAATGGGAAAGTCCACCAGCAGCAGCAACAACAGCTCCAGCAGCTCAACAGGCCCCTGAAAAGGTCCGCGCTAGACTCTCACAGTTTTTGCAGTTGACATGCCTTCATGTTTAACATCCCTGTGGTTTGAGTGTGGTTGGAGTTTAAAGGAGATTTAGAAGCGGGACCCCATGGAATTGCGATGAGTGCACCATTTTGGGAAAAGACATTTTGGAAACCAACCATATAGTTATGGACATGGAATGCATGGAATCCGAGTGAGATGGTCCTAGCAATCTCCTGCTTGTTTCTTCCTCCGCCCTCCGTTCTTTTGCCCGCTGATTGAAGCGTGAAGGAGATCCAGCTGAAGCTGGTTTTCGCCAATGTCCGGCCCCGAAAGATTGGAAGTCTGGGGCCATGCCAATTGAGGCTTGCAAGGTGACAAGTTGAGGGTGGTGATGTTCCAGATAGTTTCTAGATGCTGCTTGGGTTGGACGCTTCTTGTCATCCTGGACACTCGCGCAAGATCTTGGAAAAATAGGACTTGATCAGTTCAACTGTCATTTTGGCCGGACCCATGTCAACTCCACCTGTAGTTGAGATCCGAAGTCGGACGCGATGTGTTTCGCCCGTTAGAGTTCGAAGGACCCATGTCAGCAGGCAATGCCGAGTCTCATGAGCACTGGGGCGGTGTAGAAGTGTCTGGAAAACACGATGTCTAGCAGAACCTGTTGCACACAATAGGTGCGACTGGTTTAAACCGCAGAGGTTGAAACCATTGCGAGCTGCTGCCGGTGCTGCCGGTTTAGGGGAGCGATGGCCTCAGGACCACAACTCGGCGAATATCAGTGTGGCAAACAACACCAGCGCCGGCCTCTCAGCGCCGACAACCAACGGGGGCATGTCACGCACAGTTGGGCATGGAGGCTCTTGGCCTTTGAAAGTTATCTCAACCACGGGAACTCATGGGTCCACTCATGGGTCCACGGTCCACTCACAGGTCCAAACTCATGGGTCAACTCATTACCTTTAGAAATCCTGGGTCCGCTCATGCAACCAATTGACTTGAAACCCAACCACGATCATTTGGAGCAGGAATTCCTGTCCGGCTTCCACGGAAAGAGAAAAAGGCTTCTCTTTGTCAGCAGGCACCTTTTCCGTGAGGGATTTGGAGTTTATCAGTTCAACTGTTTACTCTTCGAACTTCACAAAGGGAACCGACTCTTCACAGGAAGAACGGTCTCGCCCCAGCTTCGCTATCGCCTATGGCCATCCAGATAGCACCGCGACAGGTCAAGGAGGTGAAGCGATTGATCGTGCAACGGCCGGGACGTGACCGGAGCGGGGAAGAAGCACGGAGGGGTCCCGGCGTTTGGGAGTGACCGGACCGGAGACGGGTCGGACGCTGGGCACACAGACTGGTTTTGGAGGGTTTTGGGGGATGAAAGGAACAGCTTCTCGCTCCGTGCGTAGCGATATGTAGCGATGCCCCGAACGTAGCTTCTTGTTCCTATGCCCTGACCGCTCGGTTCGTAACTTGAGTCGATGAAGGTGAGAAAGGCAACCCGTCCAGTGTGTAAACTGCCTGCACGCTCAATGGCATGAATCCGCATCCAGCTCAGCCAATACTCGCACGTTCGCTTTTTGGGGGGATCCCGAAGAATTGCTTTCATGGCCAGCCATTGCTTTCAGATGTTCTGCCCCAGTGTGGAAACCGTTTCGTTCGTTTCAATCAGCAGAAATGCGAGGCAACTCAGAGCCGAACCAATTGCAATGCACACCACCTACTAGCGATGTAATCATCACTATATGGGTGGAGCTTACCACAGTTTGGTAGAATGGCCAGAGTCGTCCCGCCCCCGACGACCTCCAAAGAACCACCCCCTTGCAGGTCCAGTGGTAGCTTTTGGAGCTTAATTCATTACATTGCATGCAAGACATGCGGAGTCTAGTGGCACAGTCAACCCCAACTCTGGGAGTGCATTTTGGTTGAACAGCCTTCGCAAAGAGAAACTACGAATAAGAGCAGCACTCAGATGCTAGTCGGATGCAGATGTGCAGCTTGCGGAAGGTGCCACCGGAATTTCCAGCAACTGCTGCGAGGCACTGGCCCGAAAGCCCCAACCTCATCCCAGCAGAGCAAGTCGAGAGGTGCCCTGAATGAAACCCGCGCGGCTTGCGAGCAGATCGAACTCGATCGTTTGAAGACCCAAGCCAGGCCTCTCCAAGGAGCCACACAGCCACCTTACCCTCCCAGAATCAAGGTTATGCGGATGTTATACCATGTTCCTCCACCACACGGGAATTGTCCACTTCCATGATAGGAGGGAGGGTCAAACCTGGTGGGTGCAACAGTGTAGCTGAAGGTCCAGCTTCGCGGGCCCCCGCGATCCCCCGCATGTCTTTTTTCGAGGCAGTCTTTACGGGCTTTGTGCGATGTTTGTAGGACGTGTGTACGTTGGAAATCGCCTCGCACTCCACACGGTCACTCCACATCACTCAACGTGGATGCGGGGCATCCCACAGGACTGTACATAGCTGCATCCGGATACAGCTAGGCTTGCCCAGGGTGATGAGTCCCATTGGCTGCAGTTTGAAGCTGCAGCTAGGCGTAGACATGCGCACCAGGAGTCACAAAGGAGCGGTGTTTAGTTCCTAAGTGGAATGGATCATGGGCACCCCTATCCTCCAATAGGCACCCCTTTGTGACTGCCGGTCATCGACAGGTCTCCGTTCTCGGTCGATCTCACCGACGCGGCGACCGAACCGCACGGCCTTTTTGGTCCGTCCGCGTCGGTGCATGTTTAAACGCGTCGCGTGGCAATCAATGGTGTCAAAGTTTCTTGGTGTGAGGGAAAAGGTCACTTGGGTGGTACAAAACCCATGGGTTGGTCTTTCGAAAGCTTCCAGCTTTTAGTCCATGACTATACCTGACACTGAAAAGCTTTCATAGCCAGGTGACTACCTTAATGCCTTCAAAAAAGCCAGGTGACCTGATGTCTTGCCAGCCAGGTGACCTGATGTCTGGCCTTCACAGCCCCCTTCCATGTCCATGTTCCACGCCAGGATACGGCTTTTCGCAGCAGGTGCAGCGCGGTTCACACTCGCCGCGGGCCATTCGCGGCTTCGCACCGGATGATGAGTTGAAGTCAAGCAGAATCAAGACAAAGGAATGCAACATCGCTCAAAAAACTACTCCTCCAAGTAGCTAGAGAGTCTTTTTGATGTATTTTTGACATGTTTCTGAGTTTTAGAGATGTTATGTTGAAGCCCTGGAATCAACTCGGCTGTTCCAGTGCCAATGTCGCCACTCTTTTCGTGAACAAGGGCCAAAGAATGGCTCGCAGGTATGGACGGTGTCAGTGAGCAGTCGTACCATGGACCCTCCCCGTGTTTTCGACAATTTTCCTCTACAACCCAGCGGTTTTCAGGTTCCATGGGAACCTGCAGGGGAGCAATCTGAGTAATACCCTCCCTGCAACAATCATGGAAGTGGGCAACCCCCTCTTGGTAGAGGAATGTAGTCTTCCAAGGGGCCACTGATTGTTTCAGGAAGTCTATATTGTCTTGAACCTGATTCTAGTTTTTGTGAATTGAAGTCATCGAAAACCAGATGAAGGCTCACGAGCCCGAGTGCAAAGCAAATTGAATATCGTCTAGGCCCAGGCTGTGTGACGCTCTTGTAGGAAAGTCTTATATTATTATGGAACACTCTTACTCTTGCTTGACACTCTTCATTCTAGGACATCCTTGCTTGAAATTCAGGAAAGGCCCTCCAAGTGGTTTCCAGCTTGCCGCATCATGGGCAGTTCGAAGACCGCGTGTCTGAACGTCGCAGGCAAAGAGCTCGGGGGCAAAGGCTCAGAGGACTCAAAGACTTTGAAAGATGCCAACATTCTGCTGAGTCTGCGGCTAAGTTCAAGAGCGAGAAGGCTGTCCAGCTAAGCTGGCGTGCTAGCTGCTGGCCACCTTTTCTGGGGTATGTGTCGAAATGATTCGAAATGACATGACATGACTATTGGAAACCACCCTACTTCCTGGGAAGAAGTAGTTACCAAACCCACTGGTACGGGGCGCCCCTGTTACGACATCCCAACATGCCCATAGCCTTGTTACTGGACTCAGGGTGGCTTGAATCTGCCAGACAGATTCTTGTCCTTTCAGCTGGAGGACGCCAACAAGAAAGAATAGCAAGGTGCCGGCTTCATCCTGATCACCAGGTGGCCATTTTTTGGAGGTGTTGGAGGTGTTTCCCGACCAAACAGCTACACATCACCTGTCCCTTGATAGATAGAGATGGGAAGACAAAGACACGGAAGCATGATCCAACGACGTCATGTGCTCCTGGTAGCTTCTTGTTCCTAGTAGTATGCGGCCAGGAGCCCCGAACGTTCTTGTCCGATCGCTCCGTTCGAGTCGCGATGTTTGGGAATTGGCTGAGGCAAAAATGGCCCCACGCCTGTTCACGTGATGGCCGTGCTAAACTCAGAGGAAGACGTGCTGACACGGGCGTCGGAAGGGGCAACTGCTTCGGCGGACGAGGACCCAACTCGGAGTACTGAGTACACTCCCGAAAACTAACATAGACCCGGGTCCAATGGACCCTGGAAGAGTGTTTTCCTCTACCAATCAGTGGTTTTCAGGGTTAGACCAATTGATCGTTCCAAGTGTTTTTTCGTGGCCAATCGGATGTCTTCCATCAGCAGGACCATGTCAATTTTGCGTCAGCCCGGAGTCATTGGCGAAAACTGCCACACCCTATCTCATCGCCTGAACTGCAGGGCTAGTGGCCCACCTTTGGCCCGCCTGTTGCCGTGTGGCCCTAAAACACTCGTGTCAGCCCGGGGGAATTGAAGGAGCGTGGCCCACCTTCACTCCCAGTGGGCCGGTTTCACCTACCTCGCCTCACACAGCTGTCCCAGACTGCGTACGGATCAATGGGGAAAACCCAGGTGACTTGGGGCAATGACCTAGGACCTGGCTCCTGTATAAGGGACCTACCTAGGACCTGGCTCCTGGATGCTTTTTCGGTGTCTTGGACGTCTGTTCCACCTACTCAGCCGTCCAAGCTCGCTCGTCTCGTTGCATCTCTCTCCAGGTGGAGGGGGGCCCAGCGGTGGAGAGTGCTGAGAAGAGTGCTGCGAAGGCCAATTCACAGCTCCTGGGCACCGAAGACAGGTCATGGTGGACGGATTCACATGGTGTCGCAGGGCGTCCGGACTGGGATTGTTACAGTAGGGTCCGAAATGTAACAATTCCAGTCCCATGGATGGTCTGGGTGTACCTGATCGGACCGGCCGTGGCCGCCGGGTTCATCCGCCCGTGCGGAGCGCGCTCGATCGCTGGTTCAGACTCCCTGAAAAGGTTGGAGATCGCGGATCGCTTTGGGTTTGAGACGTGCGACCGACGTAGGTTTTTCTGACGCTTTCTCAGCCCAACAAGAGAAAGCCCTTGCAAGTCAAGGAAGTCTGAATTTAACTAGGCAGAAGGCACAGGGGGGCTTGGAATGGCCCTGGGCTGATTCACTGTGAGAGAGAGGCAGGCAATTAAGCATGTATAAGGTTCGATGTTTTTCTTATGCAGGAAATGAGCAAAGGGACACGATGGGGGAGCTACAGCTACACAGCAAAGCCTAAGAGGCCCAATGACTCTAAACAAGCAAGCAGGCAGGCAGGCAGGCAAGCAAGCAAGCAAGCAAATACACACACAATCACACACATATACTGTGTTCTCTGAGCCAACCATGTTCTTTTTCCACAGTTTGGTTTCTATAGAAGAAGATTCCACTGGAAAGTGGTGTCACCAATCCTGCTCTACCAAGACTGTTGAAAAGTAGTTTGGAATGGTCTCGCTTGCTAGGCTAGGGCCTAGGGGAAGGGAACCTCAGGCGCGTTGCATTTAATAGTCAATCAGGCCTGATAGCTTTAGGAACCGGGGATAGAGTTTGCTAGGCTTGCAGGACATCATGTTGGGTCAAGCATGAACATGACTCATGACCCTACAGCATGTTGACTCAAGTGGCCAAAAGACGCTTGCCGCATTGTGCGTCCCGGGGTCATTCCAGATGGTTCCAGGCAGGGTTGAGAACTGATGTTCGTACTTTCACAACATCTCCAAAGAAATTCCCAACAAATCTCCAACCATCCAACCAGTCTTCAGGATTTGTTCACGTCTTGGCTTAAAAAGCTTCCTCAGGTGCTTTTGCACACTGCTGTGAGCCACCGACAACACCGCACTGAATCTCGGCCAACTTTCGTTGTTCGGTTTCGAGCACACGCTCGATCCACTTCGAGCACTGGCTCGAAGACCTCGAGCGTTTCACCACGGGCGGGACCGACTGGTAGATACCAGTGCAGCCTGTCTCCCGTGCAGTCTGCGGCCTGGGCCAGGGACTGGGGGGGTGCCCAGCGAGGGTGATGAAGAAAGCAGAAAGCACAAGAGATTTTCTCAAGATGCAGCACCACAAGGTCTAAGTGGACTTTATGGTGCTCATCGCACTTGAGGGTCTAGCAGTTCTAGGATAGATGTAGCTATAGCGGCTGCTAGTGGAGTTTGTGTTTCTTGGATGGTGCGGCCAACATGATTGGAGAAGAGCGAACGTCGAATTTGAAAGAATTTATTGCTCAAGGTGGCGCCATTTCTGATTGCACGGACACCTTTGGTGTTTGCGCATGCGTATTGTAGCTTCAAGCAAAAGAGATCGCATTTGTCATCGTTTTTCGTTTTTGGCGAAGAGTGCTGTAGTTGCGCTTTGGGTTTTGACTCAGCGTGCTGGCACCCCTCCAGGTCGTTCGTGTCTAGCGTCCCTACGCACCATGTGCTGGAGCACTGCTTCAAGAGAAACATTGTTTCAGCGCTTGATGTGCACGGCCCTGTCGCTACGAAAAGGTGACATCAAGGCCTCCGGAGGGCGTCCAAGTCATCAGGGTAAGGAGGGCAACAATTGAAACACTGCACCAGTGGTTTCCATGTTGGATTCCTGTTCACATGCGGGCCACGCGGCATGAAGGTGGATGAGGTTACAAGGGGCGGGGTTAGAGGTGGAGGGAAAGGTGCCCGTACACATGCAGAGCCCGCCTGAGAAGAGGATCATAGAGGATCCTGAGCGTTGCCCATGGCTTGACCCTAGAAACTCGTGCAGGACCCCGCCCAACCCAGGAACACGCCTGTTGTTTGTTCCTTCCTTACGCTGCAAGGTTGTTCCTGACAGCGAGGTTTGTGTCCGACTTGAGGCGGAGCAACTTCACGGAAGTCGCATCACGTTTAGACCTTAGGCCGACACGGCACAGATGAGTGCACTGTTTACTTTGTTATACGTATTGCGTACGGATCACAGCGGAGCAGAGGACCAGGGGATGCTTTTCTGATGTTGACCTTGCGGCCTTGCGCAAAGCCTTTTCCTCTCAGTGGCATCAGGGGAAGCAATGGATGGAATGAAGATATACTTTCGACCTTCAAAGTGACTGAACTTCAGATCAAAGACGTCACTACGCTCCAAAGACGTCACTTCGATTTTGACGACTTCCCCGGTGGGTTCGGAAAGATGTTTTTTTCATATTGGGTCAGATCTTTTCAGCTCGCAATCCTTATAGGTCATTAGGGCGGTCATTATAGGTATTGGTCCCCAGTGATGTCTGCTCATCAATCAGACCGGAAATGGGACTTTGCAGCAGTAAGTTCCGTCCGCTGCTACACCCCACCACTTACGACGTCGAACGGGCCAGAACGGGATGGACCTCGCCAAGGGCGACCGCATGTTCGACTGGGAACGGAACCATATGTCCACCAAGGTAAAGAATTCTAAACAGCCAACCACCCAACCAACTTATATACAACCTGGTTCCGAAGGGGATCAGATTCCTGATAACATGGTGAGGCAATGCAATATTGACTATAGTATAGATGTTTAGGCTGGGAGGACGCTGATGCTTGGTTGGCGACTCTGAAGAGCTGCAGCCGGCACCACATCACTTTTGCTGCTCGGTGACCGGGCCGCGTTCCTTACTCGGTTGGAACCCAAGACCGCGTGGGACCATGAGTCATACATTGTCGTACGTCGCCTGTTCCTTGCGGCTTGTCCATGACCTTTGCCGGGTGGGGCCAGGTATGCCAAGCGGGTGATGCATGTTTGGAGTCCTTGCGATGTTGTGCCAGGAATGCCAAGCGGCCGGTCTGGAAGGATTCGATCTCACTATCTTTGGGGGGATGCACCATGGCCCTCGGCGGTCCTTCGCAAAAAACGGATGGATGCAGAAACTCGCTGCTTCCCTAGCTGTGTTAGCTCAAGCATTGCTTGTGCCAGCGCTGCTCAGAGGCTGGCACAGTGGTGCAGTTTGTGTCTTTTCTCTGGGAGTGTCCAGTGGTTAGGGCTACATACATACCTTCCCTGAAACAATCATCGAAGTGGAAAACTACCGGTGTGTAGAGGAACACAGTCTTCCAAGAGGCCATGTTCCACTTCCATGTTACAATCATGGAAGCTGAGCAGACCCCCCTTGTAGAGGAAAATTGGTCTTCGAGGGTCCGACGTTCCGTTGATTTGCTCAGGGAGTGACATCTGAAAACGAAACTGATGCTGGCAGTATGCTGCTAACATCATGGTACCTTCCCCACCCCATTTGATCTCACTTGTGCTGGTGCCTTTGGGCAGATACCATGACGTTTCTTGTGGATTGCGATGAGTCGCGTCGTGGTTCAACAGCTTTACCTGAGATGAGAACCATAATCCCATCGTTTCCTAAGGAATCCCATTTACTGAGGTTTCCTAAGGAATCCCCTTGTTTCCCATTGTTCATTGTTACATAATCCCATTGTTACCTTTGTTTGCGATACATGTGCGATACGTCCTTGAAGGATAGGTTGTGTGAGGCGTGTGAGGCGCACGGTGTTTCTGTCCTTACCTGACTTTACGTTCCCTGGGTACTTGCATTGTCCACTCAGGTGAGTGCTCTAAAGAGAGGGAATCGTGGAATCAATTTCCTCAGATCTTGCTCTTAGCCAAGAGACTTGACACAGTACTTGACACTTGTCTTGAGCAGATAGGTTTCTGCAAAGCCAACACCCCAGACTGTCATGTTGCAAGGAGGCTTGTCTAGATGAAGACTCGGATAGGTCGCCTTGCCGCAAGTGATTTCGGGATTCGAACCAGTCGAAGCTGGCAGTGTACGCTGCGGAAAGCTTCAAATTGAAATTCGATGGACCATAATGGTTGAGAGATGTTGAGAGTAGATGGCACAATCCCCAAGTTTGGCTCTTCAGTTTGGCTCCCCCCATCTAGAAAGGCATCTTGGGGTGTTTGCCATCTACTCTGAAACTGTAGTTGCTCCAAGCATCTCGTGACGCCGTGGCGAGCCGACATGCCACGCCGCAGGCGTCTCGGGGAATGCAACAGCCATCGGCCGCCCTACGTCCCTGAGGCGGTTGCGTCGGCCTGGAGAAGCCCCCAGAGAACTTGGGGTGTTCTAGGTCAAGGCCATTCAAAATGAAGAAAGTTAGTGCGGTGCAGTATTTAAAGAAGAAATGTGGACATGTGGTCGAATGAACAAGTGCGAATATTCCATCGACTGGGAGGCTCATGGATGTGGAAAAGCGTTGCAGACCTTTGACATCCTTTGACCCAAACATTCTGCGACGCAGGCAGATAGTAGACCTTTATATTAAACTCTTGTGTGTGTGCCCCAGACGGGACTACAAAGACACTTGGTTGGTCTTTTCTTTTCACGCGTCCTGTTTAAGTAGAGTTGGGATGTTCAACTTGGGCGAGGCATACCCCGAAGCATACCCCCGATGCATACCTCCGAAGCACACCCCATAGTCAAACATCCTGGCCTGGGGAAACTTAAAGAACATACGCACCCACTTACATGAAGCGTGGATGAATGCCCGCTCTGGTCATTGGAGCATTCAAAACACATCCACACGTGGTTCGGGGTGTTTCTGCTGGTGGGGTCTTATAGACCAGTTTTTGTGACAAGTCAGACATGGCAAAACGACGCAGATGCCCAAAGCCCTGATTGGAACATGTTTCCCAGTAGACTACTCAGTAGACGTTTCTGTGCGACCGGGCCAGCAATAAGGAGTTTGACCAATTGCTAATTGCTATGTGTTTTAGATGCTTTGCCCCCGACAGAGCAAGATACTCTTGGAGTCGATTCTGTGATGATCTTCTTCACGTGCCGCCGGGCCGCCACCTACGACACACTGGGTGCACTGCAGAGGCTGCAGAGGCAGGAAACCACATTGCCTTGGCCATGCCAGAGGAGACCCAGTACGTTGGACCGAGTACCGCCTTCTCGAGGTTCTGCGGACCGCAACGTCCGGAAAACGCGTGTGGTAGGCCGATCGAGTGGTCGTTCCAGGGATTCCGCGGCAAACCGGCCGTGCCGCATGGGACCATTTTCCATTCATCATGCTTTTGGAGAACAACTCTGTCACCCTGAATGAGAGAAGGAACTGGATATACTCCCCTCCTTCCCCCCAACTGCTTCAACTTCGCCCTAAGACGGGCGCCCACACCGCGGCACTGGATTGACTTGAAGGTCCGAAGGGCATGCTGAACGGCAGAGGGGCTCCAGCAAATGAGAGAGGAGTGATGAGCAATGACTTGATTCACCTAGGAGCGATGGCCTCCAACCTACTAGCGACAGCCTCCAATCTGACAGTGATGGAAATGAGATGAAATGAGTAAGACGCAAAAGAGCTAGTGCTCCAATTGGGGGAATGATGCGCTTCTTCATGCCCAAACGGAGGTTTTCCCAGGTGGCAAGGCCATGCGAGGCCCTTTCAAGCACAGCAAGGTCAGGTGGGACTAAGAGGCTTCCAACAGAGAAGGGCTCAAGAGCCAGCTTCAGAGAATGAGGTCTGTGTACGGAAAGTGAGTGCTTTTCTTCTGCTTTATTCTCCCTCCGCCCTTCGTTCCTTTCCACGCTGGCTGAAGCGTGAAGGAGATCGAGCTGAAGCTGGTTTTCGCCAATGTCCGGCCCTGAAAGATTGGAATTCTGGAGCCGTCATGCCGATTGAGGCCTGCAAGGCAAGTTTAGGGTGGTGATGTTCTAGATACTGCTCGGGTGGGACGCTTTTGTCCGGGCACCCTATAGATTTTCTGAACCGAAGGATGATGCTTACATCTGTTCTTTTTCTCCTGCCATGGGCGATTCGCCTGTGACAACGTTGCATCATGAATTACATTTAATTACTAATTATGGATGCTTACCTCGGAATGATGATCTGATTATTGAATGCAACTTTGGACCACAGGGGGGTCGACATGGTGAAGCCATCGGGACGAAGTAATTGACAGAGGCCCCAAGACGGCCAGGACTGGAAGGACTGGGACCAACCAATTTGCAAGCTCAGGAAGTGGTTCAAGCTCAGGCAAATCAAAATGATCCTCATCTTCTACAATGTCCAATAGATTTCCACCCAACATGGCTCACCCTGGAAAGCACTTAGGAGCAATCGGTATGTCTTCAGGCTTCAGTCGTTTAAAAGAATTCAGGTGCCGGCCACGTGTGCTGCCCGGAGGGCCTGCTGGGGCTTAAGCCCAGCAGTTGACCACACCGCCGAGCACCTCCATGACTGACCCTCTAATTTACAGTGTTTTGTGGCCTTGCCGGTTTTGATGCTTGTGGTGCATATGGTTGCGCATAGCTATACATGGGTATCTCAAGAGACCCTGGTGGTGCCAGTTATGTTGCTCGGATTGCTATGCAGTATCAGCATTAGGTTCTTGTTGCGGACTACAGACAGACAATATATATATACACACATACATTGCACAGACACATGTTTGCATTCATCGGCATTCTACATTGTTATTGGGGACACACCGATATACACACATCCATAGTTTGGATGCATTCTCATGCATTCTCCTTGCCTATACCCTATAACATCCTGTAGCTATTGTCGACACACTTACCTGCCTACGCACCTACCTATCTACCTATATATATCTACATTACGTACCACCTTTCAACCTCCCGCCCTTCTTCCTCCACCTCTCTCTTCCCTGTCCACCTGGCCAGTCAGGCGCAAGCCTTTCATTTGTTGCCCCACTGTAGGTGCGATGTGTTTCCACCGCAGAGGCTGAAACCATCACGACTGTCAAGTGCTGCCTGTTTGGGGCAGCGACGGCCTCAGGACCACAACTCGGCGAACATCAGTGTGTTAAACAACACCAGTGCCAGCCTCTCAGTGCCGCACCAGACGACGCCGCGAGCACGTCGAACCATCGCGACGGTCGGCACAACGTCGCGGCGCATAGCGGCGCCAGTCATATACTTGTTTCTCAACCAAGCGAATCGAAACTCATCCTGCAGAGATCCTGGGTCCATTCGTGACCAGTTGACTTGAAACTCCACCCAGGTCATTGGATCCTTTTCTTTTTCCGTGGACAAGCCGTTGGAAACAATACCTATTGCAAACTCAACGAGCTTGAGGGTCGGGATGAGCTCAGTTCAAAGATTAATTATTTTGAAATCTCCAACCCTGCAGTTCCAACAGGGTGGTTTTCAGTCTCATCCAGAATGCCAGTAGGTGGATCTCTTGGACACCCCTATTCTCTTCCAATGCTGAGCAACATCCAACTTCTGGGGAAAGAATTGGAAAGCAACGAAGTCCCACTTTCTCACCAGCACCGCCCAGCTTTGGGGTGCTTCTTTGGACGCCAACCTTTCGGAAGAAACGACGATGGTGCCATTCCCTTTTCCTTCAGGTGAAGGAGCTGAAGCGAAAAATCGTGCAAGGGTGCGCTCGAGGGTCTTCCGGGGATTAGAAGGGTGAGACGCATGCATGCACTGGCGCCACGGTCCAGTGGAAGAAGGGATGAAGAAGGTGAGAAGGGCTCCGGGTTTGATTGTCTAATCGCATGTTGAACGAATCTTATTCAGGTCCAGTTCCGTACTTCGCTCCGCTCCTGTGGTGCTTGAACCTGAGAAGGAATTGGCCCTATTCAGGTTCTACCTGTTGTTTCATGTTGTTTCCAGATCCCGTGGCTAGGGGAGTCAGAGTTCAATCTTTTGGTGCCAACCTGCAAAGGGAGCATCGCCGCAAGTTGATCGCCCCTTCCACCAAAGACCTTCAAGGAAGCATCAACAAAGTTGACCCTCCGCAGCTTCTGCAACAATTCATTGCAACAGATGAAGACGTTTGCGGTAGCATGATGTTCCACCCCGAACTCTTGGCTGCTTTTGTGCCCGAAAGCGTAACAACAAGAAACCATATAAATGCATGTGGATGCTTATGGATGCATGGATGCATGTGTTGACTTATTTAGTCACGGCATGACCCTAAGCCTATGTTGAGGGCTTTGTTTCTATGGAAAACGATATGGTCCCCACCAAAAACGATAACCTTGTTAAGATGCAGTGGGTACAAAAACGTTTGTGGTTACAATATGATATTGCATTTACATGTTTATGCGAGCTAAACCGACGGGCACAACTTTTCATCAATGATAATCCCAGACAACTTCCCAAACGATAATCCAAACGATAAGCGAACGATAACCTAAATGTCACGCCAGGCACTCCGTAAAACTACTTCTCCACATTACTAGTGTTTGTTCATGGGCCGAGCTACTAGGTCCCCGCTTGTGTGTTGTGATCCTTGCAAAGCCCAGTGCCACAAGAACCCGAGTACAGTACGTAAATCAAGTGCTGTATCGTTCCTGTGCAGGAAGCACTGTAAGCCTCTAATCTGAGGTTGTGAGTGGATTTCGTGTTTTAGTCTATGTGCCGGTATGCTATGCTAACTACGGTTTGGAGAAACATTGGAGAACGATATGGGCCCCACCAAAAACGATAGTCATGTCAAATGGTATTTGGCTACACATGTAATTACATTGTCCGCTGCTCATATGTTTTTTATACGTTACAGGATGCGCAATGTTCCCATATTTTAATTCTATCATATGTCGATGCGGATGCGCGTTGGTGTTCCACGACCGCCATGTGTTGAAGTCATGAATCCCTCCCCACCAATCCGCTGTGAGGCACTGGCCCGAAAGCCCAAACCTCATCCCAGCAGAACAAGTCGAGAGGCTTGGCTGGGCGACATCCGTGCCCGTTGACAACAGGGGGTAGCTGGATAGTTTGTCGACTACAGTGGGAGGATGGGTTGGATTGATGGGTATCCGTTGGCACCTCTCCACCGAACATGAGAACTTTTGAAATAATGTTAAAACCCCTTCCAAAAAAAGCGTCTCCAGTCTTGGGATGTTTTGGGTGGTGGTCTTTCTTCTTTTCTCTAAGTGTCGCAAGTGCTAGTGTAACAGCTCTGGCTCTGCTGTGGTGTCTTCTTCTTTGTTTGAGGTCGGTCCTAGTTCCGTTCACTAGTCAAAAGTTTTCAGAAGTGAATAGTCGCTCCCAATGATCACTGAAGTCTCACCAAGTCTTTATATAGTAGGTTGGAGATAGATGCCCCGCAAAAACCCACAAACTGTACCTGGGGGTGCCTTAAAGAAATTGTGCCCCGTGATTGGCAACTCTTTTCCGCTCCTGACTCTGCGTATCCAAGATGCAGTTGACCAACCCTTATAGTCCTTATCGCCTGTCGATCATTTCTGTAGGATCTACATATTGTTGGGATTCCTCATTTTTCAGGCTATTACTGTATGCCCAGCTTAATTACTAACATGCAACTTCATGTTGCCAGTGGTTACCTTAGAGGTAAAGCAGTTTTGCAAAAACTTGGTATTCCAGCATTCCGGATGTGTATCCTTCTCCCGTGCGGGTCCCACGGACACCGCAGGATACGGCTTTTTGCAGCAGGCGCCGTTTTGCGCGAGCACGAATTGGGAGTCACATGACAGGATGAGTTGAAGTCGACAACTAAAACCAGTTTTGCCATGTGTTGCCATTGCTCAGCTAAACGAGGGTTTCGGATGGTCTTTGCTACACCACCGAAACCAAGACCAGGGAATGCAACATCACTCAACAAACATTACTTCATAGAGAACAACTGGTCAGACAGGGGGGCTTCTTCCATTTCACGTCGTTGGTGACTGGAAGACGACGGCCAGAGTAGACGTGGTTTGCCCACGGGAGCAGGAACTTGGAACGCCCAAGGCCTGCATTCCGGGTCTTTCTTTGCACTAAGCGGCCTGCATTCAGTGCGGACGAGACAGGTCAGCCAGTGGGCGTATGGGTGTTCCTGTTGCGTCTCCATGCTGTCCCAGCGTCTCAACAGTTGCAACGTCCGTACCGCGGGTCTGAAACGTCGGCAGGCAAAGAGCTCGGGGGCAAAGGCTCAGAGGACTCAAAGACTTTGAAAGATGCCAACATTCTGCTAAGCCTGCGGCCAAGTCCAAGAGTGAGAAAGCTGTCCGCGATTTCTGGGGTTTGTCTTGGACAGAACACAGAAGCCGCCTTTGCAAAGAACCAATCACGAAACCTTGGTTGAGGGTGTCCCCTCATTCCATACAGATCACACACATATATATAATAGATATAATATATATATATAGCTCGCACGGCAGTTGTTTGTGGGATTGATTGTTTGCTGAAATGCTGGCAGCTGGGACCTCGCAAATTGTCAAGCTAAGGTACACTTTGTACTCACTACTACATCGTAAATTGTTGACATTTGGAGCATCAACGACTACGGTGTTGCACTTCTGGTTTGAAGCTGCCCAACAAATACTTCACCTAAGAGTTGCATGTGGCCAGAGGGAACACTTCATCCACTTCAGCAGATGGTCGCCTGGAACTGTTTCCTTACCAGAAGTGTGGACTTCCCTTGCCCGTTGCTAGACAAACATGATCAAACATGAGAAGTAGCGACAAGTAGGAGTCTTATAAGACGAGAACCGCTCCCAACACCTGCAGCAGTTGGGCGGAAAATGCAGTTCCCGTAGTTGGTGCAATGAACTCACTCCGAGAACGCCCAGTTACGTTGTCATTAAGCAACAAGGTCCATCACACGCTCCAGGGTTGCTGGTTTTGCGGGCTTCAAGGTGTCTTGCACAGTCCTGACTGATTGAAGGTGCTTGGGATCTATGGCTGTATCCAGTCTGTGGGAATTGGCTTTTTGCTGAGGCAAAGATGGCCCGACTGCTGTTCACGTAATGGCTGTGATGAGCTCGGAGGAGGGTATGGTCGGCGCAGAGGCTCTGAATGTGAACAGAGCTCGGAGTATCCCCTGTGACTGGCCCCAGTTTTCCACCGCCAATGGAAGATCCAGGTTGTACCAAGTATCAGGTGGTGTTGAACACACAAGTGGTGACTCCAAAAGGGTAGAAACTCTTGCCATGGGCCGGTGGCTTGGGGATGGTTGGAGTATGATCCATATGTGTGCCGTGGACTGGCAGACTGCGAACATTGACCAGAGCTTACATCAGTTCAAACGAATGAAACAACTGGAATTCCAACCACCCAGACCCTCCAGGTGCTTTTGGAGCGAACTTTAAGGTGATAGAAGCGGAGTTGATCATGCAAAATCGGGGGGTCATGCTGGGGGATGGTGCTTCAGAAGCATGTTGCAACATGTTGCATTTCTTCTTTCCGGCCCTCCAAGTATATCCGCTCAAGGGCTTAGGGGGATGTCCCATGCCGTGTGTCGAACTTGGGTTTCATGCTCTGCCGGAAAGCCCCTAGAAACCGCAGAGTCAGGGTGATTCAGTGTGGACCCATGAAGGGCGGAAGCAGCTCTGTCTGCATTGGTCCGACCGAGAGAGAGGGTAATCACTCAACAGACTCAAGAGACCTTCGTGACTCAAGAGGCGCAAGAGACGCGGCTCCTCATTCCCCTCATTCAGGGACTAGGGTTTAGGGCTATTTTCGGGACACATTGTTGGTCAAGCTTTGTTCTCGTGCTGTATGTTAAAGTCTTGGAGCAGATTTTGTTCTAGAAGCCTTTTCACCTCAGGCAACTGGTGAAACCATCTCACTGAAACCTTTCAAAACGCCAGAACGTCTGGGGGCCTGGTGGCAGGCCCGGTGAAACCAGGCTCACTTGGATCAGTGTCGCTTGCGACCCTGAGGTCCAGGCCGGGGGCCCTGCAGTGGAGAGCGCTGACAACCCGGCGAAGGCCGCATCACCGTGTCTTGGCGGAGGGAGATGGAGAGAGGACGGGGAATTCAGAGCTCCAAGGAGGCTGCCCCAGAGGCGATGGAGTCGCCCTGTATGGCTCACCTCCCTGGAGCTGGTGACTGGGGACCGATCCGCTGGGGCTTTGTGAGACTTCCGCTGGAGGGCATCCGGGACAAGGGGATTCGCGCCTGGGAATTCGGCATGGAAAAGGACCCCCTAATGGGGAGCTACACGAATGCATTTGGGTCAGTTCACTATAGGAACAGGAAAGCAAGCAGTTGGAGCACAACCCCTGCCATGTGGTTGTCTCACCATTTTGACATATTTGGAATGGTTTTTCGTCGCATGTTGTTTGTTGTCCCAGTGTTACTCTCGTTTCACAAATTGTTTCTTGCATGTTGTCTAAGTGCACACCCACTATACAATACAACAATAGACATTCTTCTACGCTACGCTACTGACTTTGAGTGGGGGCGGGGTGAGGTGGGATGGGTCGGGATGTTGACGTTGGCCATGGTCATGCAATCAAAGATGATCCAGAGCTCCATAAATTGGTGATGCAGTCCATGTGGCGAAGATTCCTTGGCATGGTCACGTGACCCGTTGAATGAGCTTGGTAAGATCGCAAAGAAGACTCGCCGCTGAAAGAGAAGAGGAAAAGAATGAGTGCACTTCTTTTAAGTGTAGCTATATTTTTTAAGTAGTGCACTTATAGTGCTATATTCTATAGTGTACTATTTGAATGAAAAGAATTTAATTGCCATATTGTTTTAAAGTTCAGAGCCGATCAGTGAACATGTGCACGGCGGCCATTCGCATTTCAGCGCCGGGGTCAGGGAGACGGCCAACCAATGGGTGTTTGGGCCTTTGCGGTTTGCAGTCGACGCAGTGGCCACGCTTAGCGCGAGGTGAACACACGAAGTTGGGATCTATTGTCCGTCTTCCAGGGGTTTGGGAGGTCCCCCTATTTGAATACACACCCATGTATTGGTTGCTCAACTGGGAACGAACACATGAAATCACCAGGACCTCTTTGGACCACATTTTTTCGAACCTAGATACAGCAAGCGATGCCATTGGACGCCCAATGAATCCAACCCACCAGCCAAGCAAATATCCCCAGAAAGTTTCCCAACAAATCTCCAACAATCCAACCAGTCTTCAGGATGTGTTCATGTCTTAGCTTCAAAAGCTTCACCCCAGGTGCTTTTGCACGCTGCTGTGAGCTCCAGCCGATCCACCCGCTTTCGGAGCCCCATGCGCCGCATGTTCGTTCGGCCACTCCTTCCTTAGTGCGGTGCGACGTTCTCTCCGTTACACCGCCGTTTCACCGCCGCGCGACCCGCATGAGCGACCAGGGACCGGCCTTCCAGGGGTGTGGAAGCAAGGACAAGGCTTTGAAGATCTAGCATATCCAGTTGCCTTGATACATGATTTTCAGATGGTACTACATGATGGACATGCCCTTCGAATCGAAACTTTGCCGCTGCTCCATGAACTTGAGGGTCCATGGAAATTAGGGTAGCTATTGGAATCTATTGGATACTTCTGGGAATTGGATGGAACTTGCCACTGACATGTCGGACGCATGTGTCTTGGAAAGTGCAGCTAACTGCTTGCGAAGGCTTAGAGAAGGTGGCACCATCGCTGATAGCAGGGAAACGCGGTGTTAGTTGCTTGCCATTAATATATACGTACGGATTGATACAACACATGCATGATATGTGCGTGATCTACTTCTTCATTGGTTGATAAATCTCGTATTTTGTATTCAATCCAATTTTTTTTTCGTGCCTTGGGCTTTGGACCCTGCTGGCACCTTTCCTGGTCGTTCGTGTCTAGCTTCCCTGTGCACCATGTGCTGGGGCACTGCTTCCAGAGAAACATGGCTTCAGTACTTGACGTGCGCAGCAATGTCACTACGAAAAAGGAGCGAAGTTGCTGTCCACGGCATTGAGGAAAGGACGGCAATGGTTTAGATCCCTGTTGGATCCCTAGCTTCCTTCTTGGATCGCTGTTCCCATGATTCTGCGTCATGTTCGCACACGGGTTTTCCAGGGGGAATGTGCCGCAGCTGTGGCACAGCTCCCACTGCTTCAGCTGTATCCCTGAAGCAATGTCAGTCCGCCTCAGACTTGGAGCTATGTCAGCGTAACACTGATTTCAAAGTTCAGGCATCGAACCGTGAAACTGGGGGAACAGTCCCTCTTAAAGAACACGCGTGTCCTTCAAGTGTCCTTCATGCCAGACGTTGCGAACGCTTGTCCCAGGGCTCAGCTTTTGCAATGTGGCCCTGTTGAATGAAAAAGGAGTTCCACCAGCAACATGGACATGGTGAAAACAGCACAACTTCAAAATCAACAGGGGACGGAAATCCCAACCATGCTCTCCACCATGTGAAACCCCTTGGAACCACTCTCACCGCAAAACAGCATCCAACTACTGCAGATGACTAGGGAACTCGCCAACTAGCCAACCAACTCATCAACTGCAAGCATCAAGTTAGATCCCTTGGACCTTGGGGAACAGTCACCAGATCGATCTTCGCAACAGTCACCCTGTGCTAACCCTTAGCCTTAGCAAGCAGTGAGCCCCGAACTCCGGAGCTCCACCCCCCTAGCTTCACTCAGATCCACTTCCATCGATCCGCTTCTTATCGCGCACCTCTGAGCTTTTCGCAAGCCACTCGCGCCATGGGCCATGCGCCGCGGCGCTGATGACCGGTGCTTGTGCCCTCCTTCGGCTCGCGTGTGTCGACGTGGCCCACACACTGCTGCGGCCATGCCGGAAGGGGCGCAGCCGATGCTTGCAGCGGCACAAAGAGAACGGCGCTTTCGGGGGAAGAAGGTCCAAACGTGGCTGTATATATTGGACTCTGCCCCGGAACACTAACAGTGAGCAGGGTCTAATGTATATATAGATGTTTCATGATATGATAGGTCAACAGGACATAAGACCTTTGACCATTTCAGGGTAGGCTGCAGATCAACCCACTTCCGCATCTCTATTGGTTTTGAACCATCTCAGCTGTAGTGGAAAAGAAACATCCAAACACTTAGGATGATGGAACATCCTCGTGTTGGGCTACACTCCATTTGGGGGTGTTCATGCATCTGGTGCCAATACCCGCAACAAGTGAGGTTGGGCCACTACCTTTGACTTGACTTGGGGTCACGTGAGACTGAGACCAGGATAGCTGTTCCAAAAAAGGAGTGAGCCGTTAAACCATGGTTCCTACCCTTGTTTGTGCATAACAGCCAGTGCGTAACGTGATGTAAGATATGATATGTATATATATACCAATACAGGTAATACAGGTGCATACTGCGTACTAGTTAGAGACAATCCGTGTAAGCCTTCTCAACCAGGAGATTTGTGACTGACTGTGTCGTCTATAAATCAAATCATTGTTTCAAATCATTGGCTTCTCCACCTCCAATCGCTCTCCACGGATTCAGGCAGGCGCAGAGGCGTTTGTTCGAGCGACTTTTCGAAGGAATACCCTTTTGAGGAAGGTCTGTTTGTTGGAATGGTTTTGTTGGATTAAAAGTGCAGCACCCATTGCGTGGATTTGTGGCAGCCCCCCTTAGGCCCCTTAGGTAGTGACAAAACCCTGAACAGCATCTTGCACACATCAAATTGGATTAGACGGCAACAGACCTCCTTGGAGTGTCTAGCTTGGCAACATCAAGCACTATGAAATATGTTCCTTTGGCTTTCTGGGTTCTGATGTCCGCGGTCCCAGGAAAGCTTCCCGCGCGGGGCCTGCGGATGTTCCTGCTGAAGCTCTTGGGGGCTACACTGGCAGCGGCCCTGCTGGCAGCAGTCCTGGTCGTCACCAAGGCTACAGCTCAGGGTGAGAAGGTTCATTTAAGCGGTAATTGTACGAGCTGTACGTGGCATGTGAGCAACACACCCGGCCCTGAGTAGCAGACAGTCCCTACACGTCCCTGCTTGTGCTACAAGACCTTGACTCCAGTCCATCAGGCGTCCGACTTCCCCCGCGCACGCGCATGGGAAGAAGGCTTTTATGCAAAGGGGCGAAGCTTCAGCTCCTTAAGCCTTGAGAATCTGACGGAAGCGACTGAGAACGCCGAGACGCTTGGCTGAGAGTGTCTCCCTTGCACGCAAGACGTCTCTTGATGTGCCACCGTCTCTTGATGTGTGCAAGTGTATAATGCAACTGACTCAGACTGCAATGGTTCCTGTTTGAGTTTGGGGAGGGGTGAGGGTTGAGTTCCACATAATTAGTTAATTAGCCGAAGCGGCTAAACTAAAACCTTGACTTGCCAAGGTCACTGCACGGGAGAAAATGTGCGATAGACCGGGCAAGTCTTCAACTGTTAGAATGTGTGCTTCCGATTTGATCTGTGTTTTCTCACCTGCGGTTGGTAAGGCAAAAGTGACATGGTTACTTTCGCACATCGCACGGAACTCTATCTAAGACACTCATACAAACACTGCAGAGAGAGAGGGGGAGGGAGACAGACAGACAGACTTTGGGACCTTTGCACCACAGCTGAGGACAACAGTGGAATCGAGTCAACCAGCTGAGCTGAAAAAGACGAAGGAGCCCAAGCCCTCGGCTCGCCCGCACCCGCCGAAAGCAACAGCGGCTGCGAGCAAAGCGCCGTCGACACAGAAGGTGGAGAAGCCCGCCGATGCTGAACCTGCAGGTGTGGATATGTCATGTGTTGTCTTGCTTGGAGGGGAAGGGGGTGGAATGGGGGAACCAAACCGTGAAGTCTTTGTCCCAACATGTTTGCCTCAAGAGACATGCATGTAAAGATTCGTTCTGCCCCACTATTGGCAAAGAATGACTGTGGAAAGTATTGGCAGATCTTTTATGAGGCGCGTTTTGAGCGGCAAATCCCTAAGCCATGCAAGACTGCAGCTAGACCGAACCTGGATCGCCCCACGAGATTCGGGCCACCACTATGCAGTGGCCGTCGTATCACTGCATGTCGTATCTGGATGCCCTTCAGGAACGGGTAAGGAGACCGCAGTCGAAATCCATGTGTGCTTCTGCAGCGATGACACTGATTGGCGCCCCCTGGCAGCTGCCATCAATTCAACCCTGACCAACTCGAAGCGTGCCTGGACGATGCGAAACAACGTGAGAAAGCGCTTTATTTTTCGTGTGGGTTGCAGGGCTTCCGAACATAGGCGTTGGATGGATTTGTTTATAAGACTTAAGACATATTAATATAGACAACCTATGACCTATGAAAACAAAGTGAACACATGTGAAAACTATGGGATTTTGATGAGCCACAGTGGATTGGGGCGGCTCTAATTGGCTCACCAAAGGACAGGAACACTTTGTAGATTGACGGAGTCTTGAGAAGATCTATGTTTCAAGCCTGGACCATTGTCGGAGCTACATCAAGGATAAGACATTCTTCCGGTGGTCCAGGGGGCCATAGATGACCCTACACGAACTGGTTCAACTGCACATATATATCTTATCATATAGCCGTCCTGGAGTAGATAGAACATGGGAAAACCCAAAATCAACAGGACAGTGGTCATGTGTTTGGATTGTTTCATTCGCATTCTTTGCTCCAGGATGGTTGTACACTGAAATTTGCTGTTTTTGCTAGGGCTCCTGACCCACATCCTGAGAAGGTAGGGACATACCCCCTGTCACCCACCCCAACCACCGAAATATACCGAAATCGAAACAGAGGTAGGTGGAGGTCCAGGGTAATTCTGTATCTACTTTATGTTTGCAAACTGAGGGGTCTGAGGGCACGAACTGAACTGCCATGCCACTTAGGGGGAGCCAGTACAGTGACCAATTGTGGCTCTTTAGCCAAAACAATACAGAAATTGCTGTACCAGTACCGGTGTGCTTGAATTGTCTAGCTTTCAACCGTGTGAACTCATGCTGTCGTAGCTTGAGTTTGATCGTAGCGTGAGTTCTGAGCCTATTGGAGCCTATTCCGACGTGTATCCAACCTGTTCGGGTTGAAATAGAGAAACACAGTCCACTGCTTGTTCTGGAAAGAAGCCTGAAACTCACCGAAGTTCTGAGCACAGAAGGCATACTGTGGCCCATGGATTAGACTGGTTGTGAACGCCACGCCGGCTGGTCCAACGTCTCCATGGTCCGTATTTTTAGATTGTATAATTCTACTATGGGATCATAGGTAGTCCCTCAGGCGTTTCCTCCCTGGTCATTCCATTTTCCCTCTTTACATCTCTTTACTATAACACAATCCACTGTTCTTCTCATCTCTCGTCACACACGGTCGATGCTTCTGCGTCCGTCCACCGATCCAGTCGAAGGACCCAAGTCCTTGGTCTTCCACTTGATCACTTCGACGGAGTTGGCCCCGGTGGTCTCTCGGGCCCTAATCACTGTGCTGCCAGTACTGGGCGCGCAGCTTCAAGTCCACTCGGATGCACTGGTGCAGAAGCGCATCAAGAGCACCTCAGCTGAGAAGAAAACAGGTCCAAAAAGAGATCTATAGTGAGTCCAGTCCCAGGAGAGGTGTCCAGTCCAAGGAGGAGGTACTTTTTGATAAGAGCAAACTTGAACCTGATGGTCCTTTGCCACAGGCGCTGCGCCAGGCCAGTTTCCATGGTTTTCACTACCTTACTGACACCGGTCACTACCTTAGCCTCCAACTGGACCATGGACCATGTGGCAGTTGGAGGCCAGACATCATGTCACATGGTGTGGAATCCAGTGGAATCCTGTGTTTGCCAAAGACTTGATGTCTCAAGATAAACCTCATGATATGTCCATTGTCCGCACTTGCACCGTCATATGTCCTTCCACGTTTGTTAGACAAGGGTCAGTTTGAAGCAGCCTTGTGTCGCTGACCTCGGAGGGATACGGGACACAAACCGCACCTGACAGGTCCTGCATCCTCACAAAGATCTACCATGCTTCACACATGTTCATGATGTCCTGGGTAGTCTTTTCAGGTATGTATATATATATATATATATGTTCAACCTTTACTTGGGATGATTGAGCCCTTTGATTGAAACCACCAACCAGCGTCCCATTGAAGAGAACTTATGTTTGGCAATGTCCTCTTGGAAAAGGGTCGCATTCCATGATTCAGGGAGGGTCCCTTCGCGACTGCAGGCTTGATCAGCTATCGCTCCAGCTCGGGTGCACGCAAGGGCTTGGCCAGCGCCTTTAACTTTGCACCCTTCTACTTGGAGGAGAACCAATCCCCGAAAGCGCCGAAGAGTTTGGAGGTCTCCAGGTCGGTGGCGGGAAGCAAGGATCGTGTTACGCATTAGTAGTTGGAAAGCTTCGTCTACCGTCTCTCGTGGAATGGGAGGGGCTAAACATAGCACCCACCGCACACGACGGATAAAAGTCCGAAGCCATGTGAATGTTCTGTAGCTATTTGGCTTCTGGAGGGATAGACATTTCCCTCTCGACTCTCGATGACTTATGTGATGCGTGGAAGCACCAAAGGGTTGCAAGACAACAGAGCTGCACACATGTTGCTTTCATACATGTGAATTGAAAAAGGCTGGCATAGCACGATGAAATAATTGCCAAATCCCGTTGCATGGGTCGGGAACCCTTCCTTTTTTCTACATGTTTTTCTCATACAACCCCACCGGCAGGTGTTTTGTCCGAGCACACTGCAGTCCATTCTGCACAACAGGCATTCCGGTAGTTGCCACCTGACTAAAGCACGCCCATCCCCTGTTTCAGGTGGGGTTGTAGTTTCATGCCGTTTCGAATTGATTGGACTTGTCACATGAGTTCGGTTGCGCCACTGGAGTTCGGTCTTGCCGCTGCCCCGTCGGGCGTCCTCTTCGGTGGTTCGGTCCGACGACCGAGCCGAAGTGCGCGGAAGCAAGGACTTCCTGCGTGACGGTGGGCTCCCAAAGAGGCGGGGAGCTGAAAGGCCGTTGGTGAGAGGTCAAAGGACAAGAGTGTCCGACAGGTTCTGAGGAGATGGAGGGACAGACTTCTGCATTTCTGGTTCCTTTTCGTGTTGCTTTCCTTCCTCATTCTTGCTGGATCGCTGGAAAGCACCAAACTTCAGACTCTTTTGATGCGAAATGAGCCGGGAAGAGCTGGCAGACTGCCCGCGACCCCCCCCCAAAACGCAGAAACCATCGCCCACAACAAGGCTCATCTACTTGGACACTGATGTGCTGCTCTTGGGCGACATTGAAGCCCTTTGGAAGGCCGAGTCCAAGATTTGATGTGTGATTGGGGTGCTTTTTCATGTTTTACGTGGGGAGGCAGTGACTCCACAGGTTTGCTACAGTATTTGTATGTATTTGTAATCTTGACTTTTGGGTCAAGGGCACCCCTCATCTTTAATCTTCACAGAACCTCCTCCAAGATGGCTGGAAGGTCCAATAGGCAATCATTGGGAATCAACAATGAACACCTCATGACACAGTCCCTACATGAAGGTCATGAAGCAGAACCAGGTCAAGAAATATTCGAATGACGACCCTGAAAAGATCGAAGGGCAAAAGCGCAGCAATTCATGTTGAAGGGGAGGCCAGACTGTTCGACCCCGTTCATGCTGTTCGTCGGACATGAAGTCCTTCAGGTGGACATGAAGGGTCTTCCAGCAGCAGCAGTGGAGGACTGTTCACAGAGTTTCGATCCTCAGCAGAACGTGTGGAACAGGACTGGGACGGATTTTTCTTCGACCCCTGTTTGACACCATCTTTGACGCCAGACCTGCAGTTGCTTTGAAGTCTTCTCCCTGGAGTCTCATGGACTTCGACTTCAGGGCCCACATATGGTCAGAATCCCCGCTCTCAAGGCCGGCTTGCAAATGGCCTTGAATTCCTCTCAACACCCGCTGAAGACCGGTCAAGGACCAGACGGACCCACCAGTCCTCCACCGAGATCGATCTCAGGTGCTCGAAGAACCCTTTGCAGTACTCCAAGACCCCAAGTCTCAAGGCCAACGCCAACGACTTAGGGTCCTTTGGGCTCCCATCATTTGGGCTCCCCCCGTCGGACCGAATGGGGGGTACTTACAGTGTTTTGGTTTACGGTTTTGGAGCTAGCGTCTAGTGTGCTCTCCGCACGTCCGCTCCCGGGTTTGATGGGAGGCTCGCAGAGGCCGCTTGACCGAACTGGGCCCCCCACGGAGCAACCGGAATTGATGGCGAGCGAGAGGTTCCTGGTTGTGTGGATCTGCGCTGGATTGTCCAGGTGAATTCATGTCCGAATGTGATTTGGATCCCGGTCCCTTAAGCAACTCCAGCCCTCCAATGAGCGTGACTGCGCAACATGGTGAACCTCACCAGATGCACGACAAGCTCTTTTCTGTTGGCAGATTGCAGCATATGGCAGCCCATGGAAAGAGAGGTCCGGCAAACGACGTGAATGCCAGGAAATGCCAGGAACCATGTCAATCAGTATAGCTCACCATGCTAAAGTGGAGCCAAAAACCCAAGAAGTCCTCAGCCCCCCTAAGCTCTCGCCAAGGACATCTACATCGACTTTGATGCGGCTCAGCTGCAGGGGGATGCAGGGGGTGTAAGAGAACCACTGCGGAAAGTTCAAGATTCTTTCGAGATTCTTAGATTGATTCACTAACGATGGATCACCAAAACGAATCTCATGATCTCACTCTCTTCCATGCATCGTGCGAGGCCATCGCCGAATCATCAAGCGACCCGTGGGTCGAGCATGTGTTGATCCAGCGTCGGGTGTAAGTTGGCCAGAATTCTGAAACCACAAGAAACATGGTCGCAGAAAGCCAGAAAACCCGTTGCACAGCATTGGACCCACCTACCGAGTGAGTTTTGCTCGGGAGCCAACCTGCACACAAAGAGCATCAAACAGCTAGAACTCAAAGGCCTTTCCAGGCTAATGGATTTGGAAAAATATTTCATGATATTTCTCCATTGTGGCAGCGAAGGGCCACACTTGAAAGCAAGGCAGGACAAATTTGCCTCCAGATTTTTGCAACTCATCCATTCCTAAGGAGATGGAGGCCCTAGGGCTCAAGAAGACTGGTGCGCGACTCAGTCGACCCTTTTCGACCATGGTCGCAGCTTATGTGAACAATAGGTGCCTAGCGCTTCCTGTCGGGGTGTCCATTGGAGACTGGAAAGGTGTAGGGCAGTCCAGCCAGGACCCCTTTTAGGGGTCTTGGTCATCCAACATCTTGGACCAGTCACACGCAGTCAAAGGGCAAACTTCTTGGATGCTCAACTGGTTTGATGTTCACTGGGGGTTCGGCCGCTAGCCGCCAGACTTGCGTCTCAAAAAGACATGTGGTAATTGGACGAATTCGCAGCTTTGGCTGCATATGTTCGCTTTGATTTGGTTATTCAGAAGGAGACGTTAGAAAGACTTCAGGAACTGAAAATGGCCCGCCTTGGGGTGGGTGAGCTTCAGTCCTGGTCCCAGATACAAAAATTGCGGATTTGCCTGATTGACTGGTATTGACTGTGATCTTTTCAGCCCCTAAAACAATTGCACCATGTATCCTCCATGATTCCATGATGGTTCTATTATACTATAGCAAGTACTATAGCAGTCAGGGATCGCTGGCGATATGGGGTGCTTTTTTTGTGTGGAGCGGACGGTTGATATTTCTGCAGCAGGGCGGTCCCGCTGGCTGAGGCTTGAGCAAGAAAGACTGTGTCTTCAATCGCGGCATCTTCGTGATGGACGTGGCTAAATGGAAGCGGATGCAGATCACCAAGGACGAGAGTTCAGGCAGTTGAAGGTCTTTTTGGAACCCGGTTTGAGGAGATGACATGTTCAATTAATTGGTGAAAAAGCCAAACCGAAGAATTGAATGGAGTGGCCCCGTTTTGGAGCAGCCCTGAAGGAGATTGAGCACTGGATGGCCAAGTACAAAGAGTCCAAGAAGGAGATGTGATTTGCTGATGGGGGTTGGGTGAAGCGGATTTGGGATTGAGAACCCTGAGTCATGTAAGCGAGCCTACCACTGCTCATAAACCAAATGGCACGGACTGACCCCAACATCTGGAATCTATGCCAAAATCTGCGTCGCCTCCAGATGTTGTTACCTTTGCTGGAAGTCTCGCATGATGATTGACGGACCACTGACGGACAGAACGGCTGCCTGGGAGTGTGGCCGAGTTGGCGGTCAGATCGCTGATGACGATTCTTCGAGTCATGGACGACGTTTGTGTGTTTCTTTGTGTGTTGCGGTGCTCTGAAAATTTGGAAGTCTGAAGGACCTCTACAAATTCGGAATGTCCCAACCACCATGGCTTCTGGCACTGCACAAGAAGTACCACAAGCTAGGTTGGACTCTCAGAGAAGTGATGCAGGGGACATCTGTGCTTGCTCCCAGATGCTGGAGGGTTTATTCAAAATGCCGGACCTTCTAGCACACAAACCTATATAGAAATCTTGAGAACGTCGCATGTAGCTGAGCAGGTGCTCGCAGTGCTTGTGATTGGCCTAGCAGCACCCATCTTCTGTGTTGAGACTGTTGGGGAAAATCGTAGAAGGCTCGGCTAGGTCAAGATATGCCCACAAATATGGCCTGTACAAAGTAGTTGCGGAGTACAGAGAAAACTCAATGGCTTTGTTGCTGCCCCATCATTCGCATCGTTCATATCACACCATGCGGTGTCTCGGTCTCATTTCCGGTGAGGTTTTGCCACGGTTTTGCTGTCAGAGATGGTCCCGATGTTGTTGCGGTGGTGGCGAACTTGGATAGGTTTTGGAACGGAGTTCCACTGCCAAGAAGTCGCCTCACCTAAACAGCCACGGTGCATGGTCGTGCTGGTTTGGCAGGCAGTTGACGCCGGCGATTGGTAGCGTCCGACGTCACGCTTTGCACCAACCTAGTAGCAATATGATTCCTCAATAGTTTGATTCCTACCAGTAACGATGGCCTCCCACCAAGTAGCGATGGCCTCCAACCTAGTGGCAATGGCCTCCAGTAGTGACGGCCTCCCTAACACCAGTTCCTTGGAGACCTGATGAATGCCCGATGAACTTCAGCACCCCCCAAGAAAAGAGGCAAGTTGATGGGGGCCTTATTTGAGGCTGGGCCATCAGGTGTACAGAAAGAGTTCTGGAGGGCTTCTTCTTGTGGTGATGGGGCCCTGCACCAAACTTGTGTGCTCCAAAGTAGTTCGACAAGCCTCGTGATCAGCCTGACAGTCGACCTGAGGGTCCTCCACCACCAGAACCAGACCTGGGAGGAGATAGTTGCACCTCAGAGTGCCCTGTGCCTGGGCCGTTCGCCCTCCTCTCTTCCAGGTGAAGAGTGGAATTGTCGAGGCCTTGGCCGTGAGACGTTGTCCTTGAAGGAGCCCAAGATGAGGACATGCATACAGTGGTTTCAGAGTAGATGGCACTGGCACCCCTAGAAATATATTGCTAGACGAGGCTCTCTCTCTCTATATAATATATTTTCGTATGCAAAAATATATACTGTAAACCACCAAACTTGGGGGCCCTTGCGCCATCTCACAAGTCGAAGACCTCCCAGAAGTCGCCAGCTTCTTCAGGAGCTGAAGGAGCTCAAGACGGAGCTACACCTGGATTTCAAAGCCTTACAGAAGGCCCGGGAGACGTGGCGCTCGGTGAAGAGGTCGCGCAGAGTACACTACGACTCGGCTTCGCCCCAGGGAAAAAGAAGGAGATCTTTGCGGATTCGCATGGGTGGCGATTCGGTTGGTTGGATTATGTTGGATTCAGGCTTGTCCAATGTGTGGCGGGTGTCTCCCAAAAACCGTCAAACTGGTGGGCTCAGCCCAGGTGGCTCAACATCGTGAAGAAGTACCCAGTGGCCAATCCACACACTTTTTCCGCCACGCCAAGACCCCGATTGGTCCCTGCTTTCATCCCAGTGGCAAGCCATCCCACATACCTTGAAGATTACTTTTCAGGTGTTTTGTTTTTCTCACGTGGAGGTGGTATGATGTCGCAAAACAGATGGAAGTAAGCTGAGTTTGAACATGTCATAGGCCAACTTCCTTGCGAGGGAAGTCGCATGTAGAACAGCATCACCTTTAGATGAAGAGGAGCGGAAGTTGATTGAAGGACATTTTAAAGCTCCAGGCCTTTGTGAATGAGCTAGAAGCCATCAGCCTGCAGATTAACACACTTTCAGCATGGGCCCTTGGACCCCTACTTTTGGGGAAAGAAATCCTGTACCACCAAAAAGCCTGGAAAACCATGGAAAACCCGCGTGTTTGGCCATGACGTCTGAGTCTAGGGGCGCTTCAGCCTTCAGTTCCCATCTCCAGGTGGGTGCACGGGCAATGGGCGACCAAGCACAGCCCTACATCGCGCAGGGAGCTCGGCATGGGTTCCTCTTGTGCAAGAGCAGTCAAATAGATTGTAGAGCTTCGCAAACCGGCGATGCCGGTTGGGCGCTTGTTCGCTACCGTGTCAGTTTCTGATGTTTTTGGTTTTCTTTTTGCGGCCGTCCGTTGCCTTTGATTCTTGCTTGGTGATTATGGTTGTTGTTCCTTTCGCATGCCCCGAGACCTCGTATCAAACACTTTTGACGCGCGCGTGCGCAAAAAGAGACCAGGCAAAATCCCTCAGGCTGGTGGTGGAGAAGCCCTTTTTAATGACCAAAAAGATGGAAAACACTGTAAATATCAATATTTGTTGCTGCTCGAGGCTTCAAAAGTGCACCAAAACCACGCTATTTGCATAGTGTTTGATGCTTTTACGCCAGGAAACCAAGTAAGTACCGATGGTTTTGAGCTATCGAGTGCTCAAAACCACAGTTTTTTAGCTCGACTTTACAAAAACACCGTAAGGGGCGGGGTCCCGGCATCAGGAGCACCCGCCCGTAGCTAAAGCTCAGCTATAGGCGATAAGCTACACCATACGGCATAGCCGGAATGGGCTAACATGCGGGTGCCGCCGACCCCTATTTGGAGCAAGTAAGGCAAAGCAGAGCAAGCGCGACAATGTTTGGTTTCTTCATGAGGTTCTCGTGACAGCTGATCAATTCGAATCACCACGGGCATCAAGGAGTCAGACGACAGCCTCCAGTTTGTTCGGCATGTTCCCTATGGCTTGTCCGTAGAAGAGACGACCTTCAGCTGTTCTTCAGGTCCTGCTCCAGAGAGGCACAAATCCTTCATTTCAATGGGAAGCTGAAGCCGTGGCGGAGCCACCGATGGGCTTGAGCCCCAGCGGGCGGGTCAGTGATGAGGATGTTAAGGCTTAAGCAGCTTGTGAGGTGCACAAGGTGGCAGCCAGGCACACCTGCACGGCTTGCACCTGGTAGATTCCTGGATGTGTTATTCACGCAAGATCGGTTGAAGGCATGAAAAGGTGGGCATCGTCAGGGTTTTGGTGATCCTTCGGCGTGCAGGACATCTTGCATGTGAAGGTCGTCACTTTCCTTCTAGTTGAACGCACTTGGCCGAACTAGTTTTAGCGACTTGAGACTCTCTTCTAGACCTATGCGCAGTGGACAGAGTCCATGCCATTTTGCAGGATGTTTCTCACTGCTAGGTTTGCTCCAAGACCAGTGGACCGTATTGAACATGTTTCATCACTGAACCCTAAATCATACTCCTGGACCGTGTGACACTAGCCTTTCCGTTTTCATCCGCTTTCCTGTGGATTGAGCCCATTGCTACCACTGGTGTCCAACGTATGGTTCTTTGATCCTCCGACCACTGGAACTCAGGGTTGGAACCCGATAGGTGAGTTTCTTGTAGATCAGGAGCAACCACACCCTAGACTCTTACAAGTGCTAAAGCCTCAGCTAGACAGACCAAGTGCCTTTAGGAAGAGCCCTTCGGCCAAGTCTTTCGCAAAAATGACGGCCATTTAACAGGTTGTTTAGTGGAGAACTTGGTTTCTTGTGTTTAGAACCTGTATTGACTGTCCCGTGCACAACCCGTATGATATCCATATGTGATATACCCCTAAAGGAATCTTATTTTGCAGATGGATATTGAGAAACCCGGTGTTTGTTGCAAAATCTGAGTTATTAGTCATTTCAAGAACCTACATGTCTTGCTACGGCAGCAACAACGACTCCGACTGCTACTGCTACTATACTCTTTTATACTATATTTGCATGTTTCACATAATAAGATGTTATACTATATTTATGTGTTTTTTGCCCATCATTTATATACATCAGGCATGTACGTCCTCACTCATCCTGGCGCCAGGTTCGAAAGAAACCAGCACCCATGTGCATGGTGCACGGAAAGGCCGAAGATTGGCCAACGTCGAAACCGTCGGACGTCCAAACTCGATGGCCTGGACCCATCGAAGCTGTTTGTTTCGTGCAGGCGTTAGGCAGATGGATGGAACCTGAGAAAGATTCTGCCCTTAGCCTTTCAGACGTTTCAGAACTCCAAACTGGTTGCCTTCAAACGTGTTCAACTACTCACACAAGTCGCGTGATCTGAGTAGATGCATAGAACTCGGTCTAACCTTGCTTGGTGTTGGCAATGATGCATCTACCCAAAAGCTTCAATTGTGGGACTCAGAAGTTGGATCAAGACAACTAGCCCATAAGATTGGTTGAGCCTGGTTGTCAGGCATCCATGTTGATTGGTGCCGTGCCAGACGTGCCAGACCTTCCCGACCTTGGAGAAGAAGAGCGTCCTGGACATGTCGTTCGTGCGCTGCGCGGACATTTGGCCGCTGGGTGCGTGGAAGAGCGCGCGCGCGAGAGAGAGAGAGAGAGATCCAGACTTGCCCTGGAATGTTGCGTTATTTTCGCGTGTTTTCGCCGGGAAACTTTTTCACTCACTTGCTGATCAATCTTGAAATGATGTGTGTTGTTTGCCCGAACTGGTTTATTTGCAGTCCAGCTGGTGTGGAAAAAGTCGATGTTTGTCTTGTAGCAACGGCAATGGACCTTTGCATTCCGACTGCAGGGGGCATCTATATTTTGGTTGCACAGGAAGGCCGACTGTAGAACCCATTGGTTGGGAGGCCCTTCATTGTGACAGCAAACCAAAATGAGCCACCAAGAGAAATTTTGGATGTGTTGGAGCCACCCGCCCCTTATTGAATCTACGCAGATACGCACAGATATATGTCTCAACCCGTCTGAGATCAGAAGCCATTGTTCCTTTACGCAGCTCATGTCCGTTTGACCAATCAGGCTTTTTGACAGTAGCTTGAAAGAGATGCAATTGTAGATCTTTCGCCACCTTGCAAGAATGGACAGAAAGACATATGTATCATTCATGCGAGGGGCTCCCAATCGTCGAAATCTTATCAATCCGCCAGCTGTGCAAGCTAGACTCAGTACAAAAAGGCGGCAAGAGAGAAGGTGGGGCAGAGCCCCAAGAGTTTCAAGCACCTGCTGTCACTGTCGATGAGGTCGAACTTCCTCTCCATGCCCGCAGCCGAGCTTCTGAATTCCACTGCGCAGCAGTTCTACCGCGCCCGGCCCGACAAGCGAGCCTGAGAGCCAAAAGAGGGGGACCGCGGATGGGATAGACCAAGTGTCGACTCAAGGGTGGATGAAAGAATATAGGGCAATGTGAGTGGCAATGTGGTTCATTATTCTTCAAGCACGTTAGTAGCACAGGTGAGGATGTACAGTATCCAGGGCATCCATGTTTGATTCCTTTCTTTGGGGTGTGCCGGGTTTGGGGTTTGGGGGCCTATGGCAACGTTTTCCCTTTCTCCTTCTCTCAGCTCATGTCCCGTTGTTTCATGTGGTTTCCACGTTTTACTGATTTTTACTCCAAGTGAACATTTTTCATTTGAATTTTGAATGGCGGTGTGCGGCATGTTTCCTCAACGCTGCACCCGGAGAGCGGTCACCTGAGGGTGAGTGGAGGGTGTTTGGTTGGCACATGCTGCCGAAGTAGGGCGGTGAGCTTCGGCCAAATCGGATCAAAGAGGTTTCCAATGTGGCCGAAATGGCTCAAGCGACGGGGGCGTTTCGGAGATGGTGCTTGGTCGCCTGGCTGCGTTGGGGGCGATCGGTGCTCATGCGCAGAGTTTGGAGGAATCGCCTGAGGCAGGAAATGGCCTTTGCTGGTACAACAGCGACAGGAGCTATGATCGCTGCTGCCGGCAGCGGGATCCAGACTGTTGGGTGGGAATCTGGGTCACTGCAGACCTGTGCTGTTACAACATCACGCAGCAACAGCAGGAGTGCTTCGATTCAATGGAAATGCGCGTGGAATCCAAGCTGAGAAGGCTTCATGATATGGCTGAGATGGCAGCTCAAGTTGCAAAAGAACACACCTTTTGACTTATGGATTGTAATGTATGATCATGCGTGTATATACATATATTATGCATATATATATATATTGGTCGTGTTTGGATTCCGAGTTGTTTACCAGTTCTATCTTCGACCTGAGTTTGTTGGATTGCCAAGGGGAAATGGCCCATATTAGAACGATTATATAGTCGAGAACATTGCAGCGGTGCAATGTCAAGAGGTGATCCAGACCCAGCTGTGGCCAGCAGTTCTCACCAATTCCCCCACCGAAAATACAAAAAGCTTCAACTTCAGCAAGCCAGGCAGAAGAGGAAGGTTTGATGGAGCAAGTTCCTTGGTTGCGGTGTTTACTGCGTTGCAGTTGGATTGGTCATGCTGACCTGGTCGTTCGCAAGACTCAGTTGGAGTCTCTCGAGCCCAGTTTAACATCGCACTAGAACTTACCATGTGCCCGGAAGGTCTCGGCTCCACCATGTTGCCGGACGCGAAGGTCGAAGGTCTCAATCCCCCACTGTCAGGTCTTGGTTCACGCTATAAATTAAGCACGCCCCGTGCTTGTAGCCAAGCCAGCACTTATGATGTGAGCCCGAAGTTCAGAGGAGGGCCTTTGTATTTTCCTGTTTAGGCCTTCCCTAAAGTAGACTATTGATTGATAAACCCCCCTGCCAGAATGGTTTTTACATCTCCATCGGGGTGATTTCTTAATCAACAGCCTTCATTGCATGATGACCGCCTTCTTCGGCAAGGCTAGCAAGCACGCCCTATGAGAACACCACCTCCAACTCGTCAGCATACCTCAGCCTCTAGATCAAGGCAGCCCGGAGTGTTAGAGAATCCCTACCCCCTTATGATGGTTCCGGGAGGGGGGACCTCAAACATAAAAAGTTGCATTTTAGGGTGGTGACCCTAGGGGGTCCAAAAATGTAACTTACCCCAGACACCATCGAAACTTGCAACCTGGCAGGCCTGAACTTACATCGTTTTAACCCCCCCAACCTGTGCGTTCGCTACCTAGAGCGTTAGCGGCGTTAGCGGGCGCAATTGCTGCCATTTGCTTGCACAGATGCCGCCAGTTTCATGGAAGATCATACCGAAGAAAAGACCACACAGAGCAATCAGCATCAATTACACTTCATCATACTTCATTCATCTTCAACATTGCGCAATCAAATAGCAGACTCACATGTCCCCACTCAGGACCCAAAAGGAAGGGGGACCAAAACCAAACCGACACATAGCAGAGCAGAATCACTGCTTGTTGTTGCCCTGGCTGCTCGCCCCCTGCTAGAAAGCAAAGATGAGGGAACAGCAGTTGGTCTGAGTTATCAGCAACAAAGAAGAAAAGGAAACACACCCAAATCAAACTGCCAAGCAAAAAGGAACATGCATGTTCCCACTCTGGACCCCAAAGGAAGGCGACAAAGCGAAACCCGAACATAGCAGAGGATCATCCCCATGCTACACAACAAGGGAGAGGTCAAGGTTTTATCTCACACGGTTGCCTTTTCTGTTTTGAAGGAGGCCAAGGATAATCAATGCGTGTTGTTCCCCTGTTTGCGCTTCGTGGCGTTACCTGCATGTGATGTTTCAGTATTAATTCAGGGACACCCCAGTTCCTTGGAAAATTCTGAGGGCTTGGGGATGTGGCAAATAATGTAAGTTACAATTCGTGGGCGTGGACTAGTTATAAGTTACATTGTTTGAGGCCATTTTATCCTCGGTTGTGAGGCATCATTTGGTGTGCGTATAGTCAGGATGGTGTCCATATTGCATTCCTGGTTACTCGGGGGGGTCAAAGAATGTATGTGCTCCACCGTGCCTCAAATATGTAACTTACATTTTTGAGGTCATTATCCAGAAAATGACCTTTGGGGCCTGAAAAAATGTAAGTTACATTATTTGAGGCCATCTCGAAAAAAGAAAAGTACTGATATACAGGTTGGGAGGCCATCCGCAAAGGAAAATGTAACTTACATTTTTGACGTCCCCCCGGTCGGGATGTTAGGGACTGGAAATAAAGCTATCGGCTATCGGCAGATTCTTCTGATTCGGATCCAACGGGTAATTATTTGAATCAGAACCATGGCAAATCAGAAGAATCTGCCGATAGCCGAAACCAAACCTGATTTGGATTCTTCATTATTTGATCGGTTTTTTTTGGAATCCAAACCATGACAAACCACCTGCCGAAGATGGGACACCTTCGAAACCATTGAGGCGATGGAAAGATACACCACACAGGGGCTCCTTTTTCTTGTCAGGATGAACCTGGTTGGGTTTGGATCTATTTCAGGTACTGCATAAGGCATGCCCCGAAGCATCCCTCCAAGACATAATTACCCCACGCGCAAGCATCCCAAAACGTTCCCTATTGTATAGCTGAGGGGTTGAGCAAGTCAAAAAATGAACAATATAATATGTATGATAATCAGTGATTTCCACTGTCTACAGCAAATATCAGCTTCTGGGCATACCAGCCTCGAAACTGACGGCATGCACATGCCATGACGCGCCAATCATATATTCTTGCATTTGCTCCGCGAGCTGAGGCTTACATGTCTCGTGTTCAAGCATCCAGCTATGAGACCTGGTCGAAAAAAAACCGTGGGACCGAGGGGGGCCGAGGACCATTTGGAGGAGTCACCCCGTAGATGATGTATTTCATGCGTCTTAAAGATGAATCCATGGTTCTTGAACTTTTTCACTTTAAACCAACCACAAGAGTGAGTTGGGAACATGATGTTTTAATATATTGATTTATTTGGATTAGGGGGTGCCAAAGGTATGTGTATAGATGTATATGCATATATATATATACACTGTATACAGTTTTAGTTATAGAAGAGTTCTGACTACCACCCCACCCCGGACCAAATGCGAAGCCCCTTGATATTCAGCTGAGGAATGGCCCAAACATGTCCATGGTCTTCAGAAAAAGATTGTCTCAAAAGATGAGTTTGTAGAAAAGGTTTGCAGAACTGAGGAGGGACGATTCTGCAAGCAAGTTCTAGTCGCTTCTCTCTCCTTTTTCTCGGGGTGGGACGTGTTTTGAGGATGTCTCTTCAACCTATCACCTAAGCACACGCCCCACTTAGCCAGCTGCAGCACCTTTTCGTGTTTTTGATAGCGACCTGATGAAGCCCATCAAGATGTCAGATGTCAATGATGGGGCCGTGCCTTTGAATGCGTGGGATCTGGAGGTGCTTTAGGTTCCCAACGTGGCACACCAAGGAGATCTTGTTATCCCAGCCTCTCTCGATGTGGTCCTGGGCTTGCAGTGTACCTGACTCTCCATTTCTTTGGAGTCCAGACTGCGCAGCTTGCAGGCATTTCCCACACAGGGGCTTTCAACTAGACAAAGCATTTTTGGGCACAGAATCTGCAGTATGAACTGCAAGAGGGCGTTCCTTGCAACAGTGCCGACGAAACAAAGGGTATCCCAGTTGCTGCGCATCTTTGACTGCCTAGGGTATCCTTTCATCCCGGATTGAAATCGCTGTGACCTCGCCAAACCGGCTTGAACGCCCCGGGAAAAAAGTGCCAGACGTCATCTACTTTGGAGTGTGTTGCCTCTCAGGCCAATGCAACATCCTCCCAAGCTTAAGATACAATCATCCAGCAATGGGTTGGATACGTCTGAGAACAGCTTAAGCCAATGTGACTAGAAACGGCTTCTCCAGGTGACTAGAAATAGATCATTTGGGGTTGGCGTCTCCACGTCTCCACGTGCAAGAACACCCAGGCTTTGCTCTCATCGCCCAAAGATCACCTCTGAGGCATGTTGCGAACCTGAGGAGGGCCATTGCAAGCGACCTGACGAGCTCTTTGTGCAGAAGGTGCAAGCTAAATTTCTAGGGTATCGAAGACGGTGTTCCAGCATGTTCCAGCTGGTTTTTCGAAAAGAACCGATCGAAGCGACACAAGTGCCCTCCACAAAGCACCAGTTCGTCAAAGGAGTCTTGGATGGTTGTTTATGGGGCTATGCTTGTTGATTTACCTGGCCAGATCTCGGAAGATTGGGTGGCACCCGACCACACATGCAGCACCCAACATGTTTGCTCTCTAGTTGCCCCTTCGTTTTGACCTCCAAAAGCGGAAGCGTTCATGATGAACGTATATTAAAATGGGAACTCTGAATGTCCATCCGTGTTCATCTCCCACGTCCAGTTCTGCATTTCGAGGCCTTCCTCAGCTGTTGCTACAGCGTTTATGCTCGGCGCACCTTTGAGGAGCCGGAGGAGGACCCCGCTGGGCAAGTCTCGAATGCCCTGCTCCCGTCAGTTCTGAGACCTTTTCGTGGGGACCTTGCTCCATCGCCACATAGCTGACATAGACGTATTACGTGGCTCCTTGGTCCTTGACCCTTTTAATTGGCCTTAAAACCATCCAAGAAACACCAACTTTGTAGCAATTAGGCATGGAGAAAGATGGAGAGTCGATGGGCACGACCCCAAGTTTGGTGTTTCATTTGATGTTTTTTTAATGTCAACCCCCCATCTCGAAGACATCCAGGAATCGAATGTTTTCTCCATAACCACCTCGATTGGTCCGCTGAAGCACGACTCTTTGGGGACTTGGACTCGTGCTTCGGCCCGACTCACTGCCTTCACGTCTCAACTCGTTGAGTTCGCCTTTCCATCGACCTCGCAAAAAGGGCCGCCAGTGCCATCGAATCTTCTGGATCTTTCTGCGCAGAAAGGTTCTTCCAAACTCGTGCTTGGGCGAAAAAGAAGACTGCGTCAGAATGGCTTCGCCGTTGGCCCGCCCTTCGACCCAGTCCTCACGACCGATCGACGGTCGATCGGCGGTCGCTCGTCCACCACGGCCACGCTGACGGTCCACTCCGCAGGCCTTGGAGGCGCAGATCCAACGGCACTTGGAACCCCTGCGCCCCTCGCGCGCGGCGATTCAACGCCTGGGCCCCACGCTGTCGTGGCACCTAGGAGGCGCCTCTCGGGCGCATGGAGCCTTGGACGGAACGAGGGGGACGGACGAGCCTGGTGATGGATGAGGGGAGGCGCCCCCAGCTTGGTGGTGCGGTGTGAAGCTGCTTGGATGTCAGAATTTGGTTTTCGGTCTATCATTGTATCATGGTGTATGCTAGGGATGTCTTGTCATACGGCAGATCCCTGCATGAGAAGGCGTGAAGATGTCCAAAGGGAAGCAAAGGGATAGTTCTTGAATTGTTTTGGGCCCCTGTGCGAATTATATTCTCCTAGGCTTCCACCACCATTGATTTAATAGCCTTCAATTACCGAACAACATGTTCTCTACTATCGATTTTGCACAACGACAGCTCAACCATTTACTGTATTCCCTGCATGGCCGTGGAAGGCTAGGGAATTCAGTCCGACTATTCAACATCTTGTGTTCTTGTATCCCGAAGCCACGTCCGGCAGAGCGCCTTACATCCGGCATCCCAGGATGTGTCATCTCCATCCACCCAAACGGCAGCATTACGACGTGCCCGGAAGAAGTCGCTTGCCATGGCTTCGATTGCTCCTTTTTGCGTGCAGTGGTTTTGGCACTGGAGGTGATTCAAGCGATCCATCCACTGCCGCCACTGGACCCTTGGCAGATCTTGGCAGAAAGAGAGAGGGAGGGCCGACGAATGTCACCACTGTGTTATTTAGTTTGTGTGATTCGATGCTAGTTGTCATCGTGTAACCAAGTGTAACCCTTTGATCTGTTGGCCGTTGGCCTGGACAAGCAACCATCTTGAATTCAGCAGATACCTGGACAAGTGAACCAGTGAAAACCTTTCTGGAATTAGTTTGAGCCAACTAAGGACTTCGTGCTGAATGCAGGAGATGAAACCTTAGAGAACACCTTGCTGGAGGCCTGGCGCAGCGAATCAAGCTCAGGAAGTTATCTTTTTCGTGCTGCTCTGGATCTCCTGTTCGCTGGTATTAATTAAAGATGTTTAAGGGGGCTGTACATGTTTTAACCTCAAATGTGTTTGCCTTATTGATGTCCCTCACCCGGAAAGGGTTACCCACCCAATGTTGAAGGCTTTGGGTGAGGTTTTTCGGATGCTACCCATCAACGGCCAAGAGGGGCCTTGTGGCCTCGACACCTTTTTTGCCGAAGGTCCCCTGCAGGTGGCGCACCCCATCAATCTTCGTGCTGTCCTCGATAAGTCAATGCGTGTTTGCCAACGCTATCAGGTTTAGCCAACGGCTACACCTAGATGCGGGCGTCCGTTCGTCCAGTGCGACCAAAACCCCTCAATAAGTAGCCAACTGACATGCAGGCCTCCCCAAAGAAGACACCGGAACTAGCTTTCAAGGCCCTAGAAGTCGACGGATGTTTGGCACCGCCAAAGTAGAGACTGAGACCAATTCCCCTGCATGTTATATACAAGCAAAAGGTTCCCTGTGACTCCACACACACATGGATATATATATATATATGTGTGTACATACATACACATGCAGTTATACTTTAATACAAACAAAATCAACTGAATAGGCTCTATTTAGGTTAGCTGACCTAGATTCATTGCTACTTCATTCCCCTGTTCATCCCCTACTCCTTGAGTTCGTTGGGCGTCCTGCTTTCCGGTGTGTCACCGGTTCTTGATGCAATCAGAAAGACCCACTGAAGGGGGTTGCAGTGACATGCATTTGTTACTTGTCCCAGCCCATGATCCATCAGTTGTATGTGTTCCACTGCCGATCCACCGTGTTCCACTTATGTATGTTACCCGGTTCGATGGTCCACGTCCCACTCCGCCTTGGTTGAACCCACCGACCATCCTCAGTGCCAGGCGCCGGTCTTTACCCGTGGAGGGACTTGGTGGACACACACGTTGACCTTGCCGTTTGAGTGGCAGATGCATCCAACACAATGCGTTCGTACGATCAAGGTGGGAATGAATGCCATGGGTTCCTTTGCTTGCATCGCTTTGTTTGTTTTAATGGCCATTCTGCGATTCTTGCAGGTAGCTGTGGTGCATTAGTTTTCAGGATCTCCCGTTTGTGGCAATGTGTGTCACGAGCATGGCGTTCTTCTATATAAACTTATGTTTGCTGTTTCCCATGTTGGCTTTCAATTTGCAACTCTTTTTTGCAAAAAGCTGTGCTGGCCAGATGTTCCGGAAAGGCTTCAATGAACTAGCTCGGGCATCCACCAAAACTGGGCGTCTTGAACGGTCCCGGCACGTCAGTCCGAAGTCTTCAGTGTTGGGGATGACTCTGGCCAAAAATGCCCCTGAAACAGAACCACTGCCACTAACCACTGTTTCATGTGTTTTGTCTCAAGAATGGCTCTTTTTGGAAGGAAACACATCTCACTATCCGCCGGAGTCCTATTAACGTGGACAACAATCAGCGAACAGGAGGGCTTACTCCATCATGGAACTCTGACGTGTTTTCTGCATGATCATCGATCAATGACCGGGTCCCGGATAATGTTTGTGTTGGCAAAAGATGTTGATAGGTGGCCAGAGTAGGTGGCCATCTTAGGTCTCCATACAATCCCTTTTTGATGTTGATAATAATTCGTAGGTGGCCAGAGTTTTGTCGGTTTTGTGATACGGTTGATAAACCCGGCCTTCTGCATAAGCTATCACCCTTGGCGGAACTCCTACGAACTCCTGACATCTGCAGTTGCCTGATCCTCATCCATACGTTCATTGAAAGACTGGTCTAGCCTGGTCATAGCCTTTGAGGTCTCATCAAGTGGGAAGACAGGAAGCCAATTCTCATTTGGCGTGGCTCTCATTCAAACTTGTGGACACCACATTGTGTCTTGGAGGATTTGGTTGCACACTGTTTGGACGAAAGAGAGCTTACTTGGAAATCTTGGAAGGGGGGGTTGCACTAGTGGATTTTCCTTGAGATATGCAAACCGGACATTTATGGCACTCTTGTTTGGGCTTCTTTCCTACGCAGGCTCCAAAAAACCTACGACCGTTTGCGAGCTGCTAGGCAAAATCTACAGGGCGGCTCGTGAGTTTCACATGTTGGAGCGCTGTGTGACTTCCTTACCTCCGCATGGCTCGCCCCGCGAGCCCATCTGGAACTTCAGCACCTGGCTGCAGATGCCGCGAGGGCGCTTGATCATGTGGCCCGGAAGAAAAGCAGAAAGATTGGGAACATGAATATTACGTAAACGCATGGCATGCCAGCTAGCATGCCAGCTAGCGTGGCAAAATATTGAGATATGCTGGGCGTATCAAAGGGTATCAGCTCAGAGTGCCCGGACCAAAGATGGACAAACAGCAGGAAGAACAGGAAGCATGAATAAACCCTAATGAAATCAGTTGGACTGCAATGGATTTTCCTCAAATAGGTTTATATACCCGTGAGGGGGGTTGACTTCTGCTCTCGCTTCTTTTGCGGTGTCTCCGGCTGTTTGGCTGACCAAGCACAAGAGCTTAGATAGACTGGCCTCTGTGATGCGTGCACAAGTGGGCAAATGGTCCTCCGTGGAAAAACGTTTGTTATCATAATCATTTGGAAAATCTTCTTTACAGCATTCCCAGCCACTAAACATAAGCAATTCCAGGGTGCTTGTGGGCTATACTATTGCAGATGTTCAATCAAAATACAGGCTGCTGTGGTCCTGCTTACTCAAGAATGCAAATAGGGAGAAGGAAGAGATATATATATATACCGAAACAAGAGCCCCGGGAAGAAACATTGTATCATTTGCAAGGACACTACTAGGTTGGAGGCCATCTACTAGGGTGGAGGCCATCGCCACTAGGACGCTGGGGTTTGTTCGTAATTCCTGTTGAGCCAGACCTAAGCGCAACCAGGCGGGCCCCTGGAACACTGGACCTGGCTTTGATAACATGCTACGAGCCGTCCCCTGCTCTCATCACGTTGCATTGCATATGTTGCACTCGGGATGGAGCGACCGCAAAAGGATAGAAACCCACGGAAGATGTTCAGATCAACATGTTGTTCTCAAATGTTCCAACCTTTACCTCCAAAATGCAAGGGTTTGGAAGATTTGGACCTTCTTTCTTGATTACCCAGAGTAGCTCTTCAGACCCCTTTTACAAAACCGGATCCGACTCGCGGCGAGGGGGCACACCCAAGTCCGAGGCTGAGCCGCTTCGTCGACTTCGTGGATGCCAAGCTGGTGGACTCCAAGCTAGTGCCCATGCGCCTTGGTGTGGGGGTCGTTTTCCCCCCGTTTGTTGCACAGCAAGTTGTGTCGTAGAAGCGACGACTGGTGTGGCGTCTTGACTGGTGTGGGGCTCCCGTGGGCTTGTCGTTTTTTGAGTGGGGGGAGGTGTTTTTTTGCGGTGTTTCAATCGGAAGCTCAGCAGCACCAGCAGTTCTCTTGAACCCCCTGCTTGAATGATTGGGTCAATCTTCAACCTTTGAGTGGGGGATTCCAACCCCTGACTGGGGATCCTGCACCCAGTCCCTGAGGAGCCCTGACTTGGAGTCCTTCTTGCGTGAAGAGCAGCTCTATGGCGAGCGCATTGAGGCTGAAGCCTTGGCACAGTACAAGTGCCCAAGCTTGGATCCAAGAGCTCAGGTGGAGCAACCAAAACCACGCGGAAAAGGAGAGGATCCATTCGGAATCCCCCGAATGACGGAGGCACAGTTGGCCATTGAAACTCCACAGCTGAGGATTGACAACACGTGGGATCCAATGGTTCCTCTTTCTAGAGGAAAGGGCTGTTCAAGGGGTCGACTCCTCTAAGAAAATTGGATTGACTATCAGTTCGTGCTCTTGTCCAAGTGCCTTCTTCGACGAAGTGGAGATCAGGTTGTTTCTCTCTTGTGTGTGCCATGGGAATGCAGGTCTTGGGGACCCACCACTGACTCTGGTAGAACTGGTTGCCAATTCCAAGTCAAAACCCAAATGCGTGCAACCTTTCCACACAGCGCACACAGCACCAATGCTGCGCTGCGCTTGAACAAATACGGTTTGAGTCATTCATTCACTCAGGTATCACATTGCCATTGAGGGCAACTGTGCGGCGGACCGCGTGTGCTGGCAACCCTTCTTGGGGTCCGTGTTGTTGCTTCCCGATGGCCCCTGGCAACAACTGCCCACCGTCCGCACCATGGAACCCTGGGTGCACTACGTCCCAGTCTTGCCACTCGGACGGCGGCCCGCGGACGCAGATGAAAAGCAGGAGTTCAGTTTTGGATTTTGGACCGACGAGCCATTTGGTGATCAATGGTTTGAGCATGTACAGTTCTGAACTAGTCAATAGATGCGATTGGGCACACAAGATCGGAGAACCTGCTTGTTCACGTGCTTGTCCACCTCACCTCCCTCGCACCTCTCAGCCTCTTTCTTTCTTAAGCACAGAGGACCCAGATTTTCGAGGTTCAGAGCCACAGAGGTCAACATCCACCAAGGTCGCGACAGGTCGAAGAACAAACCACCATCCCATTTTTTGGAGGAACCTGCTTTTTCGGGTCGAAACCACCCATTTTTCAAGCTCCATGTTTACTTTGCAGGGTTCATTCATCCATATTCGCCCCATCCGCCCAGGTACGATCTCAGCGATCTGGTGGACAAGTTGCTGTGGCTCCGCGCCCACGATGCCGAGGCCAAGCAAATCGCCCTCAATGCCGTGGCCTTTGCACATCGGCATTTGACATGTGATGGCAACATCTACTACTTGGACCGCTTGTTCCGAGCCTATGCCGCCAAGCTTGTTCCTTGATCGATGCTGGGCATGGCTCTGGTGTGGTCAGAAACACCACGTTTTGCAGTGTCAAGCGAGCCATGTGGGTGGTTTATCGGATGATCTTGGGCTGGCAGTCTGCCGAGCCAACGGTGTCTTCCTGCGTTCCTGAGAGGCATATGATCGAGGCAAAGAAGCACTTCATTCAGGACGACGATGGCATCACGATGATCCACCGCATCGCTCCTGTGGGCGAATTCCACGCGCCTCGCACCGCCAGTCTAGCGGTCGAATGCCGGACAGAGGGACGTGGAGGAAGCGAAAAGAAGCTACTTGTAAAAGAAGCGCCGGAGCTAGGTCGCAGGTCGCAGGCTGTGGTTACACGACGTCTCAGACGGCAGGATGTGATATTGGCACTTTTGTTTTCTGGCCTTTTTGAGGCTCATTCAGGTGGAGTGGACAAGGCATGAGAGAAGGCACGCGTTTTTTGCAAAGTGTTTGTTGGCCAGGCTGCTGGGCAATGCAAGCAGCTGACTAGCGGAATGATAAATCTCTTACATCCAGCCAAGCATGAGAAACACCCTGACAAGCAGAGCTCCTTCGATGTCAGAAGAACAGATGGGCGCGAGCTGCTTCATGATGGCCAAGGAGGCTAGAGAGAAGTGTCTTTTCCGAAGGACCCCCAGAAGCTCAGAGCAATACAAAAGGATTCTTTTTGAGAAGGGCTGCATGGAAAGCAAGGGGTTAAAAGAGGTAGGACGCATGTCATGTGTTCCTTGGCATGTGGCATGTTGGTTGCCTGCTCGCCTTCAAGAGGTAGGACCTTCCTCCTTCTTTGATTCTCCCTTCACTTCGCTCTCAGGCAGATCCGATGGCAACCTCAAAGGCATTGGCCAAGTGGGTGGTGGCCAGGGCTGTGGGAAAAGGCCTTGGTCTGGAGATGCAGGACGCTGGGTGGCTTCCGTTGGGAGGCGGACTACCCCGCTCACACAGGCGGTCGACCAAGTTCAGTCAAGTTCGGCCCCTCCAGTTCAAGAGCTTGGTTGACACATGGCTGTCTATTGCCACCCCCCCAACGCACGAGCTGGATTTGAGCATGTAGCCATGCACTGGTAGTACGCAAATCATTGAATCCTATTGGATCCCAATTTCCCTGCCTCCCACATACCCCCCCCGCAGTTCAGAATTCTGGTCCAGCCTCCTCTCGACCGACCTCGATCCCCATCCGTGTTAACGGTTCGGCCTTTCGGCTTACCACGAAGCAACGACTGCTGGCTTTCAGCTGGCGGCCCCCCGAGTGCCCTCCATATCCAAGGAAAGTGATTAGATGGAGGTGGATGGTGAGGAGTCACACACCCTGTCATTTGAACGATCCGCCCGACCTTGGTGTTGTTTGAACGCACGAGCTCCAATCTCCAGGAGTCCTGTCCCAGCCAGGGGCTTAAAACCTGCGTATTCAAATTCACAGGTTTTAGGGGAGGTTTGGCCACGCATTCACCAACAACTATGAGGATAGGCCCGGAGAGGTAGCAGTAATCAACGGGCAGCTGGTTTTAATGGCTTTCCTTCGCTTTCTTGTCAATTGGGCCAACACCAAGAAGGAGTGATGTGTGTGTGCCATCAAGTGCCGCCACAGCAGGTGTCACAGAGCAAACGAATCACCGGAACCTTTCTTGCCATTGCACCTGACAGGGAGAAAAAAGCGTGGGAATCATAATGCACTGTTCAAAACGGAGACATGCTGAGGCCTCTCTACATCTGCAGCTTCTAAGGTGCAAATCTGTTTGGGAGGAGATTCAAACAACAGGGTAACCTGGAGCAAACGGGAGCCAATGATTTGACAAAGCCAAGTCTGATGTAGACATCCTCAATGTGATTCAGTCCCCAGGTGAAACCTGACCTGGGACTCAGGCTCCTGCTCTCAAGAAACGCTTAAGCCTGTGGATCCTCTCAGGTAGAACAACCAAGGGGTATCTCCAACCACATCGACCCCTCTATTTCACCCATAAGGGCATGAATCATCGATACAAGCTCTTCTTTGAGAGACTTTGCTGGTTTTTCTCTCACGGATTCCCTCACGACTACGCGGCTGATCTTTGGGAGGGGTTCGTTGGACTGTGAGCAACCCCGGCTGCAAACCTGTGAAAAGCTCCAAGCTACAAGGAGCACTTCCGGAGTGAAAAGTGGCTCAGGAGTTTTGACACCCCTGCGGTGGCTCAGGATTCGAAACATGAACGTGTTTGCTGAAGTCACAAGTCACAAGGATATGACTTGGGCAGAAATAGGAGCCCGTCCAAGTGCCTGAGGTAAGACCTCAGCAGGTCTTCCGTTTGCTCCAAAGGGTTTTTGGGGCAGTCCAGTTCTGACCCCTCTCCATCCCCGCCATTTCCACCCCATCTGTCGACCAGGCCACTGTCGAGACGGTGTCCACCACCGCCACCGGGGCCTCACTCTTGACTGAGGTGGGAGCACGGGTAGACGCACGATTCGAGCGCACGGTTTGAACAGCGGTGTGGAGGGCTTACCCGGACAACCATCCATCACTTTGTGTTTTCAGAACTTTGTGCTGGGCGTTGCTGGGTGATGAAGCTTTTCGGTGGTGTTTGAAGAGTTGTTTCGTTCCATCCCTATTTTGGAAGATGTTGGGGAGCGTTTGCTTCTGCGAGCTGGCACCGATGCTCAGACGAGAGGACTCGGTTAGACATGTGGGTGTCAGATGACCTGGGACTGAAATGTGGGTTAGAAGACGAAGACTGTTGGAAGACTGTTACAACCCCCTAATTTGGGCAAGATCATGTCGAACCCAGGGTTCAAAGTGGTTCTTCAAGGCGTTATAGGGTGATGTTCCCTGTGCGATGTTGGACAGGAAAACAGGAGCAGCCCGCGTGAAATCGCTGAGATTGACAAAAGATGTTCAGCATATGTAATTAATAACCAAGTTAGATTCATGCATTCATTGTAAGTTCTCGGTTGGCAGTTACCAAAAAATCAGTGTCGAGAGGTGGCATGACTTGGTTTACAGGCTGGAGTTCCCTTTCTGTAGGAAGGATGAAGGCACTAATTAGCGCAGCGCAATCTCGGGGTCATGACCACCATCCGCCCCATGCGCGGAAGCAGCTGACCATACATGGAAGGCTTGCCTGGCACGAGTTCCACACGTGATCAACCCAGAGCGGTTGATCCAAACTGCTTTCGCTTGAAGGTCATGCTGCACCCCCCATAGGGTGTTTACTCAGAGATTGGTCTAAGAACCACTAAGAACCCAGTTAAGAACCCGTTTAACGATGAATGTTTTTGCTTGAGTCAACTGAGACTGGTTTGTTTCGAGATGTTTCGAGCGTCATTTCTCGGTTCTTATTGTTTTTGCATGTTTTTGCTGCTTTCCATATGTTGTGCTTTCCTCATGTTGGCGTGAAACTATAACAAGGACCCTTGTCGAGTATCATCAAATGCCATCATAGCATACAAAATGAATCAAAATGACAGGGCTAGGGAGCGGTTGAACCTTGGTGACTTTGTCTTGAGTTCCGAACCTTCTTCCTTTTTTGTTCCCCATCTGCAGTGATTTCTCCTTGACAAAGTGTTCCTGAGAGGGGGGGCAGGACCAACACGACGACGCTGGTCGGCCGGCCACCGGTCATACCGAGGTGCCCCGTCCAGAAGCACGGTCGAAGAAAGTGGCTTGGATGGATTAAAGGGTGACGATGCGGGCGATCAATCCGGCTACCAAGCGCAAGGTCACCGTACTAGCCACGGATTTGTAGTCGTCCAGAAGTACGGCGATCACAAGGTCTCCACATAACACCTGAGCGCTCACCTTTGGCCCTTTGTGCTTCTCAAGTGGTGGCGAATAAAGGGAAGACGGCACAGGAAGGGCTGATCCATTTGCACTTGGGATTGCGTGATTTGTTGCACGGGTAGTGTATTTCACACAGTTCCTGTGACAAGGATTTCGATCAAGACATATCAAGACCAATTACGCAGACTTGAATCCTGTTTTAAGTCCATTGGGCTGTGTGGCAGCCCAATGACTACTGTCGAAGGCAGAAGGTCAGCCTCTTTTGAGATTTGAGACTGGAAAACGCATGCAATCACATTGCAGTCCCTGTGGCTCCTGTGGGACCAACGAAGTGCTCTTGGGTCGCCGTCGGCTGAATATTTAAGACCCGGACCCGGCTCAGAACCTTCCCGCGCGTTGCAGAAGTCAGCACCAAACCTGGAAAATTGGATGAGACCGATGTCCAGAAAACCTTTTGAACGGAAGGTCACGGTTGGTTTTTGTGAGGTATGTGTCATTCATGTTTCATTCCAAAGAGGCATGCCAGCCTCTGAGCATATGCTGCGGGCCCTGCCAAAGCAACTGTCCCCTTGAGAGCCCCAATAATAAGTCCCGCAGGTTCAAGACCTGCACCATGGGTTTGTTGATGCTTATTGGCCAATGGCACCGGGTGTTTGTTTCGATTGCAAAGCTTGGGAGAACGCATTTGGCTCCACGGGCTCCACCCAAAAAGGACTGTTCAGCAGATGCTCCTGTCTCTCCACAGTTCATCCGCCGCCCGCTCGCGAGACAGTGAGTCCATCTCATTCAGTTCGTAGCGAGAAGAACTGAATCCCCTCGATTGAACGATTAAGAGTATCCCTTAATCCTCCATCAACGAATCGAACTATTCTCGTATTCAATTGAAACTCGCCAACATCATGACGGAAGAGAAGCTTTATTGTCTTGGGATCTGAGACCGTGTGCTTCTATCCAACAGTCCCGTAATGGGACACGCAATGGGAGTGGAAAACGGCCAGAGCGACATCCCTACATGGATTCTGTGAGGTCAGGGTGGGTATCCCACTAATGCAGACTCTTGATCCTTTTGAGCCCCTATAACGAAGAGGTGTTACACTCCAAATGTGGGGGGGGTCATTCATCAAGAGCCTACAATCAGTTATATACAGTAAATGGGGGTTAGTACATGGTGGTACCTGGGACCTGGGTCAAACTCACAAATTCCCTTCCAAAAATCCCCAGGCCCGGCCAGCTCCACCACATCCAGCACTGGGCCGAATGCAGCCTCAGCGGACGCCACGGATCTTCACGCCCGTGCTGCGGGAGAGGCCGCCATGACCGTGGAGCAGTGGGCGACCAGGTCCTTGGATTTTTGCGCATCACTGCAGGATGAGCCAACATGTTGGTTTAGCCCTACATCAGGGTGTCATGCGAAGAATGGTGGCAACAATAGCCAACATGTTGGTTCGACAGAGGTTTCCCTACATCAGGTTTGTCATGCGAAGAATGGTGACCACTTCATAGACGGAATGTCAGAATGGGTTGCATTTGTGAGAGAAATGGCCGACCATTGCCAACCAGACGCCCACTTGTACCATTCCCATCCATTCCCCAGGGATCACTATCAGGTTATTGTGCACCCAAGATGTTCATTGAGTACACTCCCCCAGTTCTGATTGTCAAATGTAACAAGTCTTGGTGACGGGGAGCTCCAGTTCTCCCGTTCTCTCACTGGTTCAGATAAAAGGTGGCCTGCCAACAGGGATCACAGCCAATCTATGACATGCACTTCTGCAATCCCCGGAACCCGCGCCCCGTTCTCGCCTCGGCTCACCAGTGGTCGTCGGAACCTGCGCCGGAACCGGCACGCCGGGTGGCCGACACACACGGCGGAAGCGCCAGAAGCGCGCTATAGGCGGCGCGCTGTAGGAGCCATGGAGCCAACGCGCGTCATGGAACAAAGTGAGATGCTTGGCTTACGGTGATGTTTTCCCCATGGATTCATGGATGAATCCTTTTCCGGACAGAGGCAGAGGAAGAGAAACCCTGAGCAAAAATGTACGATCTGAAGATAAAGCACAAGCAATGTTGAGAGCGTTTTTTCCGGTTCCTGAAGCACCCAAGGATGGCCATGTCTTGGGACGCTTGGCCAAGCGGGATACTGATGTGATGGGCTGTGATGGGCTGTGCCATGCGTGTCGGTGTGATGTTTCTACACTGGTGGCTGTGGCAAACATGGGCCGACGGGGGAAGCGACCGGTGAGGCCAGCAAACCGGGAAGCGCCTTTGAATTGATCCGAGATCCAAGTATACGAAACATAAATATATAGATGGACGGATGGATGAATGAATGGATAATAGATAGATAGATAGATAGATAGATCATCCGAGGTATGCAGGGATGTTTGTTGAGCCTCTTTGATGTGGAGGGGGTCTTGTCCTTCAACCATGGCATTCCTTAGCAGGGCTGGCGCCTGCATCATCTCGCGCCAGCGCCCTGCTTCTCTCACCCCCAACTTCGACGACAAGAGCCCATTTGCGGATCTGGTGGGTTGTTCTGGTCATTTCGGGGGGGTTCTCTTGAAGCCCCCAGAGATGTGGAAGGTCTTCCGTCCAAGGGCTTGCGAAGATCTAAGGTGGAAGCTCACATCAGATGTAGGGATGGTGTCTGATGGTTTATGGGACAAATATATTTTGTCTAGTGATGTTGGGAGCAGAATCGGGCAAGTGCCATGTGAACGAGTGGAATGATATGAAATGGCAAGATGTTGGAAACCTGCATGAGGATGATCAATCTTGTGTCTTGAGATGCTGTGAACGAGCTGGAAAGAAACACCAAAGTTGTACTTGTCCTTCTCCCCACACCATGCCGTTTCGGCTGTAAGAAGTACTAAGATCACTGAGAGCATGCCCGGCTGCAATTCCATCCAAAAAGCATAGGAAAAGGGTCTGAACCGATCAGAGGCACTTTACCAATTCGCCTAGTTCAGCACTGTGGACCTGAGCCGCTCAGCTCCACGAGTGAGGAAGCGTGGGTGGTGCTTGGATTGATCTTGGGCAGCTTGGTCTTGCTGTTCCTGGAGCTTGGCTCACCGGAGCAGGCGCGCGGACAAGGAGGGGACAGAGGACAACCAGCGTTTCCGGAAGTGGGGACGACCGGGGCGTCTTGATTCTTCTTGCTCCTTGCAATCTTTGTCGTTTGAAGATAGATTCGGTGGCGCAAACTGTACGTTTTAGATGTTGTTTTATATAGACAGTCGACTGGATAGATCAGTGTAGACGCAGGGTCACTCGCTGGCACTTCATGTGCCGTTCGCTCACATGCTGCGCATCATCTTCACAAGGGCCCCCCCCCTGGAGCTTTGACCTGTAGAGACCCACCTCTCGGGCTCCTCCCTCGACGCCTAAAGAACCCACCTTCTCGGGTCGACCGAGCCGGTCCATGACCGAGCCCCTTGGCCTGCGGAGGTGCTGATGGGGACCTTGTCGATTTTGTGGAACTTGGGCATCGTCTCCACTGAGGAGCCTGAGACCTGAAGGAAGATCCCTGGAAGAGCTGTTGAACATTCTTGAACCGAGCTTTCGGAAAACTCTTGGGTCCAATGGTGGCCGAGTCGCTGGTTTCTTGGTGTTTCGTCTCTTCGGGGAGCGTGTTTGTCATGCGAGTTTGGTGATGGGGAATGGTGACAGATGGTGATGCCATGGTCCCAAGCCCATCATGTTTGGGGGTTGGATAGACTTGGGTGATGGCTTCAGATTCTATTCATGACCTCCAACCTACTAGCGATGGCCTCCAACCTACTAGCGATGGCCCGCAACCTACTAGCGATTCTAGCGATGGCCTCCGCCCTAGTAGTAGCGATGGCCTCCAACCTAATTGCAATGGCCTTTTTGGGGTGTGGATGGACGATGGACTTGGGAGACGGCTTCAGATCTGTCAATTTTTCTTCGCACCGTGGGAGGGAACGCCATAGAGGGAACGCCATAGTGACTAGTGAGTCTATAGAGCCTCTTCTCGCAATGCTCACAGTCATTCAATTGCATTCAATTCAAAGGTTCTCTTTTCCAACTTGAGGATCAAAGCTGATCCAACGCTCATCCTCCTGCATTCCATTCCAAGATTCCAGTTCCGATCTGATACTAGGTTTTGCCAGTGGCTGTTCCCATAACATCCTTCTTCCAGCACTTAGGACTCAAATGTGCTCAAACGAAAGACTCCTCACTTGAAACTCGAAACTCGACCAACAACAATACTGATGCTGTGTCTTGGTCGCCCACTTCCAGCTTTTGAATCTTGCCAAGAGCAGGAAGCATTGGATGGCTTCTCCAATTCTGGGCTGGTCTCGATTGGAGCTTTGTTCATCGTGACCTGATCTGGATGTGCTGAGCAGATGATTTCTTGCTTTCCCTATTCGGAATCCTTAATGTTCGGGTAATCTGTCGTGACGGTCGCAGTTCGCAGGATGCATCCAATGACACTCTCGTCACCCCTTGGGACATTTTTTTGCAAAGCCTTCCGATTCCGAACGATTGGCCTCTTCCTCTCTCCCCCCACCCAAGAAATATAGACAGGTCATAACTCAAAGACACCCCTTCCCCTCATGCCCCATCTTTTTTTAGGTGATGCACGCTGTGGACAAGAGTCGGGTCGTGGACTACGCGGCACGGCGGATCCTGGGAGCTCATCTGGGAGACCGAAATGTCCTTTTTCGAGCGCCCCGCCGCGCTCGAGAGGCGGAGTTCGTGTGAACGGTCGTACCATGGGTTGGTGCGGTATGCCATGGCCGCGGACCTTAAGCTCGGGACCATAGCTGTCCCATTTGGCAAGCGGAGTACGACTTCGGACACCATGGAATTCACCAACCACCCTGACTTTGTTGGACATGTTTGGCCTCACTTGCTTGGGTCAAACTTTTGCCCTCCATGAGACAGGAAGATTGGGGAATGTCTTGTTTGGGGTACTAAGAATCGTCAAGAAATCAACGCTGTCCTCAAGATAACAACTGTATGAAAAAAAGTCTCTGGTGGTTCAGGATTTTTGCCTTCAACAGTAAGAGGAGACTTGTATCTTGAGCCATTGTTTAAGTCTTTTGGGGGGATGGGTATTGAAGTTGGGTGTCCAGAAGTAAAACAAATGCAACATTGCAAGATGATACAGGCTCAAGCTGACAACAGATGCCAGCATCCACATTCTCGAGACAAATGGGCGAGACAATAGTGAAGGAAGTGTTACGGGGTCGTGTGTGAGTTTTTTCTGTGTTTTGTTTTCGTTGACTTCGCATTGAAATTGAGCCAAACATCGTGACTTTAGTAGGAGGTGTGGTGTCGCCCAGACTTGGAGCACTGTGGTGTCGCCAAGGACGGGTACCCTGTGCAGCGTCCGTAACGATGGCCTCCAACCTAAGAGCAATGGCCCTCCAAGCAGTTGTATCACTTCAATCCTTTCGACAGTCAACAATCACCCCCTTCCGCCGCACCCATAGATTCGAGTAGCTATGCTTCAATGTTTTTGATGAGGTTTGCTTCGCAGTCTTTGTCCTCTCTGGCTTTTGCAACAACACTCCATTGGTGGTGCTTTTCATGCCGATTGTGCGTGATTGGGCGCGAACCAACCAGCACCCTGGATGTGGTTCGATTTGGTGCAGTGCAAACTTTGCCGACACGAACCTCTGGCACGAAAATACACAACCCACCAGAAGACAACTTCATCCACGTCAGAGGCAAAAGTCTCCCAATAGAGATGGTGCAAGAGCACCACACCCCTCCCCTCCCTCAAAAAAAATACCTTGTTCAATCTGTTCCGGGTCTTCAGGATACGTCCAAACGCTTTGGAGATGAGGCTGAATGTAAATGTTGCGCTTACATTTGTGGTGCGTTTTGCCCAGTCAGGAGACTCTTTTGAGTTGGCTCTCATGTTTTTTTGGTGGGTATTTCTCTGGTGCACAAGTGTCATCAAGAGGGTGATGTTTCTTCATGGGATCACAAGGTCGGCCCAATCGTTTGAATAACACATCGGCACGTTGCTCACTGTGTCGTTCCCACGTTGTTCTGATGGTTCTTGAACTTGCAGAGTTCCAGGATCCCGGAGAAAGCGCGTTCTTCACAGTAGAATTGCTTCCTTTCTGATCTCACAGGCATGACTTGGCATGACTGCCTAGGTTCCCACTTCTAGTTCCACACTCCACCAAGCTCTAAAAAGACCCGTCAAGACTCTAGTCAAAACATGTCAAGACCCTACATGCTTCATCATTTGTTTAGGTTTTAGATGGTTTTAGAAGGTGTTGGTGGGCTGATCTTCCGAGCAAATCCGAGTCGGCACGTTGATGGC